CATTGCCCAGTCTCAACACTATGAGCTCCTGTTCCTGTGATCTGTTCTCTGGCTCCTATTCTGGCTCCTATTCTAGCTCCGGTTCCAGGTTTGTCTGTAGATAGCGCTCTTGACCCTGATCTGTCCATAAGAACACCACCACTCTTCCTGTAACACCACCACTCTTCCCCTTTACCATGTATATAGCAAATTCACTTCAATGTACATATATCTACCCCCATCCCAATACGCATGTGAACCAACCCTACCCCACCCACCAGGTAGGGTTGACTGACCCTACTCTGTCAGATCAACAGGCAGCATCCAAGCAGTCAAGGCTGCCACCAATACGCTTCAAATCACATAGCAAGTCAGTTGAAGGCTCTTTATTATGTGCGTTTGGTCAAACCCTACACGTAGGGTTGATGGCCGACCCTACCTGACCCTGGGTGGCAATGCACAACTTGCCTCCAAAGGGCTTCAGGGAGCTGCAGAAGGCCTCAGAACCCTGTATTGAGCATCAAAAGGGGTGATTGACATGTTAGATTCATCCAACCCTACAGGGTAGGGTTGACCCCAACACGTTTGACCCTACTATGACATCACCATGCATTCTCAGCTCCCAAGCCTCTGCATGCAGCCATTTGGAGCCATATGCAACCATTCTCATTATTGGACCAAGTCAATTGGGCTCACTTTTTTCTGCTGATCAGGGCTCCAAGGGTCCCCCCTTTGGTTTTGCCCATCTTCTCACGTCTTCTGACCCTACTCTGCCATATCTGTTCTGCACTCCCTGCAACTTTGCATGCACGCATTCCTTGTGATTTCACACATCTGTGCACCATTGGATGCCCCAGAATTCAAAAAAAGTTCTCCGACCCTACCCTGACCCTACCCTCCGACCCTACTTTGGCCAACCTGTCACGCCCCATTTTCTTAATGAACAAGCGTAGGGTCACTTAATGACTATTGCTATACGCATCTTGTACTATCATATTATGCATTGTTTGGTGTTCGGGAGCGAACCGTAGGGCAGCCCGAAGTTGCAACGGTGGCCCCGTAGTGTCCAAGCAGGGTCAAGGTGATTATTGCGGATTACCGTAGACCCCGTGCGGTAGGTGATGCCCCGAACGCGTCGTGCGTGGTATTTTGTTGGGTCAATTGCACCCCGTGTCCTCCAAGGTGTGGCCCGTGCCAGTGCCCGTGCCTGCCAAAGTGTGCATCTGGCAGGTCCCGAATTCCGAATCTGGGCCCGTGTTGGTGGGTCGCGTAATTTGTGAGGCCCGAAACCCGAGGCCAGGAATTTCCAATTATTAACAGCCCCGAGCCGAAAAAAGACGCGCCCGACCAGGTCGGGGCGCCCCGAATGCTTCGGGGCCAACCATAGTAAACTTGTATCAGCTCTCGAGCGGGCTACGCATGCGCTGCCGAGTTGAGCTTTTGCACACCGTCTAGTAGGCCCATAGAGCACCTTGTACCAGCAACAAACCCCATGAGTTCAGCTTCCCCATCGACGCCCCCAGCCAAATCCATCGCGTGGACCTACATTTCCCTCCACCGCACCCAAACGCGCGCGTGAGACGCCCCAAATTTTTCTGAGCATAAAGATCAAGGTCAGAGCTTTCCAACGATACAAAATCTGCTGGAAAACTCTCAAGAGGGTGGGTAGTGTAAGGAGGTGGGCGGACACACGCAGCACCAATGAGGTGCTAGCCAGGCCGTTTGATACGGCACTTAGCCACACGCCGCCCTCCTGGTGAGGGCGAAGTACTTATAGCTTCGATCTTGCAAGTGCGATGGGGCTGTGCCCCATCCACTCTATTATACACATCCGTTACCATACGTTCATACGTCAGTATATCACTGTCCTTTATCATCAGTTCGTCTCACAGTAGCAATCGCAGAGCGTTGCTACTACTTGCGTGTGTGTTGTATCACCGCTTCAGACGCCGTCGACACCGCCATCGACGCTACGGCACCTACACCGTGGGCAGTACCTCCACTGCGGTCCTGGAACCTCAACCAGTACCATCCGACGACTGACCAAGCATTACGAGCACTCGTGCAAGGTCAGGCGTCCTCATACAACGTCTTACGACACTCAAGACAACTCAGATTGTGCCGCGCTGCCTCTGAACGGAGTGTTCACAGCGGTCAGCCGAGAATTGCTGGATCGACCTCACTCGCCGATTCCCCATTCAAGAATCGCCGAAACAGCCTTGTACACCGATTTTGGGTTTCTCAGGCGCGAGACCTCTGACAACTAACTCGCCTCAAACCCATATATACACTCTCCTTTAGTAGCTTCCGTCGCCTGTCTCTTCTTATTGAATCACAATCCTTCTCCCCGAACAATACTCTTTCTCCCCAACTGGTCTCACCAGCCTGATATCTTGAAGGTTCACCACAAACCTTTGCCTTCTGCTCCCAACCTCTGCGCTAACTACAAACCTTGGTAAGCCAACGATCGACCCTAGAGATATAGCAACTCTGGTCCCTCGTCGACGACCTTCAGACTCAGTCTGTAGAATAATTCTTGGTCGCAACTCAAATTACCGCGTCAAACCCGCAAGGTCCGACACAGACTTTCCAAGTCAGGCTACAAACGTGTGTTGCCCACTTGAACACACGCAGTTACCTCACCAAACCACTCGATTCCATAGCCTGAAATTCTTCAAAAATGACGCGAAAATGAAAATGCAATTTGGCTATTTTGTCCCAAATCTTCTAAAACAAATTTCTGCTGTGAGCCAAATTTGACTCACGCGCATTGCTGCCAAAACCTCTCTAATGGGACGCCAAGAACAAACAATCAGATATCCGCGGAGCTGGCCGTCAATTTTCGAAAGTGATGGCTTGTGCGTTCGAAGCTGAGCTGAATAGATCAAGGCCTCGTTCTTGGCATTGCGTCCGTCGGATTCATTGCGCAGCACGTTGAGCCCAGCCCATCTCCGTATAACAACCCCACCGCACCCTCGTTGTATCGATTGAAGCACTGCACGACACTTCGACTCACCCTCCCTCCCCCGTCACCATCTAGCGCACGCATTTGCACAACATGTCAGAATCGTCGCGACTCTCAACGCTCTTGGTCGGCAGCAGTGTCTTTGCGACAATCTTCATTGGATTCGGCGTCAATGCCATATTACGTCCAGACAATGCTCTCACCTTTTTCGAGTTTGCACCACCCCTCGCACCCGCTGACAAGACGCTCGTCAAGTATCTGATGACCGTGTATGGTGTCAGAGATATTTTTATGGGTTTGGCCATGATTGCTGCTGCTTGGGCACGGGAGGCAAAGACGTTGGGTTGGATCTGTGTGGCAGCGAGCATGGTCGCATTTGCTGACGGAGCGGTCTGTTGGCATGCCGGGAAGGGTGAATGGGGTCATTGGAGTTATGCGCCAATGCTGACCATCATCGGAAGCCTGTTGATCGGCAGGTCCGCCAGACCTGGAGCTTGACCTTTGGTGCCACCGCCGTGACCAAATCTTTCATTAGACATCTGTTCCATGTTGCAGGATGCATTCTCGAATACTTTCTCGGCGACGGCGATCACTCGCGCTGTTCAAGGTGTACGCTTCAGGGTAGATGGTTCATAGTTCGCTGTCGCAATGTTCATGTCGTGAAGACGATCGCTGCGCTCAACCTCTGCCGCTTGGAGCGCTGCCGTATGGTCTTGTCGGATCGGCTCAACCCAAATACATTGCATGCTCGATCCACCCGCTATCTTGCTCCAGCTGCGTCCAGTCTTCTTCTCGAAGACACATGCCAACGACTGCGCCGTGTGATGGGCTCTTGGGCATGATGTACATCAGACTCTCGACGGGGGTGAAGGCCGGACGACGGACAGCGAGCGGCATGCCGAGACCCATGCCAAAGTCGAGCTGATCGAGCTTCGCAAACGCCCAGGAACTCAGCATGATGCCCGTGGACGGGTCTACAGGCGCCGTTATGTTGATGCTGCCTTTGTCCTGGAGCCGGTCGAGGACGGTGGCGAGGGCTCGAGTATCCTCGGACAGCTTCGGCGAGTTGAGCTCGCTGCGCAGCTTGGCTGCAATCTTGCCGAGCGGCTCTTCGCTGATACTGTAGAGCAAAGATTCGCTGTATGCCATGTTGGTCAGCGTGCCTGGATACGTCAATGGCACAGCCATACGACTCCGCAAATCGACCGCACGAGCAAACACCGTTGCGCTCTTCGCCTCGATCCTCGCTGCTCTTGCACGAGACAGGTGCTTCCAGATGAATGCGCAGACTGCATCGTCGGAGCTGATGTAGTTGATGTCCGTGTCTTTGGTGTCTGTCGCGATGCTCTTGAGAGCTGCAACCGATTCGATCGAGAATGCGACGTAGCCCCACCAGATTTCGGGTGCGACCGTTGGAATCGACAAAGGCGCTGCGGACTTGGCTTGCAGGCGTTCAAGCCACGCCTGATTCGGTTCCCATGTACCGTCATGCAGAGTCAAAATCTTGCTCTTGTCGATGTTCGCGATGACAAGCTCCTCGTCGGATAGACTTGTACCATTGCATGCCCTCGAGAGCCAGGTCACGACAGCCGCCATACCAGCCATGTCCATGACGTTGTGTTGCGCGGCCACGGTGAGTATCAGTCCGCCGGTGATGAAGTTGGCTTGGAGCGCGAGGACGGGACCTGTCTCTGCGACGAGACCGATCTTGCTTCCAGGAAGGTTCAAAGTCATGCACGGCGCGATGAGGCTCTCGTCGAGCAACGAGAAAGGATATTGTGTGCTTTGAAGGGCGTTCAGTGTTACGGTGCTGCCAGCCTTCCGCAGATCTGCAACGACTAGCGGAATCTCTGTAGACTCGACAATGCGATAGGATCCGCTGCACCCCGGTTTTGAGTTCTCGTTGCGAACGTTGCCACGCAGCCAAGGCAACTGTGCAGCCAGGCTATCGAGTCCGCGGCGTAAAGCGCTTGCGACCTGATGTCTGTTGGATGCCCCATCGTCGAGCGCAAAGACAAAGGCGATTTGCGTGTACAACTTGAAGAGCGATGGCTGGCTGCCCAGCACGTCGAGGAGCATGTCGTGCAAGTGATTGACGGCAAGCAACGATGCTGTGCTGTCATTGAGGGATGCCAACAGCCAACAACTTGGCAATTTTTCGTTCATAAAGCGGCAGACGGTCGAGGAAATGAAGCAACTCATCTTGCGGCGCCGTGTCTCTAGAGCAGTCCTCGACTCCTGCCAGCATTCAAGGGCCAATTCAAAAGGTCGCAAGTCCACCTCGCCCGAAGACGCCCGTGCGCGGCGCGAAGAAAATCCCTCGGCAACTCCGGTGGTAGCGAGGACAAGTCTTGCCCCGCGATCCGATGTAGGGTGCTGAGCATCTCGCTCGAGGAGAGACCAGGCAAGAAGCACTGGCGAGGTGCCTGCGGGAGACTCGATTCGTTTGGACTCAACAAGGGTCCAAGCTAACGTTCTATCCTTCGAGATTCCGAATCCGCGTCAGTTTGGCGTGAGGTTCCAACTCGAGTTCCGATGTATCGGCGCTGGATCCGAAAGCTGGACAATCATCGTGTAGGTGCATTTGATTGCGGAGCCGTTGTTCGGGTCGGAAAAGACGTTCCGAGCCGATGACAGCGGAGTTCAAGAGCGAGACGATCGTCAAGAAGAAGTAGCAGCGACATGACCGCCCACATTGCCCGATTCGCGGAATTGTGCTTCCAGAGAGGCCGCCCCCTTGCCTGACAGCAGCCTGTCACGAAAGGCGGCATCGAAGTTGCGTGCGGCTCTTGCAAGCGAGCTTCCCTTCTCGTGTTTCCGCTGTGGACCTAATTCCCCACACGCACCGCCCCCACTCCGAGAACATTCAATCTTCCAATTGCGCCATCTGAACAGGTGGGACCGCATGATCCCTCGCTGAACCCCCCCGCGAGCCATCGAGTCCGGTCTTCTAGCTCGCTTTGCACATTGCATGTGGTCCGGCTTTCGCGTGTGGCTCGACAAGTTTAGGAAGGATGCGAGCAAAGCTGTTGAAGAGACATATTAATAACGGGATATGCACCTATTCTGACCGGAGCAGTCCCATCGATGGCACCGCCATCACTTGCGTTGCAACGATTCGGAACTAGCTGGTCTCATACCAACCAACGGCCCGCCGCCATGTCTTTCAACATAATATCAAGCTTGCGGTTGCTCCTGGCATGTCTGGTCGTTGTCGTAGGCGCTCGATCGGCATCGGCTGCGGTAAGGAGATCTTCCGCCAAGCCCAATTTTGTGTACATCATTGTCGATGATCAAGACTTTTCCACGGCCAACCCGCACATCATGCCTAGGCTGACCGAGAGAATTGCCTCCCAAGGTACCAACTTCACACACTTCTATACTCCCATGTCGATCTGCTGCCCTTCGAGGGTGGGATTTCTCCGAGGCCAGCATGGTCATTCACACAACGTGACCAACGTAGCCCTGCCATGTAAGTTGCTGTGATTGAAAGACCTCTAACCTACACTCGTCCTTGATCTCGTGCTCTTGAAGCTGACAGCAGCTTGGTTCGATGATCCGATCGAACGCGAAACAGACGGCGGCTGGACTCGTTTTGTCGCCCAAGGCTACCGTCGGGACTACCTTCCCACCTGGCTTCAAGAGGCCGGCTACAGCACCTACTACACGGGCAAGCTTATGAATGGAAACACGGTCAAGAACTGGCAGGCGAGCCCGGTCCTTGGCTTCAATCGAAGCGCGATTCTCAACGATCCGTTCACCTACGTCTACAACAATGCATCTTTCTCGATTGACGGGCAGCAGCTGGTGCAGTACGAGGGTCAATACAGCACCGACGTCGTCCGCGATTTCGGCCTGCAGTACTTGGAGGAAGCCGCTTCTTCAGGTCAGCCTTTCTTCGTTGGGATTGCACCAATTGGACCCCACGCGGAGACAACGTTCGTCAATGGCTCGGCGGTTTTCTCGAATCCAGTACCTGCAAAGCGACACAAAGACTTGTTTGCTACCGAAGTTGCGCCGCGAAAGAGCTCGTTCAACGCGGACCATCCTTCCGGTGCTGGTTTCATCCGGGATCTCCCGCGTCTGAACAGCTCGGTGGTCGACTACCTTGACGAATGGTACCGCGACCGCTTGCGCTCCTTGCAAGCCGTCGACGAGCTGGTCGGTGCTGTGATGGACAAGGCAGAGCAGCTCGGCATCCTCGACAATACCTACTTTATCTACTCGTCAGACAACGGCTACTCTGTCGGAGAGCATCGGCGCCAGCCAGGAAAGACCACCGGCTACGAAGAAGACATCCGAGTCCCCCTCTACATTCGCGGACCTGGCATCAGCAGCGGCAGCAAGCAAGACGCCGTGTACAGCAACATCGACCTGACGGCTAGCATCGTGGAGAAGGCCCAGGCGCAGCCGAGCTACGACCTTGATGGACGCGTCATGGCCTGGGCGGGAGACAAGACCAGCTTCCGCAAGTCCGGTTCCGCCACTCATCATCTGAGCGAGTTTTGGGTCTCGCAGACGGACGGCGAGGGCAAGTACTCGGGCGAAGGTCCGGTCATCTTGAAATACAGAACTCTTCGCGTCAAGGACGGCGAGCACGACCTTTCGTACACCGTCTGGTGTACCGGAGAGCGAGAGCTCTACGACATGACCAAGGACTTGGACCAGATGAACAATCTTGTCGGGCAGCTAGCTTTTTACAGCAGCCTCAACAGCACGAGCAGCGACGCCGAAAAGATTGCATCGCGCATGGATGCCCTTCTCCTCCATCTGAAGACGTGTCACGGCAGTCTCTGCCGACGCTTGTGGTACAATCTCTTCCCCGAAGGACAGGTGCAAGATCTGAGCAGCGCACTGCAGACCCGCTGGGATGGCTACTTTGACTCGATGCCCCGAGTACGCTTTGACAACTGCCGGGACGGATACTTTCCCACGGAGGAGCTGCCGGCCTGGCGCAACGAGCTTGTCTACGTGGATCCGGCTCTTCTGGCATAGTACTCGCAAGACATCTGCCGATCCATTCCGAAGATGCTGCAATGTCGATCGCTGAGCGGCAATTCTATCCAAGATAACAGACGCTCCTTCCACGTTACTCCTACACATTAACAGACGAACGAAGCGCCGCTGAAGATTGGCAGCCTTGGCGTTGCATTGCTTTGAACAAAGTGCATTTGAGGCTCGTCGCCTGGTCGGCCTATCGAGAACAGTCGCAGAAGGATTGGTGTGGCTGAGAGACACCGTAGTCAGTGGTCGAGCCAGCCTTTTCATGGCTCGATTCGGAACTCGGAAAATGCGGTTGCGCTCGGAAAGTCAGGTGGAGGCATACAGCCGTGCGCTTTGCAGGTGGCCGAAGACATTCCCGCAACCGCCATCTTTGGCATTCAGCCTCTAGCACCCAGTCCTAGGACGACAAGACAAGAATGTGCGCCGGCGGCTCAGAAACTTCGATGCAGGCCGGCCTGACGGTTGAAGAGCCGCCAGAGGCGCTTGCAGAGCTGTTCGTCGATTCGCACTGCCACCCTACGGACGATCCCGCGGCGTACACCGAAGCCAATCTCGACGAGCTCTCGAGGCGGATCCAAGATTCTGCCGTCGGGAAGCTTGTCTGTATGTCGACAAATGCACGCGACCAGGACCTTGTCGCCGAGCTAGCTTCACGGCACCCCTCGAAGGTGATCCCGTGCTTCGGCTGGCATCCGTGGTTTGCGCATCAGATCTCCCTCTCTGATCCTGCTCCAAGCAAGCGAAACCACTACTATCAGCTGTTTGGCTTGAGCGACAGCCAGACCGACGACCGCAGCGATCTCAAAAGCGAGCTTGACTCCATGTGGGATCATCTACCGGATCCGGTCTCGTTGAAGGACGTCTGCCAGGCAATTGGAGAAAACTTCGAGCGCTTCCCAAATGCGCTTCTGGGCGAGGTCGGCATCGACCGTGCCTTTCGCATACCGCGGAGAGCCTGGAACTACGATCCACAGAAGACAGCCGAGGACACCGCAGATCAACCAAGGTTGACGAGGCTCAAGACCCCGCAAGCCCATCAGATGTCGATCCTGCGCGCCCAGATCGAGGTCGCGCTGCGCTTCAAGCGCAACATCTCGCTGCATTCGGTCCAAGCAGCGGGCTTGACCGTCGACCTGCTCTCGTCCCTGCGCAACACCGATCTAGCCTCGTTTGGCGCCATCCGGCTATCGCTGCACTCGTGCACCATGGATACCAACGTGGTCAAGTCGATCACCAAGAAGCATGCCAACGTCTACGTCGGCTTTTCGTCGACAATCAACCGAAAGCAGATCCTGCAGAAGGAGTGCCTGGCCGGTGTTGATCGCACACGTGCCCTGATGGAGAGCGATCACCATACGGTGAGACGCATGCCTGCATGCCTGCTGCAAGCGACTCGATACTTCGCCGACTTGCACAGTCTCAGCCTAGAGGCGGCTGCGCAGCAGTTGCGCTCGAATTGGAACGCATTCTACTCGTCGACGTATTGCCAGGACCAGGACTCAGATACGGATTGATTCTCGCCGAATGTCAAAACGTCCATCACAGATGCTGCGCGGGGGTATGCAGGAATTTATGATTGCTTGTGCGGACGCGGGCCCTCACACTTGTTGACTCTTGGTGAAAGACGAAGGACCAACGAGTGAGGGGGCAGAGATGACGTTGCCGTACTCATCGACCGGCGGATAGCGAGCCATGCGCTCGAGATCATCCAGGTCCATGTGGGAGCGGATGTACATGTTTTGAGTGTCGTTGGGGACCTGATAGTCCCAAGAGGTCCACGCGCCCTGCTTGAGGCTGGAAAAGACGAAGCGCCTGCGTCGCTGGACTGTGAGGACGTCTTCGGTGATCTTTGCCATGTCCCAGCGCTTGAGCGCCTCGAGCTCAAAGTCGTCGAGCACCTTTCGGGTCGCTTCGTCGAGTGCATCGCGATCGGAAGCGAGATTGACCAGTTCCTTGGGATCATGAGCCAGATTGAAGAGCTGCGGAGGGTCGGCGGGGCATATGATGTACTTCCAAGGACCACGTCGAATCATGCACAGAGGCGCGACGGTTCCTTCTCCCATGTATTCGGCGATGACGGTGTCGTGACCCGTGCGTCCGAGCAGATGCGGGAGCATGCTGATGCCGTCGAGGGGCAGCTGCTGTTGGAGCGGGATGCCGACAATGTCGCAAAAGGTGGGCAAGAGGTCCATGGTCGAGACGTTGGCCTTGACGCGGCGAGGCGAAAACATCTTGGGATAATTGAAGAGGAGCGGCACGCGGACCGAGCTCTCAAAGTAGCTCATCTTGTACCAGAGCGAACGCTCGCCCAGCATGTCTCCGTGGTCTCCGCTAAAGACGATGATGGTGTTGTCGCGCAGGCCGCACTTGTCGAGCGTGGCTAGCAGCTGGCCGATCTTTGCGTCGACGTAGGAAACGGAGCCGTAGTAAGCGCGCTTGGCTCGCTTGATCTGCTCTGGGGTGAATTGCCTGCCGTCGAGGTCGCAGACGTGGCGAAGGCGCTTCGAGTGCGGGTCCTGTCTGTCTGGGTGGATCTCGACTTCGGGCATGTTGATATCGACGCCTTCGTACAGATTCCAAAACTCTTCCTCGATGGTGTACGGGTCGTGAGGATGCGTAAAGCTGACAGTGAGCGCAAATGGACGTGCCGAGCTTGCGCCGCCGCTACGGCGAGCGTAATCGAAGAGATACTGGTTCGACTTGTAGAGGACCTCTTCGTCGTAGTCCATCTGGTTTGAACGGACACAGGGGCCAGCCTGGAGGATGCTGGAGGCGTTGTGGTACCACTCGAGCCTTCGGTCGGGCTCGTCCCAGTTGACAGCCCATCCGTAGTCGCCGGGATAGATGTCGGCGGTGAGACGCTTCTCAAAGCCGTGGAGCTGATCGCCAATAAAGTGCATCTTGCCGGCGAGGATGGTCTCGTATCCGGCGGAGCGGAGGTAGTGGGCGTAGGTGGGGAGGTCCGAGCTAATAGAAGCGGCATTGTCGTACGAGCCGATCTTGGATGGGAGCTGACCGGTGACGAGAGCCATGCGCGAAGGGGCGCAAAGGGGCGAGTTGCAGTAGGCCGAGTCGAGGACGACTGCGTCGCGAGCAAGGCGGTCGAGGTTGGGCGTGAGGATCTGCGAGTTTTCGTTGTACATTCGCAGCTGAGGAGCCGCGAGCTGGTCGGCCATGACGAAAAGGACATTGGGCCTGCTTGTGGACGTCGAGGCGGTGGCCTGGGTGTAGGCTCCATTTGCATGCCCGTTGACGGCGTGACCGTTGGCGCCGTTCGCATGTCCGTTTGCATGGGCGTTCGCATGGCCGTTTGGGCCGTTTGCGTGCCCATTCGAATAGCCAGCGGCGCCAAAGGCGTGCGAGTCTTGTACCGGCATGATGCTCGAGCGCTGGCGTGGATGAACAGTCCTAGGTTGTCGTTAGAATGAGCAAAGATGTATCGCCCACACACAAGCTACATATACGACGGAGGTGGTGGAGGGCGAACATAGGAGCGAGATGGGTTCTATTCAAGGCATGCGTGCAACCCTGCCAGCTCGGTCAGCTGGCTGAGATTGACTGGAAGACGGCGGCGGCGGAAGCGGTGGGGACATACATGCTTGCTGCTTGCTGCTTGTTGCGTGTTGCGTGTTGCGGAGGGTGGGATTCATGCAGGGCCAGCAAAGCGTGAACGTGAAATGGGCGCTGCTGCTCATGTCAAGAAATGCTTCGGCAGGAAGCACGCCATCTTAGCGCGTCTGCGTGCAATTTGGCCTGGGGATGGCGTATTCGCTAAGGCTCGTAGGGGAGCCCAGATCACACGAGCTCGGCGCTTGCCAAAGCCTGCATCGCCGCTCGAGCTCAAGCTGCAGCGTCCACGTAGATTGGCTCGGAGGCAGGTGCGCCGGCAAACGGCAGACGGCAGCTCCGTCGTGGGCACGCAGGAGAACACGCCGTTGGAGAAGCCTCACCGCCGCAGAGTCGAATCATCGGCCTGACCCGACTTGACCGAAATTCTTCGACTTGACCGACAGTTTCGCGGCTGCTGCCTGCCAACTTTCTTTTTTGGCTGGACGCAGGTGGCATGCATGCATGCACCTGCATGCTTCTCGTCGCGCGTCTTCCAGCTGATAACGCGAGGCCAGATCGGTGCCCCGATCTGGACCTTCTCATCGCACTGGCAGCCTCGGTCACGCCCAAGCCACTGCGCCGGCTCTCATCGTCATATTGAGGTTCAGATGAACTCGCTCGTACGCTTACATGAAAGCCAAATGGGCGTCGTATATCGTCAATCTTAGCCCAGCCACACAAGCGGGCTAGAGCTTGGTGAGACTTGAAGCAGACTGGGCATCGAGCTTCTACTGGCGCTTCGGCTTGCTACCGCTTCGACCCTTGAAGCGAGCTTGAAGTCGAACGACCGCGGCACCAGTGCCGCACGCCGCAAGCCCAGCGACACTGTAGAAAGCGAAGCGCTGCGCATCACTGAGAACGTCCAGCAAAGGGTACGGATAGTGGCCATTCATCTCGGCACACTTTCCTGCCCAAAGACTGCATAACAGGCACCAGCGATGGCCGGCACGGATCGAGCGAATTGGATTGGTCAGTAACTCTTCAGCATCCGACAAGCCACGCGATCTAGGCCTCCCACTCACGCATAGCTGACGGTAACCGTTGCCGCCACGGCAACGATCGGGATGGACTTGGGTAGCGGTCGGCTAAACAAGAAAAAGTCGACCAGCAAGAATACGCCAGGAAAGGCGTGCAAGCTTGCATCGATCGAGAACGGCACCGACACCGTTTCTTCGCGAAGCACCTGGCCAGGATTGTGCGGGTCCATCACCTTCTTGGGCTGCATCAAAAGATCCTTATTGATCACCACGATCGACCAGTACAGAATGGTGATCATCGTCTCGGTCGGCAGTGAGGCGGCCATGGCGAGGTCCTTGGTCCAGCTCAGCGCTACGACAATGTCAAGAAAGAGTGTGGTCAGTGAGATTCCTCAGCATAATCTCATTCTCGAGGCTCAAAGCTCATCAGCGATACGTACCTTCTGGTGTTCCGACGATGTCCTGTATGGTGGCCAGGACCATCGTGATTGCCGTACCAGTGAGACCGCACATGGTCAGAAATTGCATGAACCCTTAAGAGCGAAAGACCAGGAACGAGTCAAAAGTCAACACCTCTGCATCTAGCGCCCCGTGCTAACAGAATCGCAAAAGTTGCGGGCTCTCATGCATACCTCCGTATTCTTCCTCCATGCTGACGCCGAGCAGCTCGGGCAGAACTTCGAGCGACTTAAAGCCGTAGATGCACGAGGACAGCGCCACAACATGCCATGCAAAAGCTGAAAGACGCTGAGCCGTCACCGCCATGATGAGTCGTTGGCCTTTGTCGAAGTCGAAACCGCGCTCCTCTTCTTGCTGAGCGCTCCTCTTCTTGCTGAGAGAGCCGGGTCGTGAGAGCGAGCGACGGTCCGAGAAGCAGGGAACGAATAAACCCGCAAAGGATGAAGCAATGGATGAGAGCGCGCCTGCCGTCGTCGTCTTGGTGGTCGATCGTCAAGGGGCGACACACACCTGGCTCCGATCAGGTTGCGGACGGTCCCGTCGCCGCCCTTCAGGGATCCAACACCCGCACCGGAAGGTGGAGGCCGGCTCGAGACTCCCGCGGAATCTGCAGCGCGGATTGCCGAAAGCGGAATCGCGTTGCCCGTATGCCGAGCACGGAATTTCCGACCCCCCTTTTCGAGGCTTTTTCATGGCTGAATATCTTGAAGATTTCCGCGGATACAAAACCCTGACCGTCCAGACACCCATACGAACCTCTTGCTCATAAGCAACTCATTTGATGCTCGATCTCGTCGCAGTGAATCTTCAGAGTGCAGTCAGGAGAAGCCATAAGAGGAAAGATGTACATATAATGCCCAATGAGTCTAAGTCTATCAATACACAACGGTGACTGGGTGATCCAGGGAAAAGAGAGTGATTGTCCAAAGGAAGGATTGGTGCTTGCAGATGCTGCAAGCGAGTGGGGACCGTGACGGTGGAATGCTGGTGAAGGAGAGGGACGAAAGGGTAGCCCGTTACAGACGGCATTCGCGGAAGAAGGGCATCGAGACGTCGGTCTCGCGCCAAAAGCGGATGATGCGATGAGCGATCTCGATGGGTCGCTCGTGGGGAAGGTTGTGGGTGCCAGTCATGACCTCAAAGTGCAGGTTGGGGATGCCCTGGGCTGTGTGGAAGATCTCCTCGAGCGGAAGTAGCAGCGGCTTGTGCGCCGATACAAACAGAACCGGCAGGCGAGCGGGCAGGCAGTGAAGGTATTGCGACAGCTGCATCCCGGGTCGGTTGCCACGGATCGAGAGCGCTTCGGCCACCTTGTCGGCGCTGCGTTCGACAGTGCCAGGATGAGTGAGCGACTCGGTGAGCATTCCTGCTGCGAATGCATCGCGCGTCGATGGATGCCAGAGCCTCATGTGCTTGTCGCTGTCCGCCTCCTGGCGGGCCTCTTCGCGCGACTCCCAACGGTCCTTCTTGAGCAGCGTATACCTAGCCAGAGGTACAGCGTGGATGCGATCCGCCGACTCGAAAGTTGACAGAATGCTCTCGAGAAGCGAGACCGAGTCAAAGAGGTCCGGAAAGTGGTACGAGGCCTGCATCAGTGCAGAGCCTCCGAAAGAGTGGCCGATGCCCACCAGCTTCTTGCGCGGCAAGCGTGGGAGGTGGAAGTCGAGCGTGCGCGACGGCTCGACAGGCGTGGTGGTAGGCGTCGATGGCATAAAGCAGCAGATGAACTGCAGGATGTCACGAGCGAGATCGTTGCCATCGATGCAGCGATCGCTGAATTCGAGTGGGCTGGGGTCGTCCAGCTGTCGGTTGACCACGGCCGACATGCCGTGGCCGAGCGTGTCAATCATCCAAATCTCCTCGATCTCGTTGGGCTTGGTTCGCAGAAGCTCGTCGATGATGGGGATGTAGCACTCCTTGGAGAAACCGAGGCCGTGTGTGAGGATGAGGATCTTGGCATCCGGGTTCTTGGGCGCGCGCTTCGGAACGAGGCGCTCGACGACAAGGACGCGGCGCTTACGCAGCTGCTTAGGGTCGGTTCCTCCGCGTACAAAGGGAGTGTAGAGGCCTGGCGTGGGCTCCACCTTGACGGGAACGAAATGGCAGGCATCGACGGCACGAGCATTTTGAGAGAGCACCTCGTGCGTGCCCGGGAGCAGCTCCGAAAGCGACTCGCCACCGGCAAGAGGTGCGGAGTAGGTGGCGCGCGGGTAGGCGATGGGCATGGTGAAGTTGGTGCGGTGGAAGCCATCACCGTGCGAAGATCCAGCAGGATACTGCGGGAGCGGAGGGTTGATGCAAAGGTGGTGGAGGCGCTCAGCAGCCAGGTGAGCGGCCTCGAGGTCGATGGGTGCAAGGCAGGAGCCGAAGCCGGTGTCGATCTGCTTAGGGGCCTGCATGGTGATGATTGAGCTGTTGTGGTCGACGATTGAACACCTGTCCAGCAGGGGATCACGATGGCGGCGGTAGTGTGCAGAAGGGGAAGACCTGTGCGGTGGATGCTCCAGAGATGCCAGCTCTTCGAGAGGATCCGGGTCGGCGTGAGCGAGGTCGAGGCGATGGTATGGGTGGAGAAGGGGGAACTACAAGAGTGGGAGGGCGGAGTATGGAGACCTAGATATATATCGGACAGCCTAGAGGTGAACAATTGTAGAGCGCAGAGAGCAGAGCGAAAACATGATAGGGCGTCGTTCCTGGTAGCGGCGCACCTTGAAACCCTGGCTGGGCGCCAGGGCGCTTGATGGGCGAGGGATAGGGAGAGGCAATTCGCCTTGGTGTCTCCGGGCACCATCGGTGATCAATGGCTTGACAGGCGCATCGCCAAGGTCTCAGAGAGTGAGTTGCCGAGATGGCGGCTGAGCATGGCGGGCGGCGCTAAGCTTATGCGCACATGTGCGGACTTTGAACGCCGACGTCCACCGGAGAAGAAAGGAGGAGGAAACAAGAGGGCAGGGTCTGTTCCTGGTGCGGAAGGTGACAGGCTGTCCAAGTCGAGATCGCGTCTGTCTCGGAAACTGTGGATGGCCTGTTTCAGGCAAGACGTGGCAGAAGTGGCTTTGGCGGAGACGAGGCAAACGGCGCGAGAGCGAGAGTGGCTCAGCGTAGTTTGCAGCGCCGTCAGGCGCATGGCCTGGTTTTGCAGGCGGAGAAAAGCACGTCTGCATCCCTGCCAGATGAGGCTCGCTCAGGGATCGCCGACATGCCTCGTACCTTTTGCATCCGGTAGCATTTAAGAGTAGGTTAGTCCGGAACTCGACGCATCTTGCCGCCCATGTCACACCGCCAAGTCTTAGCGCCCCGAACAGTAAGCTTTGTCGCCAGTCTACAGCTCAGTACCGCGCAACGGCCAGGACAACTTGACCGACTTGGCCGCGGAGTGACAGGATGAGCGGAGTGTGTGCGTCTTGCTTGCTTGTTTGTGTGTCGTGGCCGACAGCATTTGTTGGGTTGGCGCAGCGAAAAGGTTCGAGCGCCGAAGAGGCGGCGAGGATGGTACATTGGCAGCAATTCGTGTCCGCTTTCGACAGCTTGGTCCGATCTGCAGCGAGGCCTTTGGGCGCCAAATGGATTTGATGCTCAAACTGACAGCTTGCCTCGCCGAATCCGACCCGCCCTGACGCTACGCAGGCGCCTCTATGCAGTGTACAGGCAGAGTGCCCACGGGATTTCGAGCGCAGACCCCGATGCGAAACTGGCTGGCGGGTGGTGAAACAGGCGCAGTCGCCGCCGCCAGGACCATCTGAAAAAAAAATAAAAAAATTTGAATCAGTTTTGACGATTCGCGGCAGCCGAGCACGGTCGGGCGACTTCCGCTCCGAGGGATCTGCAAATTGCTTGGCTCGAGATCGACCTTGGTCGAGCCACCTGCGCGACGTGAGACAACGGCGGCGTCTTTTCAATGCCAGCCATATTCAACCAACTGTGGCCTGGTGCCCATCTGGCGCTAAACATCCATTTTCAGCGTTAGCCGCCAACGCCTCTTGAAACCCGATTCTGGACTCAGCCAGACCTCAGGCGCGCCTCGTGGTGCGCTAGCGCAAGAGGCATCGCCGCCGTCGCCGCGCTTCCCTTTCCGGAGCGGAAGCACACCAACGCTTTTGGAAGCCCGTTTGCAAGCATCCACCCGGCTGCCCTAGCGAGCCACACGCGCTGCGGCCCGTGTACACGAGCCATCACCGTCGCTGCTGAGTGCATCGCCAGCGGCCAGCGGCCAGCCGCCTTGGCAAGCTGGCAAGCTGACAATTGTGCGGGCTGAGTGCGAAGCGACCCATGAGAAGATTGGCAAGAAAATGTCTCGCTGACTTGGTTGGATTCAGCCCCGCTATCCGCTTGTATGGTGGGACCGATACCTGTCAGTCAGCCTTTTCGCGTCGCGGCTCAAGTGGCTCCTCTGCCTCAGAGCATTCATCGAATTCCAAGCTCCCCGTCGCCTCGAGTCTCGCAAAGGACAAGGTCTTGGATACGTGCGTCCCCCTTCCCACGCCAGTGACCATCTACCGCTGATAAGCTCGAAACAAAGCGTGGTGGTGATGCCGTAGCACTACTCTCTGTCTACTTTCTCTGTCTACTTCCGCGGACGATCTCACACATCGCGGCTATTCGAGTCCGCGATGTTGAGCGCGACTGTATGCGTGTGTGCGAAGCTGCCCTCGCGCCAAGCCACAACAATCAGCAGCAGGCTTCCGAGAGACTTTCCCCCAACAATGCGAGCCTCGGTACAGCAGCCTGCTGGGCTGAATATGACAAGAGAGCCAAACTCGATACCCTGTCTCACAGCGACTCGGATAATATAATCTCTCACGCTATCCGTCCGTGTCTCTCTGTGTGTATCGCTCTTTTCGCTTTCTTTCTCGCCTGGTTTTTTCGGTCGCACGGAGATAGGATCCTATCATCGCCTGTGCGCCCATATCGATTCTTATAGAGCTCGCCCGTCAATTCCGAAGTCTCCCGAGCCGTCTCCGTATCGTCGTGATTCCGTTGGAACTCGTTCCTATCTTTCAGGGATACCGACCCGCTCAATGCGACACGTGGCTGACCAGCACTCGGTTCAGTTGTCAAAGGAATTGTATTGGAACGTGACCGCTGGGCAGTGCTTCAAAATACCATGCAGAGTCGGCCCTGCAACTGCTTCGAGTTGTAGTGCTCGGCCATCTTGTTGGCATCTTCGACACTGTACGTCTTTTCAATGTAGGTCGAGCATCCATTGTCTGCATGGAGCGCAAGCATGTCCTGACACTGTTCGGGCGTGCAGATGAGGCGGCCGCGGATGGTCTGCTCCTTGAAGTTCATGGCGAAGGGGTCGAGCTCGAACGGTCCGTCGGCGGGAAGACCGACATCGACGAGCTGGCCACCCTTGCGCAGGAACTGCTGGCTAAACTTGATGAGTCCGCGGTCTTCGCAGTTGATCACGACGCGGTCGACGCCCGGGTTGGTATCGTACAAGCTCGACGAGAGCTCTTCGCTGCACTTGTTTTTGGCCTCTTCTGTGTCGATCAAAAACGTCTTGTCGGGCTTGAGGTGGTCGGCGCACTTGTTGGCGAGCTCGAGGCCTTCCTTGCGATTGTCGATGGCGATCACCTTGCAGCCCATCGCCTTGGCGTACTGCACTCCGAGATGACCGAGACCGCCGATGCCGACCATGGCGAGCCACTGGCCCTTCTCTGGCTTGACAGCAAGAAGCGCTCCATACACAGTGGCACCTGCGCAGAACAGAGGCGCGGCCTGGTCGAAAGGAATGCTTTCGGGCACCTTGGAAACCACACGCGCATCCGCTCTCATGTACTGGGAGAAGCCTCCGTTGAGGGTGAGGCCGAGCATGCCGGGCATATTGTCGCAGAGCTGCTTGCCCTGCTTGCACGAATCGCACTTGCCGCAGAAGCCGTAGGTGTTGATCGAGCCTACACGGTCGCCGACCTTGATGCCCGACTTTTCTGCATCCGAGCCTGCTTTAACTACCGTGCCGACAGGCTCGTGCGAGCCGACCAGGCCGGGCTTGGCGCCTTGCGACTCGTACACACCGTCCATGACCTGCAAGTCGGTGTGGCAGTAGCCGGCGGCGGCGATCTTGACGAGAACGTCGTTGGGACCCAGATCAGCGGGGACATCGATGTCCTTGACCTCGTAGCCCTTCTTGAAGTCCTTGATGGTGGCCGCACGCATCTTTTGCGGGATGGATTCGCTCGACATGGCTGGCTTTGGATCTGCTTCGACAGTGGTGGAGATGAAGTCGCTGACAAGAGATGTGCTGGTGGAATCTCCTCTCAAAGTAAGAGGGCTTTACAGGTGGGCTGATCGGATTGGAACGCTGCTGTGCGCATCTCTTATAAGGATTTCTAAGTTTCAGAGCTTCGCCGGGCAAAGGCTTAGGCTGAGCCGGTGGCGATGAAGGATGTCCCTACAGGCGGAAGCCCGCAGCGAATGGATTCGGGCTGACTGACATCGGTAGAGGAGCAGCGAGGTGGCCTAGTCAAAGCGAGTATGTGATTCACAGGGTCCTCCACTATGCAGCCACACGACATCAGGCTGATTCACACCGGGTCAGTCAGCCCCGCGTTGCGGGAGCGCGTCACACTGCGGCGGGGTCGAAGAAACGTGGTGCCGGCTCCTGCATCTCTTTGCGCTTGCGGCATTCGATGCGTTCTCGTCACTGCAGCCCATTGTCTTCTGATGGAAGGGGCCGTTTGATGACCGCGACGCGCGCTGTAGGGTGTGATTCATCAACACGTCACAGGCCGAATTGACTCAGCGAGCCGCACTCGTTTCTCTCCGCCAGCTAGGAACGTCGAATAGCGCGTCTTGTCCAGATCTGAGCATCATCCGCACGAGTGCAGCAACCAACCCACCTATGTGAGACCGGCTGGGTGCACACCGTCCTGCAAGCGATTTTGGGTCGGATTCCGGAGGCTTGAGGTGGAGGCATGAAGTGAAATTGATTAAGGGCAGAAAGGCGCAGCCGAGCCGATGCGGCTCGTGAGCCTTTGTCATCTTTCGGCTCTCGCTAGTCACGGACGGCCATAAGCGTGAGGCTCCGTTCCGTTTTCGCCATGATGAAGAGGTGCGGACCCTCGTCAGCTCACTGATGAGATGAAGCTGCCAAAGCTCGACCGACAAATTTGCGGCTGCATGACATTACGCCAGTCGGTGACAAGCGGCAATTCAGCGGAGATAGTCGTTCGGCAATTTCTCATCTCATGCAGAGAGCAGAGTGTCGTTCGACATCCGCGGATGCTCGCGCATACGTCTCGCTCCACGTTGCCAGGTCCATTTGCACACGGCCATCGGCCCACCATTGGGGCTTCGTCGACAAGCAGCTTATCAACCGAAAGCAATTGCTCTGTGTGCGCTCGAGGTACAGACTCAACCTGTGGGTCACCTTACCCGCCGGGCCGAAAGTGGAATCAACCCTAACTGAGATCCCGCTTTGACCACAACGAACCGAGAAATCGTCCGTGCGCGCATTCCGAGATCGCTGCTCCCGTTCGCACCTGTTTCCAGCCTCGCAGAGACGGAAGAGGCTGTCCCACATCTATAAATGCACACGACTTCGGTGCGCTGACGGTCCCTGACTCGCTTCGAGAACATACAACATCCTCTTCGTCTCTTCATCCAACGATCTTCCAGCAATCAGTCATGTCGTCCCTGCCCAAGACCTACAAGGCCGCCGTCTTCGAAAAGAATGGCGGACCTCTCGTTCTCAAGGACATTGAGCTCAAGCATCCCGAAGAGGGACAGATCCTCGTCAAAGTCGAGGCGTGCGGTGTATGCCATTCCGACGCACTCGTCCAGTCCGAGGCATTCGGACCGCTTCCTCGCATTCCGGGTCACGAGATCGTCGGAAAGGTCGTTGAAGTCGGCCCTCACGTCACCAAGTGGAAGCAGGGAGATCGCGTCGGCGGCGCCTGGCACGGAGGACACGACGGCACCTGCCGTCAGTGCAACCAGGGCCTCTTCCAGATGTGCGACAACGGCCAGATCAACGGTGTCACGCGTGACGGCGGATGTAAGTGTCTCGATCCCGGGCCGAAGCTGTATGCTGCCCCGACGCTCTTCTCTGACGACAGCTTGGCTGACCTCCCCGTCCATCTGCTTCTGTCCTGAATCCCAGATGCCGAATACTGCCTCCTCCGTTCCGAGGCTGCCGTGCGCCTGCCGGCCGAGGGCAACGCCGTCGACATGGCCCCGATCATGTGTGCCGGCGTGACCGTTCACAACGGCATCCGCAAGATGAACATCCCTCCTGGCGAGCTCGTGGCCATCCAGGGCCTTGGCGGTCTGGGTCACCTTGCGGTCCAGTACGCCCGCAAGATGGGATACCGCACCGTCGCGCTCTCTCGCGGCACGGACAAGAAGGACTTCGCCATGAAGCTCGGCGCCAACGAGTACATCGACACCAGCAATGGCGACCCCGCCGAAGCTCTGCAGAAGCTGGGTGGTGCTGCCCTGATCGTTGCCACCGCTCCGAACCCGGAGCACATCTCGCCCCTCGTCGGCGGCTGCCGCGCCCTTGGCAAGCTGCTCATCCTCGCACGTAAGTCTTGGCTGATACGGCAGAATTGACGTGCTTCTCGTCTTGGACATCCGTACTGATCTCGACACTCTTTCGGCCTTGCCCCTTTTGATTGGACACCCTTTTGCCTTGCGGGCAACCTGCGTGCACAGCTGTGGGTGACGTGCCGGTCAACAGCATCGCCATGATCACCAAGGGCATCTCGGTGCATGGCTGGCCCTCTGGCCACGCACTCGACAGCGAGGATGCAGTCGAGTTCGGCGAGCGCTTCGACGTCAAGTGCATGTGCGAGACCTTCCCGCTCGCCAAGGCCAACGAGGCTTTCGAGCACATGATGTCCGGCAAGGCCCGCTTCCGCGCCGTTCTGACCATGTAATTGCAGCTTCACCTCGCATCGTATGATGATGGTGTATCCCGATCCGAATGTCAGACGTCTCTACGCTCGATCTTGCATGGAACTTGCGTGAGTGCCTGTGAGGCGCCAGCACGTTGAGCCTGAGACGGTTGCATGGCAAGGTTCCGATTCCGATGCGATCCGAGCAGCGAGGCTTGGATCGGCGATGCTTTGGCTTCATGGGGAAGTCGCGGCATCTTGCCGGTCCAAAAGTCGAGCCGGAGTGCCGACAAAAGAGAGAGCCGTTGTTCGGGAAGGGGAGCCCGAATCGGTTGAATCGACACGCTCGCTTGCCCAAAATCAGAAGCGCGGGGCCCCATTTTTGCTTTGCGGCCTTGCTCCGCGGCGCTCCCTTCCGCTTGCTCACACGGGCCACCTCAATCCCATTTCCCCGAAGCTAGAGCTACTGCGATAAAGGCGCATGCTACGATCCCTCTATCCGCAGCCGCTAATCATCATCGTGTACGACAGATACCTTGAAGTCTCGAGCATAGACCAAGAAGATGACGCAGAACGTCGGCCAATACACGGAGTATGATGCCAGAACGGGCGTCTACTCATCTCGGGTACCCTATAGCCCCGAATCGGCGTCATGCATCTTCGAGTATCTGCTAGGATCAGTCGGCTTCGATGATTCCCAAGAGGTGCTCAGAGAGTGTGCTAGTGGCAAGACCATCTCGTAAGTTGCTCTTTAAGCTCTTCGGCAGCATCCTGAATGTGCCATCTCACCAGTCTCACTCATCCCTCTTTCTTGCGGTGCACCAGGCTCGGCCAGCTCAAGATGGCTGCGCAGAGGCTCGGCGTAGGCTTGATCCGCAAATGCAAACTCAAGCCTGGCGACACTGTCCTGCTCTATCTCTACTCTTCCATCGACTTTGCGGTGGCGTTGCTCGCCTCTCAATTCGCCGGTTTGCGTGTCGCGCTTGCCAACCCAGACTACCTTTCGACAGAGCTCAAGCATGTCTATCGCCTCACCAAGCCCAAACGAGTCTTTGTCACCTCCAAGTACATGAGCAGACTCAGTCGAGCTGCCATCGCTGGACAGACGCTCATCCTGACCGATGGCGACGTGGCAGGCTTCGGAGGTGTGTCCTCGATCAAGAGCCTCATGGTGGACGAGGCCACGGCCAAAGAGGCCAAGGCGCACACACCGGCAAACCTCAACGAGACTGCATATCTTCCGTTCAGCAGCGGAACAACCGGGCTTCCCAAAGCCGTCGAGATCTCGCATAGCAACGTCATCAACATGATCGAGATCTTCCGTCACACGCCGGCTTTGTTTCCTAAAGCTGATGATGGGTCCGAGGAGCAATTTCGGACTCTAACCTTCCTGCCCTTCTTCCACGCATACGCGCTCATCCTCATGCTGCACTATCCGATTCGAGCGCGCGGTCACACCAGCATCATTCGCCCTTTCCAGCCCGAGGCCTACTGTCGTCTGGTTAAAGAGCTCAAGGTCAACTTCCTGGCACTGGTGCCGCCCGTGCTCACACTTCTCACCAAGCATCCCGACGCCACGCCGGAAGCCTTCAGCAGCGTCAAGCAGTCGCTCTGCGGAGCAGCGCCACTCGACTTTGAGACGCAGAGTCAATTCACCAAAAAGACGGGAGTGCCCGTCCAGCAAGCTTTTGGCATGACCGAGACTACGGTGGGCGCGCTCGGTCTGCACGGTGACGAGGCGTCTGGCTCGGTCGGCTGCTTATATCCTGCCACTCTGGGTCGCATTCGCGATGTCGAGACGGGCAAGAATCTTGGCCCAGGCGAACGTGGTGAGCTGCTGGTCCGCGGCCCTCAGATCTGCAAAGGATACTATGGCAACAAGCAGGCTACCGCCGACACCTTTACCGAAGACGGTTATCTTCGCACAGGCGACATTGCCATCGTTGATCCTCGTACTGGCGAGTTCAGTATCGTCGACAGGCTCAAGGAGCTGATCAAGTACAAAGGATTCCAGGTGGCGCCGGCTGAGCTCGAAGGAGTGCTTGTTTCGCACCCCGCCGCTGCTGCTGCGGCTGTGGTGGGCATTCATGACAAAGACCAGGGTACCGAGCTACCGCTCGCATTCATTGAGCTTAAAGCAGGCCAGCAAGATATCACCAAAGTCAAGCAGGATATCGACGCCTTTGTGCGCTCCAAAGTGTCGCACCACAAGTACTTGCGCGGAGGCATCCGCATTCTTGATAAGGTACCCGTGAGCGCCAGTGGCAAGATCCTCCGAAAGGAGATTCGCAAACTGCTCCAGGCCGAGATTGACGCGAAGACCTCTTCCGCTAAAGCCAATTTGTAGTCATGTCGTTCTTCCAGAGTTGGAAGATCTTGCTTAATCTGTCATATAGTGCCTTCATTTCGGATCGCAACAGACTTGACAGGGCGCGAATGAGAAATTCCGGCTGGCACTCTTGCACTTGTCTGATCGGCTTGCATCTGAGCTACAATCGATGTGCAGGGTTGCAGTTGAGTCGTCGTGCTTCATCGAGGTGCGGAAGCGTGTGCAGAACAATAGAGCAGCCGAGCGGAGAGGACGAATAGCGGCCCAGACGAAGCCAGCAGGGCCTGAGCGACCGCTTTTGGGCAAGGTTGAGTGATGCCGAAGGGGGAGGGAGCTGAGTTGAGCGTTGCGATTGGAGCTGTGACACACGAGGCTTGGACGAGAGAAATAGAAATGGCCAGGGTTGCAACAAGGTTTAGAGTTGAAGGGTGAGCATGGCCGACTATGGTGTGCTACCGCGCGCTGACGGAGTGGATGGAGAGTCGGCGGAGGGCGGATTGCAGTTGAGTTGACAACTGAGCTGCTCTGCAGTTCGCCAGAATTGAAGCCTGACGGATCGGATGCTGTGAGCGGATGCTCTTTTGAGCCTGTGCGAGGCTGTCTGTGGCCACGTCGCCGCCTTGCGCCTGTACTGCCCGGATGAGTTGAGCTGCAGAGTTGGTGCCCGGATGAGTCGAGCAGCAGAGTTGGTGCTGGATTGTTAGCATTCCGTCGTTGCGCGCCGGAGCATGCGCGCGGAGGTAGTAGTGATCATTCAATACGGCGACTGTTGTTGCGTCGGTGATGAGCATCTAAGTCACGCTCCGTGGGGGCCCTCCTTCTTAAGACAAAGATACGGTACAAGACCCCCAAAAATCCAGCGAATGTCTCTTGGGCTAGACGAACCACGCCGGATGCCCCCAAAACGAAGCAAACAACTCAAGAAGAAGAAGAAGAAGGCTGAAGAAGAAGAAGAAGGAGGCGGAGTAATGTTGCAATGACGTGACATTGTTGAATGGGAGACAAAAGGTGCGGTCGAGGATATCTTGGAGACTAAAAGTACAGGTCGTGATGGCTGTGTGACATGAGGTTCGTGAAAGGGGATACAGGATGGAAGGTGGCTGAGGTCTAGGCGCTGGTCTCGGCACGAGCGGCCTCCTTCTGGGACTTCCAGAGGGCGATCTTCTCTTTGCGGACCTTGAGACTCTTCTTGACGTTGAAGCCGCCGTCGAGGGTGGTGCGTACCTCCTCGAGGGAGAGCAGCGCAGTCTCGGGGTAGAGAAAGTAGATGAGGACCAGGAAGACGAAAGTCAATCCGGCGAAGAATCCGAACGCGCCCGAGGGCGTGATGGCGTTCATGAGGCTGAGGAAGGTCGAAGACACGACGAGATTGCCCGACCAGTTTGCGGCGGTGGAGATCGAAGTGCCGATCATGCGAGTCTCGGTGGAGAAGAACTCGCCCTGCTGCCAGGGGACGTTGCCGAGACCGGTTGCGTACGAGGCGACGTAGAAGACCATGAATACGAGCATGGCCGAAGTTTGCGAGGTGGGGTACGGGTAGCCCTCGGTGAGATGCTGGTTGGTGGGCTCGAGCATCTTGTGGAAGATGCCGGCGGTGCAGATAAGGAAGATAATGACGCAGGGCATCGTGGCCAGCAGGAAGCGACGTCGGCCGAAGCGGTCGATGTACTTGAGCGGGATAAACGTGAAGATAAAGTTGGCGCCGCTGATGACGAGACCGGTGGCGGTTGGATTCTTGAGACCGGCGCTCTTGAAGAGACTACTAGAGAAGTACATTAAGCTGTTGAAACCGCACAGCTGCTGAGCAACGAGGGTCATGCTCGTCAGAAAGACGGCTCGGCGAGTAGGGACGTCGGTCCAGACCTTGGCAATGCGGTGAGAGAGGGGGGTGTTCTCGGTCTGAATATGTTTTTTCAGAACGCCAACTTTTGCGTCAATTTGTTCTGGCGTGGCGAGCGGGTAAATTCGCGCGAGTGCACGAGTGGCTTCGGCGTCCTTGTTCTGCTTGACGAGGTATCGAGGCGACTCGGACATGAAGAAGTGGATGCCGACGATCTGGACGATGGGGGGGAAGGCGCCGAGAGCGATAATCCAACGCCAGCCGGACGAGACGTTGTTAAAGGCAGCGCCGATGGCGTACGCAATAACCTGACCACCAGTCACAGCGATCGAGTTGAGGCAGGTGAGACGACCACGAGCACGGGCGGGAGCGAGTTCTTGAATGTACACCGGTACGATCTGGGCAGCTGCTCCGACCCCGAATCCCATCACGAAGCGGCCACCAATGACGGTCCACTTTTCATGGGCAGCGGCCTGAACGACGGCGCCGACGATGAAGAGGATGTCGCAGATGACGAGGGTCCACTTTCGGCCGATCTTGTCCGCGACGATTCCGGCGCCGAGGGCGGAGATGATGGCGCCGACGGTGAGTGCCGAGGTGATGAACTCCTTGTTGCCGTCGGTGAGGGGCTGGCCATCGAGATCGGTGCCGACCTGAACGAGGACGGTGGAGATGGCGCCGGTGTCGTAGCCAAAGAGGAGACCGCCGATGGTGGCGAAGAAGGTGAGGCCCCAGAGGTAGAGAGAGTTGCTCTCGCCCTGGCCTGCAGCCTCGATGGCGGCCTCGTCGAGAACGCGGTCGAGTTCTGCGGCATCGATGACACCCTCGGTGGAGACGACGGAGCGGGTGGCTACGTGGAGCTGGTCGAGGTGGTTGAGTTCATGCTTGCCGTCGTCGGAGAGCTTCTTGTCGTCGGACTCGATGGAGCGTGGCTTCTCCTCGGTAGGGGTGATGGCGGAGTCGCGATCACTCATGATGGCTGGGAATCGAAGTGCTTCGAGGGGTGGGAGGTGTGGATGAGGAGCAAGGAGAAGAGGAGGGGTAGGAGCCCGGATGAGGGGATGGATGATGGATGTGGGGAAGAGATGAAAACGTTGATGCGATTATATGGATGATGGGAGGCGCGAGTTCGAGAAGCTTCGCGTGCAGCTAGAAGAGCGTGGGTTGTGCAGGTGGCAAGCGAGAATGCATGCGAGATGGAAGCGTGGCTCTCCAACTGCGGTTGTTGGAGTGCGGAGGGATGTGCGCAGCCTGTACGACCCACGCACAGGCAGCAGGAGACAGGAGAGCGGATGGAGCGGGGCGACGGACCGGAGAGGAAAGCAAAGGGCGGGGAGAGAGTGAGATGAGGTGTGGCATGAAATGAGGTTGCGTAGGGTGGGTGTCGAGACGATGCGGTCGGGTGTGATGCCAAGTCATGGGAGAGGACGCTGCTGGATCCAAGTCGTGGGGGCCAGTTCGGCAAGATGTGCCTCGGCAACAAGGCATGGTTTGCAGCATCTCTTGTTCCTCGCCCAAACCCAGCTGATTGGACGGCGAAACCTCTCCCCACGCCTTGCTCGCGTGCAGCAGCAACAAAATGTTGCGGCTCCCATTGTCCTACTCGTTTCTGGCGCCGCTCCTTTTGGCGTCCCTTGCTTTGAGCCTGCCCTCGATATGATATTGCGCCTGCTCTTCCAAGCTGATGAGGTGTGAGCCCATTTTGGTGGCGACCCAGCGTGACGTTTTTGCCGGAATTGACCGATCGGAAAGATTTGGCTGCTTTTCCGTGGAAATTGACTGCCAGGCTTGGCGAGGACGGGATCGAGAAAGAGGAGGATTCTCGGCGAAATTGCAGTCGCAGCAGAGCGGCTGGATTGGAAATTCAAGCTCAGAGCGCGCTCGGCTGTGAGCGTCGGACCATTGTTCGCCTTGCCGCACCTGCCTGCTTTGCAATCGAGCCAAGGCGATTGTGCTCAAGCATCGAGCGAGCCAGACGAGGCTGTGGGGTACAGTATCGTAAGTGTCGTGTGCGACGCGGGGTTGTGCGCTTGCCAAGGCGGGGTGTACGTCGACACGGTCCGGTGAGGCAGGCGTTGGGGCGGCATCCTAGGCGCGGCTTCGGGGCTTTGCGGTGGCATCTCTGACCGAACTCGGATGCTACGCGGCGATCCTCGTTGTGCGAGCGCCCATTGGCTCTCACGCCTCTAGCTCCGTGTCCCTCCGTGTCATGTTGGCACACGCTCGGCCCTTTTCTCACGCCGACAGACAGACAAAAATTTTGACACGTCGGGTTTTTCAAGTTTCGCACGAGAGAGTTATAGGCTGCAGTGCGTGTATTTCGGTCAAGAGCGTGAGGGGGAGGGGCAGAGCGAGAAGGGGCTGACGGATAGACAGCCGATCGAAGCGGCGGGGGAGCATATCGCGCACTTGTCACTTAGGGCCGGACAAGTCGACCCCACAATCTGTCACCCGGAACTACGGACCACGGGACGCCATCAGGGTTCCTAGCCGCCTGTGCGGGGGGCGTCGCATGCGACCCCACGTCAAGCTGTCCAGCGGCCAAGCCGCGAATGTGGGGAAGAGGACAAGAGCGGCGAGATAGCGGCGGCCCATCAGCGGTTTCGGCGGTTGCACGCGATGCTCGTCCGCCGACCGGTGTCCAAACGGCTAGCTAACGAGACTACTCGAAATTGTGCCAATGTGTTACATTGGCGACGCGACACAACGATAGAAATTTGAGAACATGTATGTTCATGTCAACCTTACAAAAATCGGTCTTGAATCGGGATCCGACATCGTACGATTTGGCATGCTCTCCCTTGTGTGGGCAAATGGCGGCCACGCGGGGAGGGGCCACAGCGACCGCCTGCGCCTTAAATTTGGATTTCCGCCTTCCCTACGCCGCCTCTCCTGCTGCGTCTGCTGAACGGCTGCAGCGGGGAGCGCGCGCAGGACTGCCAATCTCACAGTCCTGTCTCGGGCGCCGCACCCCATCGACAGGGTTGCGGGATTCGCGCTCGGTCCTCAACCCACGCTCTCCGCAGCATGTCTAGATCGCCGCCGCTGCATTCATTTCCCCTTCCCACCTCCCGCACCACCAATTCTGCACCATCTGCGTGCTTGCGATTCCTCACCTTGGCACGAAGCATATGGACACCTTCTAGACACCATCCCCTCGAGTGCTGCCCAACAATCCGGCGCCACCTGGCTCCCGGCCACACCCACCGCCACGCTGTCGTCGCCGCGCTCAATACCCTCCTCCTCCCGGCCCCAGCACCTCGAAGCATCACCGCGCGCTCAGCGCAGCCTCTCGCCCTCCAGCACAGCAGCATCTCCCACCAACAGAAGGCCTTCCTACGGCAGCAACCTCCTCGCCGTCCCGGGCCGCGCGCCCGGCGACGTCGATGCCGACTACGGCCTCGGCCTCTCGCCCACGGCTGCATCTCCCGAAACCGCCTCGCGTCATCGCCGTGGCTCGCGCTCTTCCATTCTAGCTTCCGCAACAGAGGCAACAGGTGCAACAGGCGCAACCTCCGATCGCGAGTCCATCCGCTCCTCCGCCAGCAGCTCTCGCGCAGCCCCTTCCTCCGCCAGGCGCACGTCCAAATCAACCCGTCCAGACGACAGAGACCGCAACGCCTCTCCCGTCTCCTTCTACTCAACCCTCGAGGCTCCCTTCGCCTCCCCACGCACCTCGCGTCAGGGCAGCCTCCAAGTCGAGAATACCTTCGCACCTTTCACAACCACCTCTCCACCAACGGCACATGCACAAGCCCAGCCGCATCACTCGCCCCGCGCCTCCATCGCAAATGCATCAAACTCTACCCACAGAACTGCGCCTACGCCTCCAGCCGCTTCCAGCTCCACTCGAGCCGCTTCGGATCGCATCACTCCAGACAAGCGACCCATCCAGTCAACTGCTACTGTCCAGCGTGCCACCTCTGCTCAGCATAACAGACTCCCAAACGGCGCTACCCTCACCACTTTGACGCCTTCGCTCTCTGCTTACTCTTGGCAGTCTGACAAGCCCAACACACCTGCCAAGCGCCAAGCTGCTCCGCAACCGCAGCCTCTACAGCAGCCGCGTTCAGCAGCAAGCGAGTACACCGCACCCAAGTCCATTTCCACTTCGAGGTCCGCCAGCACATTTGCACAGCTTGAATCTGCGTCAGCCCGACCAAGGTCCAAAAGCAGCGCTAGCTCTTCCAAGGATGTCGGCACTCGATCCCAAGCTGCCAAAGCCGCCGCAGCCCCATCTGTGCCTCTTCCTTCCACCCTCACTGCGACGGCCGCCTCAAATGCTCCTTCCAAATTAAGCTTGCGATCCCGCATATTTGGCCTCAAATCTTCTCAAAACGCTCCTCGCTCATCATCGCCCGCAGACTCGGGAACAGACACCCCGTCGCCCAGATCAGCGCATTTCCCGCCATCCGTCCACTCCGAAGGCTCCCACAGCGACTCAGCCCCCCTCGACCGCGCCGACAGCCTCTCTATCGATCGCGACTTCCCATCCCCCAGCTACTCCCACTCTGCCCTCGGCCACAGTCGTGACGCCGATGATGAAATGGGCGATGCCTTCAGCGCCGATCCACGCTCCACTGCTCAAGCTGGTCGCAAGTCGAGCGGCGCCACCAGCTTCCTTCGCAAGACCATACGCTTCAAGGACAAATCCGCGTTCCTCAAGGCGCGTCCCTCCATCTCCTCGCTCAACTCTGACTCGGCCGCATCGGCTTCCCAGTCCGTCCCTCCTTCGCCAGCAGACCCGCCCAGCAGTTCAGATGCCGAGGATGTCGCAAGGAAAGCGCCATCCTACAAGCAGGTCAGCGGCCGCAGGGGCGCGCAGTATCACGAGCCTGCTCAAGACCTCAATGCTTCGGCCAATGTGCCATACTCCGTACAGCATCAGCCGCCTAGTCTCGATACCAAGCACCAACATCGTCCCGCCGCACTCTTGCCCGCCGTCACCGAACGCGATCTGCAGCTACCGCCAGAAGCTCAGCGTCAGCCCCACTATAACGCGTCAAGGCGCCTACCTTCACGATCGGAAAGCAGCTCCGCGTTGATGCACGACCGTCCCAGCGGCACAAATGCACAGGCAATCGCGCAGTCACCCACTGCCGTGGGCGCCAGTTCGCCGGTCATCACCGACGATCGAGCCGCAGCACAAAATCGCATTCCGAGAAGTAGCAGTCTCCACGCTTCAACGGGCAGGGGCCATCCGGATGATCTCCTTCCATATCGCATCGCGGCAGATCGATCCGTGTCATCGTCTCTGGCTACACAGGAGACGCCTGCATCGCCACGCCGCCGGCCTCGCTCAGGGTCGGCCAACGCCTTTGCACCGCAAATTCAGCCTAGAACCACAAGTTCACCCGCACAAAGCCATACGCGCCGGCCTGTCACAGCGCAAGGCACTCCAGAAATTTCTGAGTCGCCTCAGATGTCGGCGCCCTCCCCAGCGCGGTCATCGCAGCGCACAACCCGGCCCAAGACAGCCGATAGCGGTCATGGATACTCTAACTCGCTCTCCAGCCTCCGCGACATTCTTGTGGTCGCCAACGCCATCTCCGAAGAGGGCGCCTACTACAACTCGCCAGACAAGAGTGCTCCGAGCCCAAGTGCAAAGGCTGCCGCCGGTGCTTCGCCCGTCGACTCAAAGAGGCCTGGTCTGCCGCCCAAAAATCCGCTTCGCAAGCAGAGACCGTCGGCAGCCAGCGCGACAGATACTCCCTCAGTCTCGGGTGATTCGCCCGCCTCGGCGCATACATCCGGTGTCTTCCCGGGTCCCGCCATGCTGACAACCCAGACACCTCTGAGCCCCACCGGTGCGCGCCCTCGCGACTCTATCGGACCACTCTCGGCAACTAGCTCCTCTCCGACAGACTTCAGAACACCAACCTCGGAACCGACTCCACTTCCCAGCCTGGATAGGCACGGCGCAAATGACTACTTCCGCCCACGCGATGCGCCTCGCCCGCCCGATGCGCAACTCATGCAGCTTCCTGCTCGCTCACCGAGTGCAGTGTCGCCTGGCATCAGTGGCACGTCATCACCAGCGTTCTCTACCTTGCCCGCATCCCAACAGCTCTCTCGTGCTCCTTCCACCGATTCTGCCATCGGCTACGTCCCTCGCCGGCATGAGCGCGCTGCCAGTGACGCAGCCAGCTCCATCACCGATCTGCGAACGCGGTCGGGGCCAGGGGCTTCGACGCCGTCGTTGCATTCCGAATCTTCCTCGAGCGTCCGGAAAAAGAAAGACGGTCCTGGAAGCAAGATGTTTGCGTTCGCACGTGACCTCGCTCAGCGAGAAGGCAGCGAGGCAAACGCAACTCTGTCAAGCTCCGGTACTTTCCGTCTGGGCAGGAGCAGCAAGTCCAAGAAGGGTGATGCCAGTAATCGCATCGTCATCCGTCGCTTGTACGATGGGCCTTTGGAAGCTGAAGCGGCTGCGCACGCTTCCAGGCAGGCTTCGGGATCCTCCGGAACTTCACCGGTCGCCTACGCCGAGGGTGTCAGCCCCGGATCTTCCGTCGCTGAACTTGCAAACGGTGGCGCGCATGAGCCTTATACGCCAGGAGGCTTCAGCACTCCTGGATACGGTGGCCGTCTGCCCAGCTCAGGCAGCCTCGTCCGCTCGGCATCGTCATCCGGCAGCACGGCAAGAGAATTCATGCTGCAGGGCTCGAACCAGCTGCTGACGCCGCAGTTCGTGAACACCAATGGCACGGCTCTTCTAGCTCGAAGCCCCAGCTTCGTCAGGCCGAGCTGGTCGATTCCACAGGAAGGATTGTCCCCGACGCAGAAGCGATTAGTCAAGCGTTGGTTCATCCTGCGCGAGCTTCTGGACACTGAGAAGGCCTACGCATCGGACCTTGCCGTGGCTCGCGACATCTACCTGGCGCGTGCGAAGCTCGGGGCAGGCATTACGACACCGCTCTCCCCTCTGAGCGTTCGATCGGCGAGCGTCTTTTCGCAACTGGCTTCTCCCGAGCCTCCCTCCCACGGCAGGTCCTCGCAGCCCCACCTCCACCATCGAGGTAGCGTCAACCCGCTCAGTCCTGGAGCAGCTGGTCCTGCTGCAAGAGGTCCTCTACCCCAACGCACTCTCTTCCGCCACGCCTCCGCGGATGCATCTGCGACCGCTGCACTCGCCAGTCCTCACTCGGTCAACCAAGCCCCGTCATCGACGTCTCTGGCATCCAGCAATCCGAGCAATCGCTCTTCGGTGTACACGGTGTCGTCTCAGAGCTCGCAGACTTCGGATGCAAGTCATTTCGCTCTCGCCGGACATTCGAATCTCGGAGCAGGCCTTCCGTCGCAGTTCTCGATCGACGGCGGCGCACCTTCGCCGAGTATTGGTCTCAAGCTCAACCAAGGATCGCCTCTGGCGACCCCGAGTCCCAGCTTCTCGCCTGCTCCCTCTACGCCTGCCACTCCGTCGATTATGACGCCTTCAGGCTTTCCAGGCTTGGGTGATTCGACCCAGTCAAACTCACCGGATGCGCCGTTCAGTCCGAGCGACGTCCGCATCATCTTTGCCCAGCTGGAAGCATGCGCCGCTTTCGCCGACGAGATGGTGGTAGTCCTTGAAAGCGCAGTCGGCACAGTCTGCACCGGAACGGCAGAAGACGCGGCCCAGTTGCTTGCACGTGGCGACGTCACAGAGGACTCGGAGACGGACCGAGTGGGCCAAGCCTTCCTCAAAATCATGCCACGGATCGAGCAGGTGTATTCGGCGTACTGCTCGCGACATGAGGCGTCCATGGCGAAGTTGCAGGAGCTTTTGAACACTCGACCCAAGACGGTCGCTTTCGTGAGCGAATGCACGCAGGCTGCTCGAGCCTACACAAATGCGTGGGATTTGTCCTCGCTGCTCATCAAGCCCGTCCAACGCGTGCTCAAGTATCCGCTCCTTCTCGCGCAGATTCTAGAGTCCACGGGCAACCAGCATCCGGATGCCGAGAATCTCGCAGCCGCCTCCGCCGAGATCCAAAAGGTGGCAGACAACATCAACGAAGTCAAGAAGCGCAAGGATCTCGTGGAGCAGATCGTCAGTGGCAAGACAGCCAGACGCACCACCAGCCAACGCATGCAGCATGGCGCCACCAAAAAGCTCTTGCGTCGCCAGGAGAAAGTCAAGAAGGCTGTTCTAGGCCCAACTGAGGATCTTCTCGCCGATGATGGACAGTACAAGGCGTTGGTGGTGCAGTTCCGCACGCTGGAAAAGTCGGTAGCAAGCTTCGCTAGACGATGCTCCGGCTGGTCGACGAGCGTCAAGGAGGCTCACGTTGCACAGTTGCGGCTGCTCGATCAATGGTGCAGGACGTATGCCGTTGACGAATCTCTCTCGGGCAGCGAAGCAGAGATGCGTCTGCGTGCGTTCATGCACCTGATCGAGGAAAGCTTCCTGAGCGACTATTGGACTCAACTCGACTCCGAGATTCGCACGAGCTTGACACCCGCTGTGCAGCGGATGGCGTCCCTCTTCATTCTGCCGCAGGCGGTGATTGCCAAGCGTAACGACAGAGAAGCGGATTACTCGAGATACCGGGCCGAGATCACGCGCAGTGGCTCCAAGGCGGCGGACAAGAGGTTGACGGAAAGCGCAAATGCCTTTGTCGCCTTGCATACCCAGCTCATGAACGAGCTGCCGCAGTTCAATTACGGCATCCAGACGCTGATGGACATTTGCATCGAATCGCTCTCGCGGACGCAAGCCTCGTACCACCTGCGCGTCCACCGCGCGCTGATCAGCTTCTGGCAGAGCTTTGGGCCCGAAGGCGCGGGCGACATCGTCCACAACGAAGACACCGACGAAAAGTCCATGCGACATCTGAACCCTGTCAAGATCTTCTGGCCGCTGCACAGCAACATCGCTGGCTTTGCCGAATCGCTCAGCATCGTGTCGGGCGTCTATGACCGCTCGCGCTCGGCCTCGGTGAGCATGGACAGCGAGCTGCTGGCCGTCGGGCACCTCAGCCCGTCGAGCAACACGCACTTTTCGCCGCTGCAGTCAGAGCGTGCTCTGCCGGATCCGGAGTTCTCATCCAAGGTTCCTGATGCATCGAGCATGAGCCAGCAGATCGAGTCGATCACCGCGGCTGGTTCCGAGGAGCTCTTGGAGCCGATGAGCGCGCGCGCCAGTCCGTTTGCCACTCCGCCGCTGGGATCGCGCGGGCCGTCGTTCTCGCCTCAGCTTCACCAGCAGGCATTGCTCGGCTCACCGGCGCACATTGGCTCAGCCTCGCTGCACGGGGTTCCGAGTGGCAGTGGCCCGCCGCCGCTGCGGACGACCAAGTCCGGTGGACTGATCGGACTGCTGCGCTCGGTCGGAAGCAGCTCGGCGATGGGGGGCACGATGGGTTCACGCAAGAACTCGCAGTCAACCGACACGATGGCCGAGAGCTTCGGCGAGGGGTCGGAGTCCAACCCTCCCACTCCAATCAGCAAGGACACGCCAGTGCTCAACAAGCATGACCACGACGACGCCGCGGAAGACGTGGCGCCACCTACGCTGCCCGCGCTCAGCTTCAATTCGGGCTTCTTTGCTCAGTCCGAGGTGTTCTCAACGCACCCTCACGGGCCTGATTCTCCGCGTGTTGTTCCAACCGCTGACCAGCCGGTGGATCCCAGGAGTCACCCCGCGCTACCAACGACGAGCAGAGCCGAGGACGCGACTAGCAGCAGCACTGCGACGCCCACAGGCACGATGGCGGCAGTGGCCAACAGCCCGGCGGGCGCGCGTGGGTCCAAAGCAGGCCACCCGCTGCTCGAGTATGTGGTTGGCGACCTGTTCCGCGTTGTGGACGGCGATGCGTCGCACCTCTTCGGCTCATCCGAGCACGGCGCGACCGGCTGGGTGGAGCGCGAAAACTTTGTGCCCCTCTCGTGACCCTGCTCTTTCTCGCGGACCATGTCATTGGCCACAATCCAAAGCATCGCAAACAAACAAAGGTGGTCTCGAACAGAGTGACGGTGTTGCCCATTGAAGCTGAAGCTGAGACGGGATCAAGGCTTTTCGAGAGCGTCTTTGACGAGTTCAAAAGTGGTGAACGTGGCTGCGGCGGCGGGGATTGCGCGGAGGAGGGTGGGAGAGAGACCGACCGTGAATGCGCGCACGCCCTCTGCAGCGTAAATCTCCTTGGCACTTTGCGAGATGTACCTGAACACCAGAGGACCGCCGAGACCTTTTTGCAGCGGGGTGTTTGACAACTGGATGCGGGACTTGAGGACGTCGAGGGGATAGCAAGCGAGCCAGTTGCAAATGCCGCCGCACGAACCCGAGACCATCAAAGCCCAGACTGGCAGCGTTGTGCCATTTGCCGTTGTTGACGCGGGGAGATTCTTGCGGAGGGAGGCTTTTGCCATTTCGAAGCCGGTGTAGAATCCAGCGTAGGCGGGCATTTCGCGCAACACTGTGACCCAGAATCCACGCATCACGCCCGATCGCATGCCGTACTTGGTATACACCTCCCGTGCCACCTGCGACAGCTTCTGCGGTGCATTCTTTGACGAGCTTATTTGGGCCTGCATTCGGATCTTGAACAGCTCCACCGGTGCCGAAAGAATGGAGTTGATCCCGCCGGCAATCGCACCTGCTCCAGCAATCTGAGCGGTTGACAGGTTCTGCGTGTGGGGGGAGATCCACCGCTTGGCAGACTGAAACGCCGTAAACAGCAACGCATTCTGTGCTGCAATACCCAGCAACGGCGAAGCCATTCCTTTGTAGAGCGCAAGTAGGCCTTCGTTACGAACAGTCTGCAGGAGAACATCCATCGGCCCTCGGTACACGCCCGGTGCAGCGATTTGCGATCGCACTTTAACCGTGTCTAGAGGCTGACCCACTACGACCTGGGCTGCTCCAGCCAGAGAGCCCGCCACCAGGTCTACGGTCGGAAGCGCAAATTCGGGCCATGGCTCGTCTGTCGTGACACCCGTCATGTCTGCGTCGTCAAGAAGTAGGGGTGTTGGTAGTGGTTTGGAAGAAGTCAAGAACCCCATGACATCGCGGCTATGTACCGATTCCAAATTGCTCCACCTGCTCAAGCACGTCATCCAACCGCGACATTCCAATTTCACGCATCAATCCCAGCCCTCAACCCGGCCCACGTCCGTTTCCCGAGCCATCACCACCCCCACTTTTGCGAGTCTCGGTCGTTTCCAGTAGCAATGATACAAAGGCGAGTCTAAATTGTCCGCAAGATGAAATACAATGGATCCAAGAAAGTCGCTTGAAGCGCAATAAACATGGAGAAAGCAGCGATGAAGGCTGCAAGGAGCAAGAAACTAGCGATTCCATGAGGGACAGTGGGTATCTGGCATCGGCCTGCCAAGGTCGTGACCGAGCGCAGTGGCGAGCCTAGGAGAAAGACGGAAGCGAAAGCAGAGAAAGAGAAAGCGGCGGCTGCTCAGTGGGCCCAGAACGCCGACTCATCATCATTCTCGTCGACCAGATCAGCCGCATGCACTTCAGCGGGCCGGTTTCCAGCCTCGGAGATGTCGACCGAGTCGAGGGCACGCACGTGCTGTCGCGCTCGCGTGCCCTGCTGCCCGCCATACGACTGGCTGTACGACTGGGCCGCTTGCTCGTACAGCGGTCGCTGATGCGATCCCGTCGAGGGATGAATGGTGTCGTACTGAGGTGGAAGCTCCATCACCCGTCCCTCGCGCAGGTTGATCAGCTCGTCGCCGTTATCATTGTCGTCCAGCAGAAGACCAGCGTCAGAATGACGAACGATGCGCGTCGACGGGTCCGAGCCCACCAGCCTGCCATCACGCTGCTCGCCCGAAAGATCGGCCCATCCCTGCGTGCGTGCGCCAGCGACATTGCGCACCGAGTTCATGCGCGTGGTGTTGCTGGCCAGCAAGTCGTGGTAGGCAGCTTGCGATGCGGCGTCCGGACGGTAGGTGGGCCCAGCACCGACGCGCGTCGACTTGGAAGAAGCTCCATCCGCGCTCGTGGAACGCGAGACCGACGGCGGACTGCCGGTCCGGCTTTGTAGATAGCTCGGCGTCTGTGGGTCGTCCGAGTAGAAGCCAAAAGTGCGTGGGATGGAATCGGTAGGAGACCATGCTTCGCGTGAGCTGTTGGACAGCGTTCCAGACGTCGGCGATCGTGCATGATGGCCGCCACGCGAAGACACATGTGCGTCGGCGGCAGCACTTCCCGCATCCATGAGTGCATAGTCGCCCGTGTGTGCGGGCTGATGAGCGCCAGTCTGCTGTGCTCCTGTGGCGATATGGAAATGATCAAAGGCGCTCGATGTCCAACTTCGCAACGACGCACGTGTCGAGGGCGCGTGCCCGAGAGGCCGCGACGACAGGGAGACCGGATCGTAATTGCTCACTCCGGACAGGCTGGCTCGATCTGCAGCGTTGCGGGTGTTGGTGCTGGCCTGTCGAGTGACCGAGCGGCCAAAGACGCCGGGAGCAATGGGCATGTTGGGGTCGGCGTTGAAGGGGACCGAAGGATCGGAGTTTGGCAGGTCCCAGGCCTTGATGTTGTGCTTTCGCTTCTGACGACGGCGGTAGCAGAACCAACCGAGCGCGACGCCCATCAAGCCAAAGGTGGCGAAGACGACGATCATGACGACAAGAAAGCCAACCGAAGAGAGTCCGCCGCCTCCTTTGCCGTGGACGGTGCGACCGTTCTTGATGGTCTCGATGACGGTCACGGTGGCGACGATGCCGCCACTCGTGGTGAGAGATGCGAGCGTCGATGTGGCGTCGGGGAAGACCGAGGCGGGAGGAGCGGTCGAGGCGGGAGCAAAGACACGATGCTGATAGTTGGCTTGCGCGATGCATGAGTCGGTGTAGTACTCGTTGAGGGCAACGATGTTGAGCTTGGAGACACCCCCGCTGCCGCCAACGGCTCGGCTATCGCCCAGGGTCATGACGAACCGAGTGCCACCCTGCATGGCTACCTCCCAGGACATGTTTGAACTGGTCAGACTGGGCGCGGGCACGTAGATTGGCGGTGCCAATTCGGGGAGGAAGACGGCGGTGACAGGGGGAGCGTAGCTGCCGTCCCAGAAGATGCTGTAGTCTTGGCACATGGAGGCGGCTCCCTGGGTATAGAAGAAGAAGGAGCCGGCGTAGTCGAAGGGTGCGCATGTTGCACCGGTGGGGGCGCTGTTGACCTGGACAAATGCGGAAGAGTTTGCCATGAGACCGGACGCGTCTGTGACGGTGACGATCAGCGAAGGGTTCTTGGTGGGGCCGGTGAAGGAGGGGACGGGATACTGGTAGAGCCATAGGTCCTTGGAGGCGTCGTCGTAGGTGGCAGGCAGGCTGACGGTGACAGGCCAGTAGTCTTCGATGCTAATCATGACGGTGTAGGGAGGGGTGCCTCTGCTGGGGTCAAAGGTGATGTTCATGTAGTCGCATTCGACTGGCTGTGCCACTTGGACATCGACGTTGTGATTGGGCGGCGCAGAGGAGGTTGATGCATCGGCGGCCAGCTGCTGGTAATCTCGGTCTGCGGTGGTCGATGCTGGGATGGGCGTGGGTGCAGCTTGACTTGGCTGGGTGTGGAATGCTTGGATCGTGGAAAGCGCAGGTGCAGGTGTCATGGAGGGAAGTGCAGAGCTGGCGACGGATGCACCAATTAGAGCACACAGCGAGACCAAAAGCAGCAAGAAGCTACTGCTGCCGTGCGCGTATGCATGTCGGCGCCTTGTGCGTCGTGACGATGATTGGGCGACAGCCATGGTGATGGAAGCTTCTTGCCGAGAATTGCTGGAGTCCAAAAGGAGCGGTGGTTGCGGGGATGATGGAAGTGTGCGCCGACGAGGACGGGCGACGGGCGGAGCAGGGGCTGACAAGGGTCGAGCGGTATTGGGTTGCGATGATGAGGTCGAGGTGGCGAGAGGGATGAGAGAGCGGCTTGGTGGCTGAGAACGGCTCGAGCTTGCGGCGTGGGTACCACAGCCGCAGCGACAGAGGCGATCGGTCATGCCTGACGCGAGAAGCAGACGTCAAAGGACGAAGGTGGAGAGAGCTGGCTAGCAGCGTATGTTGATAATAGCAATCACAGAAGAAACATGTGCGTGAAGTCCGGGTTCGATGCGCGACAGCAGCCTGTATTTCAGGGCGATAGCAAAGGGATGGTGGGTGGCCAAGGTGGTTGTTGGATCGATAGATGAGGAGTGTGCCTCGATGCTCGTGAAGCGGGCGTCCGAATCCAAAGAGGCGACGAAACGAAGGCCAAGGGTGAGAGCTGGGCCGAGATGGCTATCGGAGTCGAGTCGGACGGCGATCGAGGGGCCTGAAGGAAGGAGCGTTACAAGTAGAGATGGTCTCCGGGGTGATGAAGGGGGGGATGGAGGACTAAGGATCGAGATAGAGAGACGAGGGAGGCAAGCGCGAAGTGGCTCAGGGGCAGCTAGGCAAGGTGAGGCGCAGTCGAGGCGAGGCGAGAGCGGGTACACGAGGGCATGGTGGTGCACGAGAGAAGCATGCATGAGCGAGAGAGGAGCAAGAGAGGAGCAAGAGAGGAGCAAGAGCTTTTTGGGCAGTGGAGCGCGTCGCCGCTGCCGTCTCCTTGATTTGGCCGCTCGGAGGATCTGCAGCCGTTGCGTTGCGGTGCGGCTAAGCTGACTGCGAAAAAAATTAAAACCACAAAAAAAAAGAGCGGCAAGAGGCGGCCGAGCGACACGCGCAGTGTGCAGCGGGGCTTTTGACTGCTGTTGTACCGCACTTGCTCTTTTTTCCCGGTTCGGACTGACAAACGCCAGATGATGCTTCGGTCATCATGGCCATCAAACAGTACGCTTTTGGACTGGCGCATTGGCGAGTGAAAGCATCGATGCTGCTCTTCCGGAAGGTCCGATGGGAAAACGGCGGATTTGGCATCTCCGAGCGCGGATCGACCGAGCGGGCTTCTGGAAGCCAAAAAGCATCTGCGATTCTTTTTTTTACCCTTCGATCCCTGGCCGAGTCTCAGCCGGTGAGAGCCATTGGAAACGCACGTCTCTCAAAAATTCAACACGAGCAGAGGCAGCGAGCGTATTATTGAGGTCTTTGCGCTTCGGATGGTGCATTGCAAGTGTGCAGCTCGCTTAGCACAAGGTGCAGACCCGGTTCGCCAGCAAAGACTCGACGCCTGCCTCTCAACCCCTCAGCCATGCCCGGTCAACTGCGATGCGGCCTTAGTTTGCTGCGCATCACCATAACCGAACTTCAGTCGCGCGAGGAACCCCATCCTACCGCAAGTCGCATCGAGGTTTCCGCTGGAAAAGTCTTGGAGGGTGCTCGCAAACCACCACCTCGGATGGATGTCACGACGCATTCAACACGATGGGATAGAAAGGAGTCAAAGCGTTGTTCGCCTGGGCCTCTATTGTCCATGCGCAACCGAACGCCGAGCCATGCCGCGAGAGCAGTGCCACTTCGTTCTCTTTGCGCTGGACACCCTTGCGAACCCGACACTGACCGCCAACTCACTTGACCCCGACTCTTCCCATACTCCCGCAGCCAGCACGGAACCACTGCCGCCTCAACCTACTCACTCCCTCGACTCCACATTCAGCATCCAAACCACTTCGACATCGGATCGATCCGACTTGCTCACACCACACCGATAGCCAGGCTGATCAAAGAAGGTAGCGTGAATTGCGGATGCGAAAGGATACAAAGGGGTTTCCATTAAAACAAGTGTGCGAAGTGAAAAGAAAGTAGAGAAATGCACCCGTGGCTACTGTCAAAGAGAGACCATGACCAAACCAACGACGGCTGGCCCAACGCATCACTACAAGATGCCACTGTCCTTGAGCGCATTCGTGAGGATGGTCTCCTTGACCGCTGCAAACACCAGTCGGATGTTACTCGTGTCGGTGGCCTGCGTGAGATGCGGATAGATGCTGAGCCGCGCGCGGTTCGTCTGCGTAAACCGCCAGAGAATGTACTTGGCCGCCTTGTTGATGTCCGGTCCGCCACTGTATTCGGGAAAGTACTTGGAGAGCGGCTGCTTGGGGATCTTTTGCTTGAAGATGTCAATCTTGTTGAGAAAGAGGATGATCGAGGTGCGCAGGAACCATCGGCTGTTGACCACCGACTCGAAGAGCACCAGCGACTCGGCCATGCGGTTCTGCCCGCTCTCCTCCAGCAGCACCTGGTCGTACTCGCTCAGCGCCACGCAAAAGATGATCGACGTCACCGCCTCAAAGCAGTGGATCCACTTTTTGCGCTCCGACCGTTGGCCGCCCACGTCAAAGAGGTGTATTGAGAGCTGGCCCATGTTGAAGCGCGTTTCGCTGATGCCCGTCGTCTTGGAACGCGCACGCAGCACGTCGTTCTCGTCCGGCACGTAGTCCGGCTGGCCTATGCGGTTGACATTGTCGAAAAAGTAGGCGGCGCTGTCCATCAGGTAGAATTCGCTGCCGCGCTCCATCACGGCAGGGATGATGGGGTCCTTCCAGAGCGAGTCCACCTTGCGCGCCATGGCATGGTCGAGCGTCGCGCCCGGATCCGCATCCACGCGATACTGCAGGATCGCATCGACGTTTTCGCGATTCTCGGGCATCTCGGGTTCCATCTTGAACTTTCGCAGCGCAAGCACAATCGCTTGCGCAGAGTCGACCAGGTTCTTGATCACGGTGAGTCGATAGAGCAGCAGCTCGTCTTTGGTGTAGCCATTCTGGTGAATGATCTTCATCTGCTTGACGATCGTCGACTTGCCCGACTCGCCCGAGCCGAGGAGGAGGATCTTGCATTCCTTCTTGAACTTGCGGCTGTCCTCTTCGATCTGCTTGTCGATGGCCACGCTGCGGTCCTTGGCCTCCTTCTGGTCGGTGGATGAGAGACAGTTGCCCATCTTGGCGAGTGCTGGCTTCGATCGGCCCTACGGTTACGAAGCGTCAGGGACGGGTGGAGGTGGCACGGATGCGCCCGACAGAGATGGCAGCCAGAAAAGAGGCTCGTCGAGGTGCCACGGTGAAGTGAGCCTCTGCACGGATGGGGAGGCGCAGTCAGATGGCAGGCGCTCCAGTGTGGATCATGTACGAGCGTGGATTCTAGACCGAAGCCGGCGTGTGTGGTTGCACTGGCGGCGACGGCTGCCTTGGACGTGTTAAGGTGTTGCGCGCTCTAGCTCGAGTCGAAGGCGACGAGGAGAGATCTGAGCCGAGACTGTACAGCCCGGACGTCCGGAGAGAGGCTGAGCGTCAGTGAGCGACGGATGGCGGTGCGCTTCGGAAGTGCCGACGGGGGCGGTTCAGACCCGCTGCCAAGTTGCTGTGGTGGGATTGGGCGCAGCGGCTTCGTCGCGCCGGGACGTGTGTCAACGCTGCTAAGGCTGCACGCTGGTGCGTCGTCTGAGCCGATTTCGCCCGAGTGGTAGATCGGAGCGCAGCGGTCGTGCCGTGCCGGGAATGCCGAGGGATCCAAGTGCTTGCGGAACTGAGGGCAGCTCGGCTTGACGGGAGCAGCACCGTGGAAGAGGAGGTATAGGTGCGAGCGTGGTTGCGGTGAGATTCGCCGAAGGTTGCGAGGAATGGTGTAGCGCGCGGGATGGCGTTGTCGTTTGGGTGGCTAGCAGTACACGCGACGATGCGAACAACGAGAGTGGTGCCGACGATGTGTGGTTCCGAGGTGCACGACGAGAGAGACAGAGAAAGACAGGGAGAGAGACAGAAAGAGAGAGAAGGGAAGAGACCAAGAGGCAGAAGGAGGGAGTGACCAACGACGAGGAGAAACGAAGCTAACGAATGTAGACAGTGGGCAGCGGATGAAGGGCTTGACGGGGCTTGGCTTTGAGCTGGATTGAGCCGGCGTCTAGTGGAAGTGGTTAAGATGTTTTCGGCGATCGCAATGCACGAGGGCGAGCCGCCAAAGACAGGAGGAGCAGCGGATGGGCGGCCGAGGCGGCGACAGAGGCAGAGGCAGAGGCAGAGGCAAAGGACAGGCCCGGCACGTTGAACTGCTGTTTCGGATCTGGGCAGGTAAGGGCAGGCAGGTGCGGGCTGGCAGGTGCGGGCGGGCAGGCAGGCAGCAAGGCAGCAGGGCAGGCGGATGCGTCTGTGTAGGGGTCTGCGTGTGTGCGTGTGTGTGTGTGAGAGAGAAAGGGAGATGGCGCGGCTGTGGAGAATGAAAGGCGGGTTGGAGAAAGTCGAGAGGAGCTGCAGAGCGCAGTTGCGACTTGCAGTGCAGTGCAGAGCAGTGCAGTGGAGCTGCAGGACTGCAGTTGGCTGGCAGCTCATCCAGCAGGCTGCTTGGCTTGCTGCTTGGCTCGCTGGCTGCGCCGCCGTAAGCGAGACTGAATTGGGCCTCGAAATTAGCGGATGGTTCGTGCAGAGGCGCACCCAAACAGCGCGTCTGTCTGCTGTCTGCCTTCTGCTGACTTTCGGTAGCAGAAGAGCCGTAGCTTCGCGGAAATGGAAAAAGAAAAAAAAAAAAAATCGCTTTTGTCGTGCTCCGGCTTCGGTCGAAGCTGAATCGACATGGCCTTTGCTGACCCTGAATTGAATAGCCGCCGCACATAACCTCCGCTCTGCCCCTGCACTCTCGGATTCGGGCCTCGCCTGGCGCACATGAATCGGCGTGGCGGTCCATCCATCATCATCTCGCCTCTTCCCCCCACCTGCCAATGTGGAATGAAGTATGATACCGTAGCATGGATGGTGCTGGCGCCATCGTCAACTAATGACAGCATCCGATGGCGCGATCGCAAGGCTTGTGTGGGGCAATCAATGCAGGAGAATCGCACATCCATGCTTTCAATGCAGGGTCGACTGCGAAGAAACCACCGTACTTGCACGATCAGTCGGCTTCATTGTGTTGAGCTCCGTGCCCAATCACCTCCAAGATGCGGTGTCCGAGCGTCAGCCGGGTCGATGGCATACGATAGCTGCTTCATTTCTTCGCACTTCCGCGCCAAGCGCCTTCGCGCCTTCATTGATGGGAATGCGTTCAAGCTTGCGAGCTCAAACGGCGATCAGATCCCGATTCATGAGATTGCCGCGTTGCAGCGCCAACAGGTCGAGCCCGTCTACAACCGCCTTGTTCATCGTGATGCAGCGCCAAGGCAAGATCCTGTCCTTCCTTTCCGGATGGCGCTCAAGGTGGACAGCTTTCACCCCACACCTTTTCTCCTTCTTTTCTTCTGTCGCCTGCCCATTGGTCCAAGCCGAGATGATCTGCGGCCTTATCGCACCGCCGCCTCTCCTCGAGCTGCTCGCCCACCTTGACTTCATCAGCTTCATCGCCCGGGGTCAGCTCGCTTATCTATAATGTATGAAGCTCGGTCAACCATCACATGAGACTATGGCGTCTTTCCCTTCTCAAACGTCCTATCTAACGTGTAGCGGGGCTCGACTCTGCGCTATGAAAAACGTAGCGGCGCCCTCTCAGCCCTGCCTCGCATGATCCTTGTCGACAATGCGGCGCTCCTGTGAAGCCTGGCTGCAGTGACGAAGCGAGGGCGGCGCTGCAAGTCGTCCATCGTTTGCGCGGTGCGGCTTTTGCTCGTGCTTTTCCTGCGACCGTTAGGCGAGTCGAGGGGCGGGCGCCACTGGGCACACAAGCGAACCCGCGAGAATGCATATCGCAGACACCTCGAGCCGAATTGCATGTGCACACGAGACCGATCCGCTCCTTCGTACCTTGGGTCTCCTTCCTCGCTGCGCACGCACGCACACACGCATACATCTCGGCTCCGCTCGGGAGCGTTCGACTGTGCTACGCATGCTGCACTTGCATTCACCGGCAAGCTTGGCTGCTACCAAACAATCGCTCACCCATTCGAGTCGGGGTAAACTGGCGCCCGCGTCTCAGCTCGGTCGGAAGCGAGCCCTTGCCATGCCTCCTCCGCGGACTTGAACACTGCTTGATCAGACAATGCACTTTCTTGCCGGCTGCTTGCTTCTCGGAGACACATTTGGCCGATGACAAGCTGCTTCCTGTGCGGAGCGGGCTCTGCGTTCGAACGCGGATGGGCGGATGAGCGGATCGACACAGCGAACTCGATGCCGAGGCACGCACATTTACCCTGATCCCAATGGCAGGGGTTCAAGGGGGTGCGAATCAGGAACGCTTCGGCATCTGCAACCTGGTCGACAACAGCAAGGGGCGTGGGCATCGTTCCTGGTTCCTGTCCTAGCTTTCCAAATGTTCAACGCGTCTGCACCACGAGCAGTGCAAGCGTCGCTCCGACCATGGCTTTGGGTGCATCTGCCCTGCGACCCAACGGCGCGGAAGCGCAGGTTGTGCACTGGTGCGGAGCACGAATTCACGCGGAGTTGCAAATCATCCGACACGCGAATGGCCGAGATGACACCTGCCTGATACACGACAGGGCTGCCGCGATTCGAGTCGGCCCGGAAGGCTTGCATTCTGGTCAACTTTCGTCGTAAACCTAGCAAAGGGTACAGCTTGACGATGGCAAGCAGCACACCCTCGTAAAAGCTCTTACATTGCCAGAGTCTGAGCGTGTCGAACAGACTACGCATGAGATGGATGTTGATCAGCCATCCGAAAATCGCACCAACGGTCACACGCCTTGCCGTCTCAACTCCGCTTCGCCGAGAGCAACCCCTGCATCCTCGCTCGCCGACCGATTGTTTGTTACCCTTCATCCCCGGCGGATGACTGTAACCAGAGCCTGGATCCTCAACCCTTGCGTGTGTCCAGACCCACTCATATCGGCTGCTTAATTTCCCAACTTCGGTGCAAAGATGCATTCGCGCTTTCCTCGTTGCCTTCGCCGTGGCCATGCATTGATCATTTATTACACTTGCTCGAGGCGCGTTAATCTTGTGCATCAGCTTCCGTCTCGACGAGCTGATAGATGGTGACCAGACCCATCTTCCTGCGTCTCTGCGTCTCTTTGAGCCTGTCCAGCACCAAGAGGGCTGCTGGTGCCGGGAGCGAGCCGAGCAGGTCCGCATGGTGCAACGTGTTTGCGGCAGCACTCTGCTCGTCACCCGAGCCTGTCGCGTCGGCACCCCCGCCATCGCCATGCCCTGCACGCCGTGCGCCGGGCGTCGAAGCACCGCTCCCACTGTAGAATCTCGTCTGCGCCTTTTGACGTGCGACCAGTGCATCTCTGGCCAGCGGTGTCGCCACGCCACTCTTGGCGTCCGCGTCGACGACACTGTCAAAGATGTTGAAAAAGTCCTTCTTGCGCAGCAGCCGGCGTGCGAAAAAGTCGGTGCTCATCAGCTGAACCACGTCCGAATCGCGCACCGAGTAGCCCGTCGTCACGCCCTCGCTTGCCGTTCGCGAGTAGTACGCAAGCGACGACATGGCGTTCGACAGCGCCGTGTACGAGCGCAAGAAGCGCGATTCCTCCTCGCCCTCGTCCGCTCCTTTGCGTCCTCGAGCTCCGTCGCTGTCCCCTTCTTGCGTTCCGGCAGTGCTCGGCCTCGAAGCGCCCTTGGATTGCGACCGCTTCATCGCCGCTTTCGACTTGCTCCGTCCACCGGCAGTCATGTCCGTGGGTGCCCGCGAGGCGGAACGAGAGCCTTGACGCGACACCTGGCGTGACGAGTCGCGCGATTGCGGATACTGATTGAGCGAGCCGCCAAACACCACCAGCTCGTTGTTCGGCCCAAAGCTGGCACCCATCCTCCTGGCTGGCATCTTGAGCTTGATGTGCTCCGCGCCGGATCCAATCGCCGTGCGTGCGGGACGGAATGCCAGTATACCGGTATCCGAGTCCGTGTCGGAGGCTGCCGATCCCTCGGCCCTGCTCGTCGTCGGGTCGGCCTCGGCGTCATCCTCCTCCATCTCGCCCCGTCCACCACGGTCGGTTCCGTCGAGCGACTTGATTGGCTCTCCCGTCAAGAAGCGAGCGCACACTTCCAAGCACGGTGTGCCTGCACGCGCCGCTCTGCTCGACAATCGTGCGAGGCCGCGCAGCAGGTAAGAGCGCGTCTTGACACTGAGGTTGGCGCTTTTCTCCAGGTCGAACTGCGGAGCGCGATGAGGATAGCTTGCCGGAAACTTGATCCGCATCCGCAGAAACGCTGGCTCGTGATCCGCCCAAGGCCCGTACATGGTGAGCACGCACATGCGTTTGTTCAGCTCCACCTTCTCGAAGACGATCCGTGGCAGCTTGCGATTGATGCCGATGATCTCGTCTCCAAGACCTTGTACTGTGAGTCCGGGCTCGCCATCCGTGTCGTCCTCGGTAGACGGTCCTTCCCGGCCGAACCCGACGGCACTTCGCACAGCTTTACCAGCCGCAAGTCCCGACGCAACCTGTCCGCCGTAGTGTTGCTTTTTGCCATCGTCGTCGCCGGCATGATCCTCCGAAGCATTCCGGTCCAGATCCGTCTCGTCTTTTTCGAGCCGCACATTGGCAATCCACTCGATCGGATCCACTGCTGGAGCTGCGGTACGGCCCCTGTCGAGGCGCATCGCTGCGCCAACCGCCTTTTTTGTGGCATTCGGGTCCATTGCTTTGGCCAGCCTACGTCTCTCCTCTTTGCGAGCCGCCTTGTCGCCCTTCTGTGCGCCGTCCCCGTGCCTGCGTGACTTCTTGCCCGCTCCATGCTGCTCCTCTTGTATTGGCAACGGTCGACCCGAAGACCTGCCGGGATTCGGAGGTCTCTGCTTTGACGCCGAGGCCGAGTTGGAAGCAGTTTTGCTACGCAGACTGGCCGGAACTTTGAACGATGATTGTCCTCCGCTGTGTTGGGAAGCGCTGCCTCCTCCGTGTTTGGAGCTTTGATATGACGCTCCGAAACGGCCACCTCCCCCTTCGCCAGCATGCTTTGGCAGTGATCGTGCGAGCTGATGCATCTGCGTAGTTTGGGCGCGAGAAGATCCGCCCGCGAACGCCTGCTGAGCATCCAAACGTCCCCATGACCGGCCGAACGTGTCGTTCGGGCTGCGGGAGAACTGATTGAGGTCGGTAGACAGATCGCCGTGGCTCGAACTGTGGTGCAAGCTCCTCCTTCTAGCCGCTCCAACACTGGTAGCAAACGGCGCCAGCGGGCTTGTCCTGCCATCGCGAACGATATTCTGAAAGCCTGACATGGAGGAGCTGTAGGGCGAAGTTGCCTGAATCTTGCTGCCACTGCCCTTGCCGCTGAGTAGAGCACGTGTGGCATGCTCTGGCGGCAGAATAGACGAGCTGGTGATGTTGCTTCCCGACGCCTGGCTGGCGACCATTGCAGCGTCTTCGCCGCCAACGGGGAGCGCCAGAGGCGGATCGCGGTACGAGATGTCCGGAGCATTCGCCCTCGTGAGTAGCACTCGGATGGGGTTGCCTGGCTTGTGGCCCACTTTGCGCGTCTGTTCGTCGCTAACGGGCCAGAGTCGCAAGGTCTGATCCTTGGACCACGTGATGAGCTGGAATTGACGGTCATCGCTTTCTCGGTCCTGGCCTCCCTTGGCACGGAAGAGATACTCCTTGACGATATCGGTGTGACCGGCAAAGGTTGCTTTAGGCTCTTCGGCGCCGTCCTTTGCCCACATGCTGAGCGTGGTATCGCCGCGCTGCGGCAGCGTCATGACGCCGTTGCCAAAGGGTAGGTGGCGCGCACGCCACACGGGTGTCTTTGTTTCGATGATCGATTCGGCCTCGGTGACCAGCTCCCTCGCGCCGATGGCGGCCTGCGATGTATCCGAAGCCAGGTTCCAGAACTTGACGGTTCGGTCGAGGGAACAGGTGACGAGCCTGTCGAGGCCGAGACTTGTATCTCGGCTCCAATCTATGCCGTAGATCTTGCTCTCGTGCGCTTCGATGGTGGCGAGAGGAAGCGAGCCCTTGCGATCGTCCCAAATGAGCACCTTGTTGTCGCATGTGGAAGCGAGACGGTGCTCGCTGGCACGATTGAACTTGACCTGAGTCGCTGCGGCATTCCAGGCCGAGTATCCCTGCGCAGGTTTTTGACGACCGCCTGCATCTGACCCCCCACTCATACGGAGATCCCAGACCCAGGTCCAGGTATCGATGGAACTGGAAGCTACGATCTCTGGATGGAAAGGCGACCAGTTGATATCGGTGATGGCTCGAGTGTGTGCGTGCAGGACATGCTCGATGGCTGAAGATCTCGAGCTTGCCAGCTGCAGCTGCGAGGGTACTGGTAAAGGTGTTTCGCCGTACGGTGAGCTGGTTGGGATGGCGCCAAATCCACTGCGGGTTCCGCCTGTTACTCCGGAATGGAGGCTATGGCTGTTGTATACGCTCTGGTAGGCGCTGCTGCGTTGGGTGGAGAAATGCGCGTTGGAAGGCATGACGGGACTAGAGCTGCTGTGGATGGAGCCGCGGTGAAGGAGCCTTGTCAGCGGCGCGGCCGCGCGCGGATCGCCGGGCCTGTCGAGATTCCAGATGAGGAGCTTCTGGTTGGAGGTGCTAGCGACCCAATTGCTCCTGGCGGGATGCGGAGACCACTGGATGTCGACGGCTTCCCAAGTAGTCATGTGTGCCAGGAAGCGAGGAGGAGCGAAAGGATCCTCGAGGTCGATGATAAAGAGACCTTTGCGCGCAGCCAGAACTACGTCGCGATTCGCCGGGCTGATGGACATTGAACCGACGGGCTCCATGAATGAGATCTCGCAGGAACGGTAGAAGGTGTTGGAAGCATGACGTTGGGCTAGAATCTGCTTGGCTGGCCTGGCCTGCGTGGAAGGGATGGGGATGGGGGCAGTAGGCCCATTGGACCCATCGATGGACCCTGTGACAGCCAGTTGTGCATCGAGACCATCTTGACCCGCTGGAGGAATGTCGATGATGGACGAAGTAACGCCGGCTGAAATCTCGGTGGATTGCAGCACAGGGCTGCCATTCTTTACTGACATCGTGGTCGCCAGGTGGCGGTCCACCTGGAGCGAAAGACAAGGGGAGGATGCCTGTAATTGAGGTGGATGGTCGTAGCAAGACACGAACGGTTGTTCAGCAACGACGTCAAGTGCCGATCATTATGACCACCGAGCTTGAACAGACGCCTCGGATGGCATGTTTGAGTTGGTGTGAGCGTGTGTCGAAGAGGTAGACGAAGAAGAAGCAGCAAAAGCAGCAGTCGGGGTCGGTTGTGGAGGATAGCGGTTGGAGTGTGCATGCAGCGGGCCCTGTGAGACTCGGTCCAAGCGTGCCTGCACCGGCACTTGCCCGATGATCGGGCGATAACCGCTGCGAACTTGTTTTACCCGACTGCCGAGTTTGGGAGGAAAATGCGAAATTTGGGTGCAACGGGAAAAAAAGTTGCGGAAGGCGGTTCACAGCAGAAGTTGGCCTCCAGCTACGCTTGTCCTTCCCTTCTCCGCACTTGTCTCCTGGTCTGGAAGAAGCAGGAACGCACCGGGTTCGTTCCCGCCCACTTTGATCTATTCCAAGTCACTCAGCTCCGAACTGCACATTCTCGACCATCATGGGACTTTCAGGCCCCAAACAGAAGCAGCGGCTGGTGGGCTCCGCCAGCACGCGCAACACCGCCTGGCTCAACGATGCAGCGGCGCCCGGTCAACGCATGCTGGCGCAGATGGGCTGGTCTGCAGGCCAGAGCCTGGGTCTAACCATGCCCGGTCTCACCGAGAACCTCAAGGTCGCGTACAAGATGGACAACAAGGGCATTGGAGCGCAGCGACACGAGCGAGAGGCGAGAGCCAACGGCAAAGACATCTGGGTCGGTGGTGGTGGCGACCTCGGCAGCCTGTTCGAGCGCCTCAACGCCGCCAACGCTGCCTCTACATCGAGCTCTGCAGCTGCGTCCTCTCCTTCAAGCGAAGCGGAGAGCGATGGCGACAAGAAGAGCAAGAAGAGCAAGAAGGACTCGAAATCCAAATCGGATAAGAAGGACAAGAAGTCCAAAAAGGAGCGAAAGGACAAGGCAGCTTCTGCCTCCGACGAATCGAGCAGCGACAAGTCCAAGAAGAAGCGCAAGCGTGATGCAGACGCAACAACATCCGACGACAAGCGCAAGAAGGACAAGAAGGACAAGAAAGATAGGAAGGAAAAGACATCCGATTCGAAGAAGAGCAAGCGATCCTCGAAAGAGGCCAAGGAGGAAGCTGCTGCAGTAGTTGCCGAGATCACGCCGGAAGTGGTGGCGGTGCGACCCGTCAGGTTAGCGCACCGCGCCAAGTTCCTGCGCGCCAAGCGCATGGTGTCGGCCTCGGACCTGGCGAGCGTCAATGAGATTCTGGGCATCGCCTCGACTCCATCCTCATCCGCAGCAGGTACACCAGGCACTGCCACACCGACATCTGCAACCCCAAAGACATATCCAGGTCCCAGCGGAAGCGAGATTGTCTTGATCGACGTCGACCGGCGACTCGAGGCGGAGAAGGACGCGCAATCCGAGTCCGAATCGTCATCAGACGAGGAAGACGCCAAGCAAAAGAAGAAAAACAGCAAGAAGGACAAGAAGGACAAGAAGGATAAAAAGGACAAGGATGAAAAGAAGAAGTCCAAGAAGCGCAAGGCAAGCGGTGCTGTCGAAGAAGAGTCTGCGTCTGGAAGCCAAGCCAGCGCTGAAGCTGCTGCTGCAGCTGCGGCGGAGGCGGTGGCGGCGGAAGAGAAGGAAAAGTCGACGCAGATCGGCACCAACTCGCAAGGGCTGTTCGTGTTCGAGTACCTCAATCGGCGTCTGATGATCCGCAAGGCGCAGATTGCCAAGCAGAAAAAGGCCGAGCAGGAGGCCATCTTTGCGCGCGCCGCTCGCGTTGGCGCCTAGCCTTGTGCAATCGACGCACCTCAATTCATGTACTTTATACCCTCGTCTCTGCATAGCTTTGTCTGCACATCGTCATCGATGGCTGTGTGTGATGGTTCCGGATGTGTGGCGGCTCGATGGAAGCGGGTGCTCTGAACATTCGAAGGGAATTTCAGGCCCCCTTTTACGAGCCAATTTATTGCAGCTTTGGGTCACGGCCTAAAAAGACGCCGGCCCCTTCCGTGTCCTTAGCCTTGCTATTCACGCCATTTGTTGCCTCCCAAGCACGCTCTGCTTAGCGACGCTTCGTGGGAGCGCACGAATTTTGCATTTCCAGACTGAAAAGAGGGGGGATGGGAAGCGGGACAGGTCAAAAGCTCCATTTGTTGGACACGCCAGTCCTAATGGTCGCCACGGCTTGAGGCGTACTTGTCCTTGAGCTCATGCATGCCTGCTACGCCCGCTTCGTGTGCACGTTCGGCGGCGGCCTGCAGATCGTACTTGAGCATTTCGCGGTCTGTCGACGTGAGGCCATCGCCTGCCCGTGCGTCCGTGGAACTCCTCAGCGATCCGCGCAGACCCTTTTCTGCATTCTCGACGGCGCCGAGATTGTGTTCGAGCTGCTGTCGTGCAGTGATGTATGCAACACCCGTTCCGGCCAGCAATCCAGACAGGTAGCTTGCGTTTTTGGAAAGGTTGAGTGCCTTGCGCGAGATGAAGGCCGAGATCACGCCTCCGCCCAGGCCGAGCAGGATACCGCGCATCTGAGCTGCACGGTTGGCCGCGCCGACTTCCGCAACGGGAAGAGGTGGGTGCTCCGTGGGGTCTAGCTTGCCGGCATTGCGACCGAGCAGAACGCGCGAGTGCGAGGGGCCGCCCAAATCGCCGGATACGCTGCCGCCGTGGTTCGGTGGCGGGTTGGCGTTGCTCGACGTCGACGATGACATGGTGACGACGCTTGATGTGTCCAAAGCAAAAGGTCGTGAGTTCGATGGGAAGACGGCGTCGGGACAGACGGTCGATGCTGAAGAGTGGCAGGCGTTGCTCAGCACTTTTGCCTCCACATGGTCAGCCGACACCATGGCCGAGTCCCGATGGGAAGCAGGAACGGCTAAAAAAAAAAAAAGGGCTGCCTCCTAGCCGACTCGAACGACTGACCTCTTCATTACTAGTGAAGTGCTCTACCGCTGAGCTAAGGAGGCGAGGGATGTTAAGGCGGAACAGTATTGTAGCCACGAACGCTCTGCAGCGAGCTGCCCCTTGAAGCGGTTTTGGCAGAGCTGAGAGGCGTGGCATCCGTGGAGGAAAAAAGCGGGGGAGAGACGTCAGCTGGACTTGCGATCAGGTGTTGAAGCGCTCGGGCGAGTTTCGGACAGAACGCGTGCCGAGCAACGAAGCTATGTTCAAAGTGACGAGAGCGACGGCAACGGAGCGTGGCGTCGGGATGTGGCAGGTGGCGAGATCGATTAGGCCCTGTCGACCAACGCGGCGCGGGCCAGGCAAAAGGCGCACATTCGCTGAATTCAGACGCGAGGTGGACAGAGTTTCAGGCACTGGTCATGCGTGGCGACTGGCAAGAGTGGCTGCTATCGGATTGCAAGGATTCCGAAAGTTTCGCCGTCGTCTGGCGCAAAGCTCGCTTCGCAGGGCACAAAGACCTCCGTGGGGTTCAGAGGAGGGGCGGGAAGAGGAGCAACGCAGGGTTCGATTTCTTCTCGTCAGGCCGGGCCAGACCAGGCCAAGCCAGGGTGGCGAGCGGGGAGTCGCGTTTCGAACTTGCAGCAAGAAAGTGAGAGAGAGAGTCTGGCTGGATGCGGGGGCCCAAATGCACAATCAATCACCAGCTCGAGCACGAGCCAACGCAGATGCACAAGCTCGCTTTTGGCCGCAACAATTTCCACACCCAACACTCGGCTCCTCCACCCAGCCAACCAACCGAACAACCGCAATTCTTCGCTTCGCCTCGCTGCACCTCACTCGGCTCGCCCGACGGTGGCGACTCGAACTCGTTCCTCACAGAGCTTGGCCCTTATAATCAGGTCCTGCTCTTCGTACCTGTCCGCTCTTTCCCAAGACCACACAACCAGAACCTGTCAGGTCTCACGATTCACAGCATGTCGGCCGCTTCATCCTCGTCCGTCGCGGCGCCGCCCGACTACACCAAGGCTACTGATGGCACCGGCGTCATCGGCGGTGATCCGTGGCTCGAGCCCTTTGCGCCCGCGCTGCGAGAGCGATACGCGCTCTACCAAGACTGGAAGAACAAGATCAGTGTCTCCGAAGGCGGCCTCGAGGCCTTCTCGGGCTCCTACCGCAACATGGGCTTCCAGGTGGATCCCAAGACACAAGCCGTCACCTACACCGAATGGGCGCCCAACGCCGTCGAGGCGGCGCTCATCGGCGACTTCAACAACTGGTCGCGCGATTCGCACAAGATGACCAAGGACGACTACGGCAAGTGGCACATCACCATCCCTCCGCTCGCCAACGCCACCTGCGCCATCCCGCACGACTCCAAGCTCAAGATCTCCATGCTGCTGCCCTCGGGCGAGCGCATCGAGCGTCTGCCCGCATGGATTCTCCGCGTCACGCAGGATTTGAACGTTTCGCCCGTGTACGACGCGCGCTTCTGGAACCCGCCCAAGGAAGAGCGCTACACCATCAAGAACCCCAAGCCGCCGAAGCCCGACAACATCAAGGTGTACGAAGCACACGTCGGCATCGCCACCCCCGAGGCGCGCGTCGGCCAGTTCAAGGAATTCACAAAGAACGTCCTGCCGCGCATCAAGGAGCTCGGCTACAACACCATCCAGCTCATGGCCATCCAGGAGCACGCCTACTACGCCTCGTTTGGCTACCAGGTCACCAACTTCTTCGCCGCCAGCAGCAGGTACGGCAACCCCGAGGACCTCAAGGAGCTCATCGACGTTGCGCATTCCATGGGCATCACCGTACTCCTCGACATCGTCCACTCGCACGCGTGCAAGAACGTGCTCGACGGCCTCAACATGTTTGACGGCACCGATCACCTCTACTTCCACGAGGGTGCCAAGGGCAGGCACGAGCTCTGGGACTCGCGCCTCTTCAACTACGGCCACCACGAGGTGCTGCGCTTCCTGCTTAGCAACTGCCTCTTCTGGATGGAGGAGTACGGATTCGATGGATTCCGCTTCGACGGCGTCACCTCCATGCTCTACACGCACCACGGCATCGGCACCGGATTCAGCGGCGGCTACCACGAGTACTTTGGCCCTTCCGTCGACGTCGAGGCCGTCGTCTACCTCATGCTCGCCAACGACATGATTCACAAGTACAACCCAAACGCCATCACCATCGCCGAGGACGTCTCGGGCATGCCTGCGCTGTGCCGACCCGTCTCGGAGGGCGGTGTTGGCTTCGACTACCGCCTCTCGATGGCCGTACCGGACATGTGGATCAAGCTACTCAAGGAAAAGTCGGACGAGGACTGGGACTTTGGCAACATCTGCTTCACGCTCACCAACCGTCGTCATCTGGAAAAGTCGATCGCCTATGCCGAGTCGCACGACCAGGCGCTCGTCGGTGACAAGACGCTTGCCTTCTGGCTCATGGACAAGGAGATGTACACCAACATGTCGGACCTCACCGAGCGCACCGCCATCATCGACCGCGGCCTGGCGTACCACAAGATGATCCGTCTCATCACACATGCGCTTGGCGGCGAGGGCTACCTCAACTTTATCGGCAACGAGTTTGGTCATCCCGAGTGGCTCGACTTCCCGCGCGAGGGCAACGGCAACTCGTTCCACTATGCGCGTCGCCAGTTCAACCTCGTCGACGACCACCTGCTGAGGTACCAGTATCTGTACGCATTCGACGCCGCCATGAACAATGCCGAGGGCAAGTACAAGTGGCTCGCGAGCTCGCAGGCGTATATCTCGCTCAAGCACGAGTCGGACCGCGTCGTGGCATTCGAGCGTGCCGGCCTGCTGTTCGTGTTCAACTGGCACGCCAACAACTCCTACACCGACTACAGGATCGGCGTGGATGTACCAGGAAAGTACAAGGTGCTGCTCGACACCGATGCAAAGGAGCTCGGTGGCCATGCAAGGATCGACCACAACACAGAGTGGTTCACTACCGACATGGAGTGGAACGGTCGCCGAAACTTTGTGCAGCTCTACCTTCCCAGCCGATCCGCCATCGTGCTCTACCGCGCCGATTAGATGGTGCTTCTGTCGTGACATATGTATATAGCAAGACACAATCCACAGTCGTTTCGTCCAGGGCTTCCCGCAACAGCAGTGAGGACAGCGTGCTGAGGCAAACCTATGCCAATTCATGTGCGCCGAGAAGACGACAGCACAGGCTGTGGGATGACGAGCCAAACAAAGCATATATGTATGCAATGCTTATTGAATCTTGTATCGCGCCTCCTTAGCTCAGCGGTAGAGCACTTCACTAGTAATGAAGAGGTCAGTCGTTCGAGTCGGCTAGGAGGCATCTTTTTTTCTTGTTTTTTCTCTTGTTTTTTTTCGGCTCTCCATATCGAGATGCTCCCCGACAAGACTCACTCAGCGGATTGTTCTTAGAACCCCTCGCCTGCGCTCCTTAACGGAATGTCATTGGTTGTACGTAGCTGAAGCGGAAGGACATTTCAGGAGAGAGAGTGGCGAGGCGATACCAGAACTCAAAGTTGCTGAGCAGTGTGGGTGACAAGCCGGGCTAGTTTTCGGGCTGATCGACTTGCTTCTTGTGCTTCTTCTGCACCGGCTCCACAGCAGCGTCGTCGCGAGTGCGCTTTCGCTGCGAGTCAGCATGGTCGATGCTTCCTATGTAGCTAAGCGGCGTATTGCGCTCGGGCAGGCAGCAACCACAGCTGTTGGTGCGACCAATAAAGTGCAATGCATGCGTGCTCGAACGAGTAGCTACAAAGCCAGGAAGATCTTGTGGCCCGTACCATCCCACCGCCGGATGCTCCCGGAACGTAGCCAGGATGAGCAGCGTGCTGCCTTTGACCGTGATTGTGGACTGGCTCTTATTGATGTACACCACCCTGTCGAGGCGCCAAATGTTATCGATGCTGACAACGTCCCTAATGGCGCTGGAAATGTTGTCGATAGTCTCTTCAGTAGGTCCGGAGATATTGTAGATCTTGAGCACAGTGCTGCGCTTGCGCAGTGGAGCCGCACTGCTCACCAGCTCCATCGGCCTTCCATTCCAGGTGAGTTCGAGCGTCGCAGCCTGGACGTAGTCGGCAAGAACATTGAAGTGGATCTGCACAAATCGCTCCCTGCCCGAAGCAGGCGGTAGAGAGATGGAACACTCTTCCAGGTGGAATTTTTCCTCGAGTAGCATGTTGATGATCTTGGAGATGAGCTTCCCCTCGTCTCCCGCGGTGGGAAGGGCTTCGAAGCGCCACCGACGCGAGCCGGGCACCATACCTGCAACCAACGGATCCGTCAGCTCCGAAGGAGGAAAGGGGATGCTGACTTTACCGTCGGGAGGGTAGATGAGCGTGTGCTCGATTGTCGCCATGTCATAGTCGTCGTGATCATCGGCGTCGGCTTGAACTCGGGTCGTCTCTTCGTTGTCCTTGCGCATGACGCGCTCGTAGTCGGCAAGCGCGTCGGCTGCGTCGTTCCCGTCGCCGACATCGCGCTCGGGCGACTCATCTTGAGTTTCTTCCGCAACGACGCTGGCATCCTCGCGCTCGTGGCCATCAACTCGAGCACTGCCGGCATCGGAGGCGACGGCAGGCGATGCAGACCGACGTTGAGTGCTCGCCTTGTGGCTGGTGATGCCCGCAGGCGAAGTTCCAACAGCACTAGGCACAGGCTCGGAACGAGCGACGGCAGCTGTTGGTACTGGTTCTGCAGGACGATGCTTAGCCACGGGAACAACCTCGTCTGTCACAGCGGCAGGCTGCTGGCGAGCCTGTGTCGTCTCACCATGCTTGACAGGAGACACAGCCCGGCGATGAACAGCAGCTTGCTGAGGGGCTGGTGAAGCCACGTTGAGCGACTCCGCTTGCTGGACGCGTTGCTGACCGTTCAGGTGAGCTTGTGCTTGAGCTTCGACTCGGGCTTGGGCTTCAGCTCGGGCTTGAGCTTCTGCTTGGGCTCGGGCTCGGGCTTGTCTGTGAGCTTGGGCTTGGGCTTGGGCTTGTCTTTGAGCTTGAGCTTGGGCTTGGGCTTGGGCTTGGGCTTGGGCTTGGGCTTGGGCTTGGTCTCTAGCTTGCTGCTGCTGGGCATACCACTGCTGGTTAGCACTGCTGGTTAGCGTCCGACATTGTGAATCAATACAGGTGACAAAAAAGGCGCAATGACCAGCGAATGACGGCGCTCTTTATACACGCGGGTAACAGTGCTTGCAGCGAGTTGCGAGGTGAAAGCTTCTGATCGTGGCTGCTCGCCAAGAGGCCCGACCTTCGAAATGAGGGCTTTGGTCGCTTGGGTGGGCGGATGTTGCTTCCCCGTTTGCCGCTTGGACCACGCTGCAGGTTGATGAAGTCAGATCGACAAGGTTCTTGCATCGCCCGAGCCTCGCGTATCGATGTTGCAACTGCTTGATTTCAACTGTCATCATGCTCATCGACAAGCTTTCTTTCTCGCATCGCTGGCCTTGTTGCGCCTGGAGCTGTGTGACACGAGCTCGGATCGGCCCTCACACGACCTTCCCACTTCTACCCACCCGCAGCCGGCGAGATTCAATGTGACATTTGCAAAGTACATAAGCCAGTTAAAGCCGCACAGTCTTCTTCTTCTTCTTCTTCTTCTTCTTCTTCTTTAGTTGTGCGCTCCGCTTTTTTGGGAGCATCCGGCGTGGTTGGTCTTGCGGAGAGACAGTCGCCGGGTTTTTGGGGATCCTGTGCCGTATCCTCTTGCGGGCAAGGGGAGGGAGGATCCCCATAGTTGCTGAGCTGCGAGAGGGTCGAAAGCACAGGCACTGGCGTTCAGCTCGCTTGGATCACAAAGGGCATCCGAGACGGCCTGAGCGCCATTGTCTGCTGCATGTCGTCAACCTGATCAACGCCACGCCTGTACATCTGACGACTGAACAAAGCCTCTTGACTCCACGCCAGCCACTGGAGAAAGGGCAGCCAAAAACGCCGACATGCCTTCTGCGCAAAAGTCGGGCTGATCAACGCTCCACATGTACATGTCGTTAAGCATCCTCTCTTGCAAGTGCTTCCTTCGATCGCACCAAGCCACATTTGCGATTCACAATCATTGATGGACTTGACCATGTTCGCAATTGCACATACCATCAACGTCTCCACAAGATCCATTGACTTGCAACGAGCTATGGCCAAGAGGAAGATCAAAAGACACCTTGATGTTGAGATCAAGTTGAGGCCATTCAACAAGCAGAAATCTGTCTGGCGCTCAATTGTTCCCCCCCGCCCCCGCGCCACCGCAAAGAATCACTTCCACCGTCGCACAGTTTTAGGACCGTTGACAGGACCCTTGCAATCTTGTGGTGCGACTTGGGAATCCGGTGCAAGATTCACCTCCTCCCTGTTCACTTCGCCGTCCCTCGTGCATCAAGAGCGTCCCACACACTACTCATCCTTCATCATTACTTTCCTCCTCGGCCTCGCATTCCCTTACCCGCTAGTTCAAAACCGTGCACACAAACCATGCCGACGATTACGACTTCCTTTGCATTCATCTAGACCTACTTGGCGGCATTGTGACGGAGCCGTTCGTGGCGGAGCATGGCGTCCTTGCGGCTGAAATTGGCACCGCACTCTTTGCACTTCCACTCCACCACCGCCGTCGACTTTTTCGGATCCACCTCTTTGCCCAGTACCACGCACGCATCCAGACTCAACTTGCCGTCGCGCACAAAGCCGGCCTCTTCGCGCGCGTGGATCGTCTCGCGATGGCGCGCCAGATCGTACGGCCGGTGGAAGGCCGTTTGACACTCGGCTCCCGTGATCGGCGAGATATAGTCGCACTTGGTAGTCCCGTCCCCTGCAACGCTCGTGAGCGCTTTTGCGGCGGCCAGAGTTGTCGTCGCCGTACCGCCTTTGTCTTTGCGTGCTGCAGAGCGCTTCGAGGCCGCACTGTCTGGGGAGCCGTCTTCGTAGTCAGATTCGTTGCCACCGCCACTCGCACTGTTGGTGCCCGTGGAGGAAGACTCATCCCCACCACTGGCATCCATGCGCTCGTCGCGCAGTGGTGCACCAGCACTGCCAGGCGCCAGGGTCCCAGGTGGAGGCAAGGCGGCGGGAGTCGCGCTGGCGTTGGCGGTGGCGGCGGGGATGGGAGCACCGCCACTTGGCTGGCGGGACGTAAGCAGCGGAGGTGGAGCACTGATCTCGGGGGCCGGCGCTTCGTGCTTGCCGCGGTGACCGGTGGTCTGCGCCGAGGAGCGGATGGAGGGGCTGATGCTGCCGTCGTCTTGACTGCGCGCGACGCCGCCGCTGCCGCCGGGCACGCTGAGGCCGCTCTCCTGGCTGCCGGGGATGTAGCCGTAGCCGCCGAGCGCGCCAGGCACGTGTGCACGCGAAGGTCGCTCATCCATACGCCCAGACGCATGCCGGCCGTACCGGTCGGTATCGTCCACATCTTCGGACGAAGACTGATGCTGGCCCAGACTCGGCCGATGCGCATTGCGGGCATCGTGCTGTGCGTAGTGGGCGTGGGGTGATGTTGAATGCGGATGCGCGCGGCCGTAAGGCGGATAGGCATGGTGCGGGTGCGGCTGATGATGCGCGGCGTGGCGCGGATGGTACTCGGCGCCCTGGCGGTGCTGAAGGCCGCGTCGGCCGTATCTGTCGTCGTCCGAGTCGCTGCTGGAGGCCGAGACGTCGGAGAAGCGGGGCTGGTTCATGTGCGCTGGACGGAAGGCCCAGGGCTCGGTACGCACGTGCGACCAGGCGCCGCTGCCAGAGCTCGAAGTGCGTTCTTTGCCCAAGAGCGGGCGTGTGAGCATGGAGGGCGAGTGGGAGGAGCGGCCGTCGCCCTTGACGGGATAGTTGAGGTAGAGGCTGCTGGGACCGCCGCGGATCATGCTGGGGCGCATGTTGGGCGGATAGTAGGGGCGTTCGTCCTCGTCGTCGTCGGTGGAGATGGTGTCGCCACTGTCGACGGGGCTGAAGAGGCTGCTTTGGGAGCCGGACTCTTGGCTGGCTGATCCACGGCCGTCGCTGTGATTGAGATAGGGCGAGCGACCGGCGGGGCTCTGATGCACGCTGGGACCCGGGCGCTTCTGGTAGTGATGCGGACGGGCGGTGTCGTTGCGAGTCATGGCGACAGGGCGTGCTGCGTACACGGCTTCGTCTGTGGAGGAGCGTGCGCGCGGAACATTGTGCTGTGAGGGCATACGTGGAGTTTGAGCGCCTGCAGAGGCGCGCATGGGAGCTAGCTTTGCGTCGGAGAGGCCCGGGGGCACGGATGCAAAGAGGCTGGGCATCTTGCCGAGGCCCGAGTGAGAGAGCTGGTTTTCGACGTGGTCGTAATCGAGGAAGGCCTGCTGCGGGCTGACGGTGAGACCGCTGGACTCGCGCTTGAGCGGACGACGAAGTTCGGCGTAGTTTGCACTGATGGTAGGCTCGGTGGAGGGCATGGAGACGGGACCTCCGCGTTGAGCGAGCAGGCTCTGGGAGAGTGCGGGGGGCGGCATGTAGGGGCGTGGTTGCGAAGGCTGAGAATGTTGGGAGGACTGCGACTGGCGAGCCCAGTCGGGGAGGATGTTTTGGGAGTGACGTGCGGGAGGATAGGACATGGCGCCGAAGCCTTGGTCGATGTTGCCAGACTTTGTGCGCATGTCGGAGGAGCGCTGGCTGAGGAGATGCGGCATGTCTTCGTCTGCGGTGGGGGTCTCCTGGGGCGTGGCTCTGCCATTGTGACTGGAGTGGCTGCGGGAACGGGAGCCGCCAATGTCGTAGTCTGGGAAGAGGCTAAAGGAGGGGGCGACGCCAGCCTGCATGGGGTCGCTGGAAGCAGAGAGCGGGCTGGTCTGCATGTCGTTGTGGCTGGGAGTGTAGTCTTGCTTTTGGAGGATGTCGCGGAGGGGACCTTTGAAGGCGCGGGTGTCGACGCCGGCGAGCTCTGCGCGGATCTGGGCCTTTACGCGTTCCTGCTGCTCGCGGGTCATGGCCGCGGTGGAAGCTGGGGAAGGCAAGGCGGAAGATGAAGCGGTGCGGTCGTAGAGAGGCAGCGAGTCGCCGAGGGAGAGATCGTGCATGGGAGCGCCGAGGCTGCCGCTGGGCGGCGAGATGCGTTGGTTGGGAGCGTGTGCGTGGCGTGAGGTGGTGGTGGTGGTGGTGGTGGGAGGATGGGCGAACGCGTCGCTCCTCTGACGCTTGCGGCGCGGGCCGGCAGCATCGTTGAAAGCGTCAGGAGCGGGTGGAGCGCCATCGTCGAATGCGGGAGACTGCCTGGGCGAGCGATGCTTTGTGAAGGAGTTGGGTGGAGGGAGCTGTGCGGTTGCGGAAGGGAGGGGCCTTAGGGATTCGCGAGCTGCCGAGGGCGCAGGATCGTCAAAGAGGATAAAGTCCTTCTGCGCGGACATGTTGTGGGAGAGCACGCAGGGCAGCTAGGCCCGAACGGCGTAGGGTGGGGGCGCTGCGAAGGTGGACCAAGTGGAAGCGGCCTCAGGATGTCATGGAGCGGAGTCGAGTGCTGAGGTATATGCGGGTTGTAGTCTGTTCCTTTGACGGCGAGCGAAAGATGATGTTGGATGAGGAGGAGTTGGTGGTACACGAGAAGGCGAAGCGTTGGTGATGGCGTGTGTGTCCAAGCGGTGCTGAACCGATGATCCTCTCCCCTCCTCTCTGCTAGATTGGACGGCTGAGGCGTGAGAGTGTGTGAGAGAGAGAGTGTGTGCGTGTGACAAAGGTGTGTCGCTCTCTGGGTGAGGCAGAGAAGCAGCCGGAAGAGTGCCGGTGTTGTGCCTGCATGCGCTGCGCTCTGCTTCCCGAACCAAAAAAAAAGGGCGGCTACACCACACAGCTGGACAGGTGGAGGGGCGGTGCTGTCGGTCGCTGCAGCAATGCGGTCACTCTTCTCACTTAGCGAGCTCATGCAGTCCGTCACTCTCTCTCTCTCTTTTTCTTTCTGGCCTAAAGTCACCCGGATCCTCATTTCGTACCACAGATACGGTAGCGCCTTGCTGCCCTTCACTTATTCGGGACGTCTGCTTGAGATTGACAGAGGCGCGGAGAGAGAGAGAGAGGGGACAACTCTGATGAAGCGAAAGGCGAGGCGAGGGAAGGGAGGATGTGCAGCATGCCCGGCTGCATCGAGGCGTGCACCACGTAATCCGAGCCTCGGCGCCGCCTCTGCTCCAACACCGCTCGGATGCACCAAAAAGCCGCCGCCGATGCCGGCTGCCAATCGCCCCTGCACCCCGCGCTTCTCCTCGCCCACTCTAACACCGACCCCCCAAAAATAATTGCGCTTCTTCTTCCCCCATCGGCTCCCCGATTCCACACTCAGCGCCGTCACAGAACCAAAGATGCGGGGGGTATCATTGCAGACCAATGCTAGCGAGGGGCGACTACTGCGACGCATCCGCCTCGTTGAACAGCACATTGAGCGCCTTGAGGCCCTTGGCAACCCCATACGACGCACTCGCCATACTCGACTTGGTGCTCTTGTCGAACGTCGGATGGCTCTGCATCTCGCTCAGCTGGTCGCAGTTGTCCGTCAGCTCGTCCAGGATGCGCTCGCCCTCGGCACGACTCTTGGCAGGCAGGTTGCCCTTGGAGATCGCCACAATCGACGACACGATCGTCGTGATCTGCGTGAGGTTCTCGCTCAGCTGCACACCCTGCGCCCCTTCGCGGATCGCAGACAGCAGCGCCTGGATCGAATGCACAATCGCCTCGGTCTGCACCTCGATGTAGTTGCGCAGCTCCGTCCAATTCTCCTCGCCCGAGTGGCTGCCGAACCCGCTGCCGCTCGCAGAAGTCGTCGTGTGCAGGCTGTCGTACGTCTCGGATCGCTGCACCTGGCTATCGCTCGTCTGCGGCGACCCCGTCACCGCTGCGCCACCGTTGATGCCGCCACCCACATCCTTGCTGCCACTTACGGCTGCTGCTGCTGCTGCTGCCGCGGTCCCCGACGAGGACGACGTCGAAACGTCCGCCATGTATCGCTTGGCTCCGTCCAGGTTGGGCATCTCGGGCATTGCAGCCATGCTGGGCGTGCTGAGGTTGGCACCGGCGCTGCCCGTGGACGAGAACGAGGTGGCACGGCTGCGCCACTGGCTGTCGCCCCCGGACTCCTTGCGGATGGTCTCGGCCTTGTATCCGATGGGCGAGTAGCGCCCCATGGTGGGGCTGTTGCGGATGCGCGGCGAGAAGCGATCGTCGCTCGGGTTGAGGCTCGCAAAGCTAAACGTGTTGGCCGTGTTGGGCGACAGCGTGGCGCTTGCATCGCGACTCGCCGCCTGCGCATTGATGTGCAGCGGCTTGAGCCGCCCCGCCGCCGCCGCGTCCTCGCCCAACCTCGCCTGGAACTCGTCCGCCTCGCTCTTGCTCGCCTTGCGCACCTTGAGCAGCTTCACCAGATCCACAATCGTCGCCGACACGTGGCTCGCCGCCGCATCCAGCAGACTCACGGGCGACAGGCCGTGCGACGACGCATGGTTGCGACACGCCGTCATGAGGTTGTTGAGCGTGGCCGAGCACTTGGACTTGAGCGCCATCAGCTGCTCCTGCTCGTCGCTCGACAGCTCCGCCGCGTTGGCAGGCACCTGCTCGTACTTGGCCACGTCGTCCGTGACGAGCGTCGTGGCGAGCACCACCGTCTTCATCGAGAGCAGCACGTTGCCCGGCGTCTTGGATCGCGCCGCTGCGAGCAGTTCGTCGATCGAGCTCTGGAACGCCGTGAGGTTGACGTCGGCGATCGCGCCTCGCTCCGACGCGGCCAGGAAATCGTCCGCCTTGGGCGGCTGCACGTACAGCTGCGAGGTGGCTTTGAGATTGCGCAGCTCCGTCTTGGCCGTCTCGTAGAGCCGCTTGTAGTTGGCCATCTGCGCGTTGAGGTCCTTGATCACCGTCACGTCGTTGTCGCGATCCGCCTGCATCTCGTCGTGGCGTGCCGAAAGCTCGCGAAGCTCCTCGAGCAGCGTGCTCACCTCTTGCTTGAGTTCGCCCACCACCTCGGCTTGCTGCGCATGCTCCTTCTGCAGCGCCTCAAAGTCGGCGGGCCCGCCGACGTTGGCGCGTTCGGCGAGCTCCCTCCTCACCGACTCGAGCTCCGAGTCCTTTTGCGATGCCAGCTCGCGGTGTTGGTCGCGTTGGTCGTCGTGCTTCTGCTTGGCTTCGTCGAGCTCTTTGCGCAGCTGGCTCAGCTGGCGGTCGAGCTCTTCGTTGCGGCCGGCGAGCTCGTCTGCGTTGCGCACGCGCGTGCCTGCCTCGGCCACCTGCGCTTCGAGCGAGCTGACCTGCTGTTGCAGCTTGGCGATGCGCAGTTCGTAGTCGGAGCGCATCTTTTCGAGCATGGCCGACGAGGCGTCGGACGACTCGAACGCGCTGGAGCGGCCGAGGTTGGGGCTGGCGATGCTGCCTGCGACGGTGGAGCCGGTGTATCCGTTGAAGAAGCCGGTGCCTACGCTGCTCGCCTGGCTGTACATGGTGCTGCGGTTGTCGGGGATGCCGTTGAGGCCGTTGGAGCCGATCGAGTCGCGCAGCGGCGACGACACCCTCTCGGAGGCGGCGTCGGTGTCGGCGCTGCGCAGGCCCGACTTGGATGCGTTAGCCGAGTACGGCACCGCGATGTCTTCCTCGACGAGCGTGCTCTTGGCGGGCACGATGCGGTCCGAGGTGGAGGGTTGTGGTTGGCCCACCGAGTCCTTGCGTTGCAGGGCTGCTTCCGCCTCGTCGCGCATCTGCTGTTCACGTGCTCGTTCGCGTGCGATGGCCTCTGGACGGAACTCGTGCTTGAGCTCGGGAAAGCGGCGTTCGAGCTCGAAGAAGACGTCCGAGGCAAGGTCCTTGAAGCGATTCTTGGGCAAAGTGGCGAGCTTTTGGCGTGCCTGGTTGCGTTTTGGATGGAATTCGTCGCGGACGGCGAGGAAGGGCTGTGTGGTGGAGTCCTTTGCGCTGTTTTGGCGGCGCATGAGCTCGTCGTAGACGTCTGTGGAGAGCTCTGTGAACTGCTGCTTGCTGAGACGCGTGAGCTTTTCGCGTGCGTTGGAGCGTGGTGCGGTCTGTTCGACTTTGGCGAGGTGGGTGCGGAGGAAGCCGAGGAGCTCTACGTAGTGGGAGCGACCGACGCGCTTGATCTCCTCTGTGTCTGGACGTACGCGGCGAAGCCTGGAGGAGGAGGAGRGATGTGAGGAGGAGGTGGAGGAAGCGAAGGAGGCGTCGTGAGTGGTGTTGGACGACGATGGCGGATTTGTGGGCGGAGCATCGTGGAGCTGGATGGAGGGCGCAGCGTGTGGGGAAGAGTATACGCGTTGCGGCGACGCGGGCGGGAGGGAGGCTTGGTAGGAGTCGTGCGCATTGACGGCGTTGGGAGGATAGAAGCCGCCCATGGAGGAAGCGGAGGCTTGGTTGTAGCGCTGCTGCTGTTGGTGTTGCTGTCGTTGATTCATGGCGGCGGCAGGGTTGGGGCTGAAGTGCTGGTGTGGTGGTTGGGGCGGGGGTTGCATGGGCATCATGGTTGATGGGCGTGCGGCGATGGTGCACAAGATGGATGGCACCGAGCGAGCTTGGCGTCTATGTGCGGCTAGGAAGCGTGGTGCTGCCTGACAGGAGAGCACGTGGCTGGCTGTTTGGGGTAACGTGAAGAGGTCGTGCGCCAGCGCCTGAGGTTGTCGATGCGAAGATGAAACGTCGAGGCCGTCGAGGCGAGGTTGAGAGGGACGATCCGATGCGATGTGTCTCGCGATGTGCCTCGTTACCGGCGAGGAGAATTGCGGAGGGTGGTCGAGAAGTGGGATGATGATGCGGCGCAGGGGAGGCTCGAGCCGAGATGAAGGGAGGGAGGCATGGGATGGATGTGAGAGGTGGCGACGGCGATGTCAAAGAGAGAGAGAGGGGGGCCGGGGCCGCGGCAAGGTGCAGGGCGAAGCAAGCAAGCACGCTTCAGACGGCCGAGCGGACACGGCGCTGTCCTGTCGCAACGCAAATTGAAGTGGGCTCGGCGACCCTAAATTTGAGCCAGAGAAGGCAGAGAGAGACACACACACACTCGCCTACAAGCTCGAGTCAAAGCAAAGTTACATGCGCGACCCTCTGCCGGCGACACTGCCGCCCCACTGCCCGCAGACGCGCTGCTTGCAGGGTCTCTCTGCGTCTCTCTCGGAGCAAACGACGATCCGCGTGCGCGATTTGCAGGAAAAAGATGGGCTCGGCGTGCTGGCAATTTGTCTAAATTTTGCGATGCTGCCTCGCCGGTGGGCAGGTGCGCGTGCGGCTGTTCAGGAGGTCAAGCCGGACAGTCTGCAGACGCGATACCAAACGCGATGGCATTCGGACGCGGCAGCTGATTGCTCTTGGCCGAGGCAGGCGGCAGCTGGCTGTTGTCGCTCGCTCCTCGCTCCCCAGGCAACGCGACTGGAGCCGGTTGAACATTCGCTCGGTCTTTCCCCTTCAGAGCTTGCCAAGAGACGCAGGCTTGGCTACTCCGCTCTCCATGCACACCGCGAGCCAATGCAAAATCGGAAAGCCTTCCGGGCGCACGCGCTTCCTTCGCGCCCGCCTGCTGCCGAGCGTAAACACGAACCACGCTGCCGTCGTTGGTGCTGCAATGGTACGATCACAAGCGAAGCCGACGCCGATCTAGTGTCATATCACCACTGCTTCAACGACGTCATCAGCAACGCACTGCGCTCTTCCTGTATGTGCATGTGATCAAGCTTCGGTCAGGAGCAAACAAAGGCAGAGGCAGCGGTAGAAGCGGTTGGACCTGGCTTAACATCGGAAGTTTGGATCGCGATCGGCATCGCTAACAAGCAATGGCCCGATGGGAAATTTATCGTCGGCCTCCACATGCGTGTGGTTGCGCTCATCTGTCAGCCCAGCTAGCGGAGGCGCCCAACTTAGCAGCCTGTGACGACACTCTCGCCCTTGCGCCCATCCTCCTCCTCTCCGCCCCGTAGTGGCGCCATGGCACGCAATCACACCGAGGATCCCAGCTATGATTCATCGAGCGTCCAACGCGCTGCAGTCCGCTTCCTCCTGCTCCCCACGCCGGGGCAGTGCACGGCCATGAGATCACCTTGCTTGAGGCGCTTCTCTCCACCAGAGAGTGACTGCAACACGCCCGACTGAGACCTATATATCCTCGAGACTTTGCATCCTCACCATCCCGTCACCACACACGATTAACTGATCCACTGAACATCATGTCGACTACCACAGCAGCACACGACCCCACCGCGCAGGGTGCGCACTCCAAGGGCCACCAGCACACGCCTCAGGAAAAGATCGAGACGCTGCTCGACATCACCAAGACCGTCGGTACTGGTATGCTGACCACGCGCAGTCCCGACGGCAAGCTGGCGTCGCGCGCCATGGCGCCTGCCACCACCGAGGGCCTCGTCTTCTCGTTCTACATGAACACCGACTCGGGCAAGACGGACGATGTTGAGACCGACCCGCAGGTCAACGTGTCGTACTACGACCCCAAGACCACCGACTGGGTCTCCATCTCCGGTCGGGCTGTGCTCAACCGCGACCAGGCAAAGATCAAGAAGCACTGGTCCAGCTCCCTCAAGGCGTGGTTCGACGACAAGAAGGACGGAAAGCACACGGGCGACCACAGTGACCCCCGTGTGGTGATGCTCGATGTCCAGCCAGAGGAGATCAGGATCTTCAAGGCGGACGGAAAGTTGTCCGCCCTGGCTCAGACCGCAAAGGCGGCCATTAGCGGTCATGCGGCTAGCCCCGGTAAGCTGCTCATCCTTACCAGCCAGGAGATCCAGCTCGCCGCGGGTGTGTACAAGCCCCACCACTAAGGCGCCCCAAACATAATGTCAGAACGATTCTCCTAGTCCAGTGCGTGTTGAGCCAGAGAAGTGAAGAGAAGTGAAAAGTAGGACCTGAAATGTCGCACGGACATTATCGCATCAGCCTGATTCGCGCACGTGCCCTCGCAACTTTGCCTCGACCCCACCTTGCAACCTTGTTTCCGCTGTACCACCACCATCTCTCCTCCTTTTCGCCATGACTTCGCAGAGCACGGGTGGGCTGGGGCACTTTAGCGCCACGAGTCTGTTCGACGTACGCGGTCTGACGGCGGTCGTGACTGGCGGCAGTTCGGGCCTGGGCCTGTACGCTGCCCAAGCGCTTGCGGCCAACGGTGCACTGGTGTATATCCTCGGTCGTCGTTCCGACCGTCTCTCCTCGGCCGTCGACACCTTCCATACCCTCCTACCCGACCCCAACCAGCGCCACTCCGGTGACCTCATTGCTATTCAGGCTGATATCACCTCGAAGGCATCGCTTTCGGATGCGCGAGAGCGTATCTCAACGGACCTTGATGCGAGAGGCCGAAGGGGCATTAATGTTCTTATCTGCAATGCGGGTATTGGGGGGAGGTTCTTGCGATCCTACGGGTCTGAATCCAGCACGGGGGATAAGGAGGAGTTTGAAGAGATCGTAGACGAGCTATGGTCTTTCAGCGAGTCGGAATGCGACGACATTCTGCGCACCAACGTCACGGGCAACTACCTCACCGCCCTCGCCTTCCTCCCCCTCCTCAAAAAGGGTACGAGTGAAGAGTACAATTCGCAGACGATTTTGATCTCGAGCAATGCCGCATGGGCCAAACTGCCCATTCTCAATCCGGTGTACAATATCTCCAAAACGGCCGTGTCACAGCTAGGGCAGATTTTGTCGACCATGTTCGCTACGCACATGCTCAGGACCAACATCATCGAACCAGGTCTTTATCCGTCCGACCTCACCAGCACCGAACCCACCGATCAGCAGACGGGACATAAGACGCTTAGCCATACAAACGGCGCTGATATCCCCGTGGGCAGGTGTGGAGAGCCCAGGGAACATGCTGCGGCCGTGTTGTACCTCGCCTCGAGAGCGAGCAACTTTGCCAACGGGGCCACTATGCGGATTGACGGTGGCGCCCTCCAACGCGTAAGTTCTTCATTCTTCCCCTGCACAGATCGAGCAAAAGACTGACCTCAATCCGCCGCTGGTTTTTGACCCACAGATTCCCGCTTCTGACTAGACGTGCGCAATGAATGAATTCCCTGCCTTCACGCCGTGATGGCGTTCTTCTTGAGCTCGCCCTTTTTCGCCGTCTTGACCGCTCCTCCCGTCGACATCTTGGCAGCCGGTGGTGGCGGTGGGGGCACGCTCGGCTTGTCGGCTGCCATCCTCTCGGCCGCCTGTTTCCTTTCGAGCGCCGCACTCCACATCAGACGCCGAGGCATCTTACCCGTCGGTGGAACCTTGTAGCGCTGTTTCTCCTGTTCGTGGTCGGGCAGTGTTGCTGCCGCCACGACCGGGTCCACCTGCTCCCTCTCCTCCTCCTCGGCTGCAGCTTGTTCGTGCGCATGCTTGACGCGCTGGCGGTGCTCCCGGAACTTGTCCTGGTAGAATCCATGCAGTAGCGCGATCTGGCTTCCCACCGCCGCTGCTGTCAGCGCCACCGGCTCGGGTGGAGGCGGATACGCCAACACCTCCTCTTTCACCGCACCCCTTGCGGCAAGAGCAGTGTTGCTCGCCCGCGCACGCCCATAGAACAACCGAATCGGGACAGTGAGTCCGCTCATCCCCAGCTCCTTATCCAGCCCGAGCTCGCGGAATCCAAAGTAGTCATCGCCCAGATCCTCGGCAAACCCGCCCGCCACCAACGCCTCGCCATTATCGGCAAACAACGCCTCGTCTTCAATCACCCCGCGTTCGGTCGAGAGGCTAAACTGCTCGCGGTAGCTGCTGCGGAGCTTACGCAGCAACTCGGCGGTTTTTGTGCCGGAGCGCTCGACGTCGTTACGGATATAGTTCTCCAGCCCCCGTACGTCGGCACCTCCGCCTTGGTGGAGCGTGTGTAGCACCATCTCTTCCGCCGACATGGACGAGGCGTATCGATCCGAGTAGATGCGTAGCATCCGCCCGAGGTTGCCCATAAACTCGCCCAGCGCATCGGTGAGCACGTCGACGGCTGCACGGTGGCCGCCTTCGAAGCCGTGGTGCGCGAGCAGCATGCGCACGTTGTACGACGCGTGCTCGTGCGCCGATGCGCCCGAGATGCGTGCAAGTGGATGCCGCGCCGGTTCGCGCGGCTCGATCTCCTCGTCGGAAGCGTAGTCCGACTCTTCGTCCGACGACATGCTCGTCAGGTACGCCGGGATGGGCGCTTCGTTTTCGACGTGGTGCGCGAGCGCCAGAAACTTGTTGTGCGTCTGCTGCACCCGCTGCAGCGTGCGCACGTTGCGCGCGATCTTACCTGCCAAGCCGCGTCGCCGCGTCGCGGGGACTTGGTGGAACGCCTTGCGCTTCCGACCCGCTGGGGGTGGCGGAGGCATGGCCATCGCTGACGACGCCAACCGTGGCAACCCGCCCGTCATCATCTCGCCCGATGCGGCCACCGTGAACCAGTCGGCACACGCGTCGCGCGCCGCCACCTCGCGCGCAGGCGTGCTGCGTGCTGAAGCGACCGACTCGGCCTGCGACTGCGGCTGCGACTGCGGCTGCGACTGCGGCTGCGACTGCGAAATGGTTTCCGGCGTCGCCTTCTCCTTGCCCTTGCTGCTCGGCGCTGCAAAGATGCCCGGCAGCACGCTGCTGAGCGGATCGTCGTGCGCATCGTCGCGCACCGCCGCCATGGCATCCACCAGCTTCGACGGCGCCAGCAGCGGCCGCGAACTCGGCCCGGCCTCGGCGTGCTCGAGCTGCTGCAGCCCGGCGTCGATGGTGGCAAAGGCGAGCATGGACTGTGGCGTGCGCACAAAGGCTTCCTGCTCTTCGAATGCGATGTGGCTGGTGTTCCTCCGCCGCGGTGCTTCCGCCTGCTGTGCTGCAGCACTCCCATTCGCCTGTCCTTGCGCTCCAGAGGTTGCATCCGCGGCGTCTGTGGTATGCCCGTTGACAGCGATGCTGGCCGGAGTGGGCTTGGAGTCGTGCAGCCCCCACTGGACGAGCGCACTCTTGACGTCGCTCTTGTCGCTGATGAACTCGAGCAGATGATCCGCCTTTTTGCGCATGAACTGGACGTTGCGCCTTAGCGGATGCGTAGGGTCCGAGTTGTACAGCAGACAGTTGTCCCAGATGAGGTTGAGGTCGTGCGCGAACTGCTTCTTGGTCTTGTACTGGCCGGACTTGACCTTCTTCTGCATGGAGCCGAGGTCCATGGGATGCTTGATCACGTCGTAGTAGTCGGGCGCATCGCGCTTGCTCACCTTGGAGAGGAAGGCGGTGGAGTGCTCGGTGTAGTTCTTGAGCTCGGTGATGATGCGGTCGATCGACTCGAGGAACTCCTCGCGCTCGTCGCGGCCCTTGCATACCTCGGTGAGCAGCTCGCGCAGCTCGCCATCGTCGAGCTTGACCGCCGCGCGCTTCGCCTCGATGGCTTGCAACAGGTACTTCATTGCCGTCGGTCGTGCTGATGAGCTTGGATGCAGCTCGGGTGTATGGATGAGGGCATGTGCTGATTTGCTCGCCGAGACGTGGTTGTGGCGCTTTACTTTGTGTCGCGGCAATCCAAACGCCGAGTGGCAGCGGTCGATGCGAAGGCTTTTGCAGCAATCGTGCGATTATGCGGTGCCGCTGTCCGTCCAGAGCTGCGCGATCCTGTGCGTAACCGAGTCGACCCAATGTCGCTGCAGACACCTTTCCGAAGATGTGTTGGTGTAACTGTCGGCGAAAAGGCCGGGTGTGCTGGGAGGGTATGCGGGTGTGCAGGTGGTGGTCGGGAGGAAGAAACGCCGGTCGACGCGGGGGTCCACCACATGCGCCCTCACGCCGAGCCGCTTGGCCGGGGTCGCGAATCCAATTTCCGAAATCCGGAAAAAAGGCATCAATGATACCGTTGCTTTGGGGCAGCTGGCGTGAGGCGCTTTTCATTTCGGCCCATCCACACAGAAAGAATGAACCGCGACGGCCCAATTCGGCAACGCGTCGCTCTCTCATCCATGCTCGGCCAATTCCACTTCCATTTCCATCCCACAATTCACAAGCTCAAGCTACCGAATCCATTCATGCAACCGAGAGCCAACTTCAACTGTCTGAATGCTATTTCGTTTTAAGTTCCTTACTCCTGCGATGAAGAGGTCTGGCCGTTGGCAGCGGCTGCCGCTCGCGAGTCGGCCTCCTGCAGCCGGCGTCGCTCGGTCTGACGGACGTCGAGGTCCTGCAGCAACTTGTCAGGCTCATCGACGACGAATCCGTTGCCAAAAGTGTGGCGGAAAAGGTTGTTGGGATCGACGCGCTTCTTGATGTCGAGCAGGCGGCGGAAGTTGTCGAGGCCGTAAGCGCCAATCACGCGGTCCATGCGTTCGGAGCGCCCCAGAAAGCACGGATAGGGTCCGCCGACGCTGACCTTGTGCACGACCTCGTTTAACCAGCGCTCGACGCTCTCGATGCACGTGCGGTCCTCGTCCTTGCCGCTCCACTGCTGCAGCGATCCCACGGTGAACTTGGCGGCGCGCGCCTCGGGGCAGATGCACGTCTCGTCCGCACCGCTGTCCTCGATCGCGCCGCCCATGAGCTCAAACAGCCACACGGCGCGGCTGCCGAGCCCTTGGAAGTTGCGCACGCTCTTGGCGATCACGTCGTCGGTGAGCGTCGAGATGAGGTCGCCGCGCACCATCCAGCGCCGTCCCGTACCGCCCTTGAGCACCTTGGCCACGCCGTCCTGCTGCGAGAGGAAGCTGCGCTCCTCGACATCCTTGAGCAAAAGCCGCTCGCCCGTCCAGCTGCTGATCGCCTGCACCAGCGCCTCGCCATCGCTCTTAGGTCCCAGGTAGCACACCTGGATCACGATCACGTGCGACGTCTTGCTCGGCCCCGCCGTGAGGATGAGGTTGGTGTAAAACTTGCGCGGCAGCCCGGCCTTGAGACAGTCGCGCCAGTGGCGGATGAGCGAGCCCGCCGTCGCAGGATTGAGCGGATAGATGAGGTTGCCCGAATACACCGACGGTACCGGATACGCCTTGGCGGTGAGGCGCGAGACGATGCCAAAGCACGGTGCAGCGCCGCGCACCGCCCACCACAGATCCTGCTCCTCCTGCGACTTGTGCTTGGACTCTTCGTTGAGCGTGACGATGCGGCCGTCGGCGAGCACCATCTCCACCTCGACAATGTTGTCGAGCGACAGGCCGTATGCGCGCGTGAGGTATCCGAACCCGCCCGTCGTCATGGCGGTGGAGCCGACCGGATACGCCGACACGGGCACGTGATACGGCACGCCGTTGACGACGAGCGGCGGAAGTGCGTCGGGATCGTCCATCTGGCGCTTCTTGCCGTCGCTCTTGGAGTCCATGTGCGCGAGGAAGTTGCCCTCGCGTCCGGCGCGGTCGGTGAAGGCATCGAGGCCGCGGATGCCCACGCCCGGGCCGAACGAGGCGAGCGCATATCGGTCTTCGTACATGCCCGGCGGCAGGATGGCGGTGGCCATGTTGTGGTTGACGTCTGGGCGCGAGTCAAAGTTGAACGGGTTGTTGGCATCGGGCATGTGCGGCGTGGGCGAGCGCGAGGGCGAGCCGTACTTTTGCAAGGGCGATGGGATGAAGCGCGGCAGGCTCGAGGCGGGATCGTTGGCGCCCTCCTGATTGACCGCCCATGTGCCCGACGGCCACGCGTCCTGCAGGTCGTTGAGCGTGGAGGCGCCAAAGTAGCTCGCGCCGGATGCACCCGCACGGCCAGCCTCGAGCTCGTTGGACGATGCTTCGCCCGACGACGAGCGTGCACTGCGCGAGCCCGAACGAGCCGCAGCCGCCTCTGGGCTGGCGGCAAAGGCCTCGGCATCCCACGGGAGCGAACCGGGCGCGGCAGGCACGCCGGTGATGCCGGCATCGGCGCCGTCGCTGCGCCAGACGAATCCGCCTTCGGGCAGTTTGATCCTTTCGCCCGGGGTGCCGGATGGCGGGCGATGGTGCCTTGCCCAACGTTGGTGGTCTGCCTTGGCACTGGTGTCCCAGTCGTCTGGCGTGCGGCTGTAGGAGAGGTCGCTGCGATTGCGACCGGACTCGGATGCGGAACCGGAGCCGGAACCGGAGCGCGAGGCAGGACGACGTGGAGCTGGAGCGGCATCGCGCTTGGGAAGCGGGATGGTGGTGGGACGCTTGAATGCCAGCGTCTCGTCGGCCGCATCGTCGGTCGTGATGGCACCCACGGTGTCGGTGTCCACTTTGACGTCGGCGTGGTCGCCGCCTGCGTTGGAGGACTTGGCGGAGGATTGCTTGGAGGCCGAGGTGAAACTGGAAGCGAGCTGGGAGGAGCTCGTGCCACCGGTGGAGCCCGAGTTGCTGCCGCCGGGCGAGTCGGAACCATTGCCCGAGGGATCGAGCTGCCTGTCGACCCAGATCTTGGAGGCAGAGGCGGAAGTGGAGGCGGACGCGGAAGCCGAGCCCGAACCCGAGCCCGAGCCTGAGCTTGATGCGGAGACTGCTTTGGCGAGGAGCGGAGCAACATCGCGTGGCTCCGAGGCTGTGAGGAAGTCGCTCCTAGATGACGCGACGGGTCGATTGGCGGCGGCGGTGTGGACAGCGCGAGGAGCAGCCGAGGCAGGTATTGGGTGGTCGTTGTCTGCATCGTCGTTGGCGGAGAAGGAGCTCTCGCTGTCTGCGTCTGCACCGCTCTCGTGGCTGCGGCCGTGCTGCATGGAGTGCGAGTTGGAGTCGGTCTTGCGCCTTGTGGGGGCAGATGCATAGTCGGGGCCGAGAAGGGAGACCACGTCGGGATTGGATGGAGGCAGCTTGCGCTTCAATGCGGACTTGGCGGGATCCTGTGGGTCGACGTCCTCGGAAGTCTCGCTCTTGGGCGCCGGTCGCACGGTTGCTTGGTCCTGGATGGGTGTAGCATCGGGATGGTGGATCTGTGTCTGGGCGAGTTGATCTGCTGCGCGTACGGAGTCGCTTTGTAGGGTGATGGCATGTGCATCTGCTTTGGCGGTGATGGGGTCGATGGCGGCCGAGGCGGACGAAGCTGGCGGGGGCGGTAGCGAGGTGGGCGGGCAGGCGGGGTGGTCGTCTGACTGAGAGGAAGAGAAGGGCGAGGAGCGGTGCGGCACGACGAGCTTGACGTCGTCCATGAGAGAGGTGTCGATGACCACCTCGCCCTGGATGGACCAGCCTGCGGTTGCGAATCCACCCGACTTGATGGATGGCGAGAGGCGGTGTGCGTTGCAGAACTTGACTATGGTCGAGATGTCGTGGACGTCGATGGGGAGGGCGACCATCCAGCCTCCGAGGGGAGCGGCATCGTTGAAGATGGTGATGCTCTTTGCAAAGACGGGCTCGCCGCGGATGGCGAGCTGGCCGCGGAAGGAGGTGGCTAGCTGTGCGCGGAGGGACTCGTAGCGAGCGTACTTTTGGCGCACCTCGTCCTTTGTGAGCGGCGTCGGCTCTGGGATGTCGTAGGGCGGGATGCGGGAGGACATGGTGGGCGGGCGTCCTGCGTATGCAGAATGGTGCGGCAGGACCCGTGCGTGTGGGCTAGGAAGAAGGCCTGTGGGCCGTGATGGAGACGGGCGGCAGCGTGCGACTCGAGAGGAGTTGGGCGAGAGAGAGAAGGCCAGAGCTGAGAATAGGCCGGCGTGTGGCAGAGGTGCAGAGGTGGTTGGGACGAGGCTAGGATGCGAGTGTGTGCGAGTATTGCGCTGGTGAGGATGAAGGGATGAAGGATGGGCGCGCGCAGGAAATACCGATGCAAAGCCGATGCAGCGTTGCCAGGCAGCAACAGCACACGGCGGTAACTTTGCTGCTGCTGCTGTTCGACCAAGAGCAACAGGAACGGCCGAGAGGCGAGTGAAGCATAAGCCAAAAATACGGCGAACGGCGGACAGCGGCCGGAGCCTCTTCGGGGCGTTCGGGAGCAGCCGCCACCAAATGGCAGCAGCCGAGCCCTGACGATCGGATTCGCTTTGGCTTTGGCTTTGCCTCTCCGCCAAAAGCAGCAGCAGAAGCGCGGCTTCGTAATCGCACAGCGGCGTGAAATCAACCATTCTCGCTCTAACAGCCTGCCGATTATTATGCTTTGAACGGCCTAACACACTACGCCAAATTCGTGTTCCGGGCGATGGCGTGGCATTCGCAGCGGAAGGTCCGAGTGCATGTCTCAGCACGCCAACTTGTGACTGCCAGCGTTCTTGGCGCACCGACCTCTTTCCTCGCCTCGTCATCGTCTTGCAGTCCATCCCACCCCTACTCTCCTTCCGGACGACCGCACACAGCATCGCCTCGTCGAGCTGGATTCGAAGGCGCTCAACACACAGCATGGCAGGCCCTGCACGCAGCAGCATGCTCTCTCTCACATGCGCGGCGCTCTTGTCGGTGCTGCTGCTCGCCACGCACACCTGGGCCTCGTCGAAAAACATCCAGATGCGCGAGATGGACTCGGACGCCATCGTGCCACTGCGCTCGCACAGCATCTATGCGCCCTACGTCGACTCGAATCTGCAGAACAAGTTCTGGGACTTTGGAGCCGATGCGATCGTCGACACCAACCGCCACATCCGTCTCACCCAGGACCGTCCCTCGCAGATGGGTTGGCTCTGGTCGCGTCTGCCGCTCACGGCGGACAGCTTCGAGATCGTCACCGAGTTCAAGGTGGACGGTCATGCCTCGCACGTCGCTGGAGACGGAATGGCCATCTGGCTTACCCAGGAACGCGCCAAGCCAGGACCCGTGTTCGGATCGATCAACTACTTTACGGGGCTGGGCATCTTCTTGGACACCTATCCCAACTCGCGCCATCCGTACTCGTTCCCGCGCATCTCGCTCATGAGCGGAAACGGCGTGGAGGCGTACGAGAACGACAAGGACGGCGCGCGCCAGGAAGTCGCAGGTTGCTCCATCGACTTCCGAAACGCCAAAGTCGCAACCAAGGCAAAACTCATCCATGTCAAGGATGTCTACACCGAACTTCTCATCCACCACTCCGAATGGGACCATTGGGAGAGTTGCTTTAAACTCGACGATGTCACGCTGCCGCTCAATCCGTATCTCGGCTTTTCCGCACTGACGGGCGATGTGAGCGACAACCACGACGTCGTCTCGGTCACCACCAGCAACATCGTCTACCGCAACCGAACCCCGCAACAACTCAGGCAGGAAAAGATGAAACACTTCCCCGAAAAGTTTGGCCAAAAGACAAAGAAGAAGTCGTGGTCGTTTGGCGGAAACACCAAAGGTTACTCGTCCGACGTCGTCGATGGAAAGTCGAGTGGAGGCGGTGGATTCTTTGGGTTGGTGGCGGGGTTGTTCCGTTTTGTGTTTTGGCTTGTCAAGTGGGGCCTCATCGTCGCGGCTGTAGGCGCACTAGTCATGCTGGGCCTCCAGTACCAGAAACGACAAAACATGAAGCGGTTCTAGGTGCACACACACACGCGCGCACACACCGAGTCACAATGCAAAACTAGTCCCACAACAAACCAATCTTTCTTTCCGCTGTGAATGGGAAATGTCTAGGTGAGATGGTGTAGGAGAAGTGTGGGTAGCGTTTCGAGGTCGATGGGGAGGGGGTTGGTGGTGAGCTTGGTGCGCGGCGCGCGCGGGCGCGGGTTGAACTGCACCGTCACTGCCGACGGCTGCGTAAACGTGATCGTTGCCGCGAGTGTCTCTGCGCCTTGGATGGTTGCAAACAGCTTTGCATATCCGTGCAAGCTTTCGGGGCGTGGTTTGGGCGTGTAGAGCGTATGAAGATCCGTCGGTTGCGAATGCGCGGCCTCTATCCATCGCGTCATCATCGCACGCAGTCCACCCTCCGCCACAATGGGGACCATCTGCACACGCATCCCCACTCCCTTCTTCTCCAGCTCGCCCTGCACATCGCTCAGCACACGCTGCAGACGGTGCAGGAACGACACGTAGTGCAGCCCAACCAGCAGCGGGCCGAGCGAGTCCATGCGCGCCAGCGTCGCCTTTGTATCGCCGGACTTGGTGGTGGTTTTGGGTACAGCGAGTGCATGCGCTTTGATCGCAGCCGCCCGAGAAGGCGCGTCGGCACGTCGAGCCAGGCGGGTGGCGTGGACAAACGCATGGAACTTGCGAATCACCCCCATGCGCACCAACGCCACCACCGCCAATGCCTGCGCAGCATACTGTCCCGTAGCCTCGCTCGAGGTCGAGACGAGCTCAAGGATCATATCCAGTCGAGGCGTGAGTACGATCCGTACCGACGAGGGTGTCAGACGCACCCCGAATGCAGGTGGCAGCGCACGCGCTTGTGCAACGACATCGCCAAACACCAGCTCGTCGCTCGCCTCGCGCGAGGCTCTCTGCAGCTCCTCATCCAGCACTTGCCCCACCCCCACACGCGCGTCCGACTCGGCAGAAGAGGTGGGAGCGTCGCTCGTCCACTCCATCCGCTCTTCCCCACAGGACGTGGAGCGCCACAGCACAAAGCGCACGCGCAGTCGACGATGCATGCGGTCCGGAAACACGAGCTTCTGCTTCACATCCTCGGCTCCCGCTGTAGTGGACGAGGCATCCGCCCAGTACGCAAGACTCCGACGCCGCAGTTCAACGGGCGCCTCGGGCAGGCCGAAGCCTATCCACGCATCGCGTGCGCCTTCGTCCTTGACCTTGCCGTCGGATGTGATGATGGGCGTGCCGAACCCCTGCAATCCCGCCGGCTTCTTCCTCTTCTCCTCTTCCTTTGCTTTCTCGCCTGTGTCGGCGTTGGCGTTGTCGGGGTCCTCGGTCGGCTCTTCCTCGTCAGTGGTGGCGCCAAAGCGTTCCACATCGAGAAGCGGACGGCCCGGTGTCAGACGCCATCCGCGCGCATGCAGGCCGATCAACGCGCGCCACCGCTCGCGATTCGGCGCCTGGCTCGCACGCAGCTCGGCCGCCGCACTGCTCAGCAAATCCGCCGCATTGCGCGTCGCCGCGCGCTTCGTCTCGAGCACCACCTTGAGATCGCGCAGCCGCGCATGCTTGAACGCCGCCGCCGCCTCCATCTCCCGCTTGGCCTGCTTGAGCCCGTACCCGGCACTGCGCGGATCGTCGTCGTCGGAATCCTCGTCCATATCGTCGCGCGCACTGCGGCGGGCAGCAGCAGACGCATTAAGCGCGGTGCGGGATAGCGAGATGGCAAGTGGATCGAGCACAAACTCCTCTTCGCGCGAGCTGGGCGCGAGGTGCGCAAAGATGCCCAGCGGTGCACGTGCGGCCGCGTTGGTGCCCGAGCGTGCAGACTGTCCGCCCACACTCGGAGCCGGCGATCCCATCCTCCCCACCGCTGCCGTATTCGCCGCGCCGGTGGGTGCACGGTGTTGCTTCAGCAGCATGCCCAGCAGCTGGTGGGCGTGGATCGAGTTGAAGTGCGCCACATCCAGATTCGCCAGTACCTTGTTGCGGAGCGCTACGAATTCGGCCTCTCCAATCGTGCCGCCCACAACCTCGTCCGCGGGCCTCAGCAACGGCTCATCGTCGTCCTTGTCTTCCCGTGCAGGACTGTGCTCGTCGTCGTCGGATTGTGCTTCCGGAGAGGTGTCGCGTTCGCGCTTGCGCAGCAGATCCGCGGTGCGGAAGCGCGAAAAGTCGCCGCGCTCCGCCCACAGCCGATGCACATCCTGGCTCAGCTGCGTAGACGCTGCCACGCGCGTCGCAAAGACGTTGGTGCCATCCGCAGCGATGTCCTGCAGCTTGCGCTCGCGCTCGAATGCAGCTGCAATACTTGAGGGCACGCCGAGTGAGGAGGAGGCGATGTCCGCGTCGGTGTAGATGTGCACGGGCTCGATCGAGATGTGCACCTCGCTCGATGCAGGCGGCCGAGACGGGCCCGCTTCCGAGGATGCCATCGCGCCGGTGGGGAGGGTCGAGATACGAGATGCGCAGCCTTACGCATACACCATGGCGGTCGGGTGCGGCGGAGTATGATGTTTGGAGCGATTAAGACACCGAGTGGAGAGTGGTGGATGAGAGTCGAGCGCCGAATGCCGGATGCCAAATGTCCGTGCGGATTCCTTCCAGCGCGCGAATTTCAGCCCTAATTTTGACGCCTCATTTTTCCAATGGATTTTTTGGACTTCACCGGACCTCACCCACACCAAGCGCTCTCCTCACCCACACACAATCATTCGCATAGCAAGGCTACACAATGCTTGCAACATGGTTGGACTATATGTAATTCATCTGCAGCATCGAGGCTATGCCCAATCGACAGAGCCGGCGGCGAGGTCCTTTGTCTCTTCTTGCGCGATGCGCCTTTCGTACGTCCTCCTTGCCTCGTGCATCCCAAAGCTGATCGCGGCGATGGCCACGAGAAAGGCCAGATCGCCAAACGCGAGCCCGGTCGTTTGAAACACCCCCTGCAGTGGCGGGAAATACACCATCGCCATCTGTGCGACGAGTGAGATGCTCACGGTGATGCCGAGCATCCTATTGGCCGTGAGTGGGGTGTGCAGGCCGCGGTTCTGTACGGCCGACACCAGGTCGAGCAGCACAAAGCACGTGAACGTCATGGTCGAATCGCGCTGGTCCGCCACCTTTGACCCTGCTGGTGCCTCGATATCCGCGGGGACCAGCTCGTGCACGTACACGTACAGCGTTCCCAGCACCACCATGGTCGCACTGAACCCAATGCGGTACAGCAACCTCGTGTTGAGCACAGGTGCATTCTTGGCACGAGGCGGCCGCGCCATAACGCTCTTCCTGTCCACCGGATCCACACCGAGCGACTGACTCGGCGGTCCATCCATGAGGATGTTGATGAACAGAATCTGCATCGCATTGAGCGGCAGCTTGAGCCGAAACGCCGTGCTGAGCGTAATCAGCGTCAGCGCCGCAACAGCGGTGGAGAGCTGGAACGAGAGGAAATTCTGGATGTTGTAAAAGATGCCCTTGCCCTCTTCGACGGCGGCGAGGATGGTGGCAAAGTTGTCGTCGACCAGGATCACGTCCGCCGCCTCCTTGGCCACATCGGTACCGCCCTTGCCCATGCTGATCCCGATGTCGGCCATCTTGAGCGCGGGCGCGTCGTTGACGCCATCGCCCGTCATGGCCACCACGGCTCCGTTGGCCTGGAAGGCGGCGATGATCGCCATCTTGTGCCGCGGCGTGGTGCGCGCAAACACCGACACCGACGCGATGCGCTCCTGCAGCTGACGCTCGGTAAGTGCGTCGATCTGACGCCCGATAAGCACGCCCGGGATCGACGCCGACGAGGCCGAGGTGGTGCTGCTGCTCGTGGAAGAGAGGATGCCGAGTTGACGCGCCATGGCGACCGCGGTGGCCTCGGCGTCGCCGGTGATCATGACCACCTGCACGCCGCCGCGGGCAAGCGAAGCGATGGCGTCCTTGACACCGGGCCGCGGTGGATCCTGCATGGCCTGCAGACCGGCAAATGACAAGGTGCGCGCATCGAGGCTGCCGCTGGGGCCAGAGGCGAAGCCGACGACGCGAAGGCCTTGGCTCGAAAGCTTGTCGGCCGCCTGCTGGAACTTGGTGCGCCACGCCTCGTCGAGCCGCACGGGCGAGCCATCCGCGCCGAGCACGGTGGTGCACTTGTCCATGACCACCTCGAATGCGCCCTTGACGTACACTGTCTCTGCGGCGCCTACGCCCGCTGTCGACAGCACGCCGGTGACCGCCATGAACTTGGACTCCGAGTCAAAGGCGATCTCGGAGCTCCTGCGGAAGTAGGGCCTCTGGTCCTCGAGGCCGAAGGTGCGGAGGATGTTGACGAGCGCCACGTCGGTCGCCTGGCCCACGTTGGTGCCGAGCTCGTTGCGATGCGAGTTGTTGCACAGGTTGCCCGTGAGGAGGATGCGCGAGAGCGCCTGCGAGTGCTTGTGCGAGAGGTGGTGCGCCACGTCGATGATGGCGTCTTCGGCGGTGAAGCAGCTGACGACGGCCATCTCGTTGGTGGTGAGCGTGCCGGTCTTGTCCGAGCAGATGACCGAGACCGAGCCGAGCGTCTCGACCGAAGGCAGCTTCTTGACGATGGCCTTGCGGTGCGACATGCGCAGCACGCCGAGCGCGAGCGTGACGGTTACGACGATGGGCAGGCCCTCGGGGATGGCGGCGACGGCGAGCGATACGCCGATGGTGAACATCTCGAGCCACGGCCTGCGCTGCCACACGCCCATGAGGCAGATGACGGCGATGACGGCAAAGCTGATCATGCTGAGGCGCTTTGCGAGCTCGTCCATGCTGAGCTGGAGCGGCGTGCGCTTCTCGACGACCTCATCCACCATGCTAAAGATCATGCCGAACTCGGTGCGGGCGCCCGTGCCGACGACGACGCCGCGGCCGTGCCCCGACTTGACGAGCGTGCCCATGAAGGCGATGTTTTCGCGCTCGTTGATCGAGGTGATGTCCGAGTCGGCCGCGTGCTGATCCTGTGCCGCGCCGTTCGCCGCGCCGTCCGTCGTGCCATGGGGGCCAGCGTGGCCGTTAGCGGAGGTCGAGTGCGGCGTGCGCGGGACGTGGTTGGCGTGCTTCTTCCTTGGCTTGATCTCGCCGGTGAGGGTGCTCTCGTCGATCTCGAGCGAGACGCACTGGCAGATGCGAACGTCTGCGGGGATTCGGTCGCCGGTGCTGAAAGTGACTATGTCGCCGGGAACGAGCTCGTTGGCGAGCACGCTCGAGGTGACGCCATCGCGGACGAGGTGGCAGTAGTGCGGGACGAGCTTGTTGAGCGCCTCGAGCGACTTTTCGGATTTTTGCTCCTGGTAGAAAGCGACGCTGATGACGATGATGATGGCGATGGTGATGCTGACGGCGTCGTCGATCTGGCCGATGAGCAGGCTGACGGCAGCGCTGCCGAGCAGAAGCAGGATGAGCGGCTCCTGAAACTGGGCGAGAAACTTGCGCCAGGGCTCTTCGCCTGCACGGACGGCGAACTCGTTGTAGCCACCGGCCTCGCTCCTCGCTTCGTGCACCAGAAGCGGCGTCAAGCCCGACTCGAGCGACGGGCAGTGGAGACTCTCGAGGCACTGGTCGACGGAGAGATGGGTGTAGTGGGCGGAGGCCGAGACGGCCGCTGAGCGGGAAGACGAGGCAGACGAGGCATTGTGGAAGTCTATCGAGGTGGCGTATGGTTGCGAGGCGTCGGAAGCGTTGGGCTTGTGGTTGGCTGGCCTTGGTGGCGACGCAAAGGGGGGATATGCGTTGGCTGCGTTGGCGTACGGATCGTCGGGATTGGCCTTGCGGAGGGTGGTGCTGAATGCAAACTGGTCCGGTGGGGGAAGCTGGGATGCCGAGGGCGGTATGGGTGCCGAGCGCAGATCGTAGTCGGCTGTTGGGAGGGTGTGGTACGGGTTGGCGCCAACCATGATGGCGGTGTGGCTTGTGCGCGTCGCACGGTGGAGGAGCGGCGGCTACAGTGGAAGATGGCTCAGTTGTGTGCGGGCATGGTTTGGGCGTAGAGCAAGGTCGAGCAGAGGCGGTCAGAGCGAAAGCGAATGGTGGTGTGCGTTGCTGGAAGAAGGGCGGTCCGACCGTTCAATCCGACACTCTTTGGCCATGTGCTTTTGATGTGCTTTGGGGCGCGTGAAGGCCATCTTTAGGTGTCACTTTTGGGCGCTCTCTCCGTTGGCACGCGCCGTCGCTCGTTTGCACTCTAACATGCATAAAAATGAGCCACGAGCTTACTCCCGTCGTGCTGCGTAGACTGCACCGCTTCTGCCCTTGACAGTCGAGCTTGCGGACCCGCTCGACAAGCCGGATGATGCGACTGCCCACGAGGTCCCCGCGCGATGAGTTTGGCGCAACTACTTGGGTTGCTGGGATAAGCGGAAAAGGCGAAAACTACAAGTACAAGAGGGATGGGTGCTCAGCGCATGAGGAGGTAGACGTTGGAGCCGATGGTGATGTTGCTCATGTGGCGGAAGTTGCCGGTGAGGGCCATCATGAGGCCACCGAACGAGCCGTACACGGTGACCTCGTCTGCGACCTTTTCGTCGTATCTGTAGATCTTGCCGTACATGACGTAGTCAAAGTCGTCTGCGATGCCGCCGTTGCCCGGCTGGTCGAGTCTCCACGCATCGCGCTCTGCCGCCTGCGCCGCTGCATCCTGCTCGCCATCAGCGCCATCCACCTTGGTACCCGCCGCCTCCTTCTTGAGCGTCGACGCAAGCTGGAACGTGAGCTGCTGTCCCTCCGATACAGGCCACACATCCGTAGCAATGTCGATCGACAAGCTCATCTCCAGCGACGGCGACGACGCAATGATTCGTGACACTGCAGGGAGAGAGCTGGAGTCAGTATCGGTCTATGATCAAAGGGCATGTGAGAGACGCAACGCATACCTCGGTCGAACTTCTTGCCATCAGGGTCGATCTGGTTGACCACAAACTGCGTGTCGAACAAGTTGGTCGGGTCCATGTTGAATATGTGGGTGTGCAACGGCTCGCTTCAGCCTAGAAAGATGTCCGGGACGAGGAATACGAGCGGAGAACCGGGCGCCAGCCAGTATCTATGCGTGCAGATCGTGGGCCGAGATTATGTTTGTGACGAGTGGAGTGCCAAGGTGGAAGCGAGTGGATGAGGAGGAGGAGGACAAGGTGCGCCGAGAGCTAAGCTTGTTCTTCTTGCAGGCGGGTTTTGCACTTTTCTCGGGAGTCGCCAAATTCCGATCGGATGGTGGCCTTCGAATCGGGTTGGATTTATCGGGCGGCACTGGCGCGCGCTGCAATTGCCGATCGGCAGTGCAACATGGCGTTCCTCCACTTGCGGCCTGGAAGGAGGCAGCCAACTCCGCCGGCAGTTGTACCAGACACCCTTCCTCCAAGCCTCATCACGCTGTGCATCCAAACCATGGCGGCGCGTCCGGGCCCATCCATGGCGAATCTGTCGCAGACGCCTTCATCCACGCCCGGTGGCGATGCCAAGTGGTACGACACGATGCTGAGCCATCTGTCGTCGCAACCGGCGTGGCCGGCGGACAAGGAGAACGCCGTGCTGGAACCGTACACGTACCTCGATGCGAATCCGGGCAAGGAGGTGCGCACGAAGCTCATCGAGGCGTTCAACGTGTGGCTCAAGGTGCCTGCGCGCAAGCTGGATGCGATCTGCAGCGTGGTGCGCATGCTGCACACCGCCTCGCTGCTCATGGACGATGTCGAGGACAACTCGGATCTGCGTCGTGGCATCCCCGTCGCCCACAAGATCTACGGCGTACCCCAGACGATCAACACCGCCAACTACGTCTACTTTCTCGTATTCAGCGAGATTTTTCGCATGAACGAGGGCTCCTCGCCCGCTACATCGCCGCCTCTGTCACCGGGCCAGGTGGGCGTGGCAAGGGCGACGGTGGAGAGGCTTGTGGTGGACGAACTGATCAACCTGCATCGTGGACAGGGTATGGATCTGCTGTGGCGCGACAGTCTCATCTGCCCTACCGAGGAGGAGTATGTGGAGATGGTCAACAACAAGACGGGCGGTCTGTTCCGCATTGCGGTCAAGCTCATGATCTCGCAATCGCCGCCGGCGCGCTCGGCGCACTTTGTCGACCTGATCCCCATCGTCAACCTGATCGGACTGCTGTTTCAGATCCTGGACGACTTTATGAATCTGCAGAGCAGCAAGTACGCCGAAAACAAGGGGTTTGCAGAGGACCTCACCGAGGGCAAGTTTAGTTTCCCCATCATTCACTCGATCCGGTCCAGTGTCACCGACTCGGAAGCGGTGGGGACGGGAAACAGACAGATCCTCAACGTGCTCAAGCAGCGACCCACGGATTTGGCCACCAAGCAGTATGCCGTGTCGTACATGCGCAACGTCACGCGCTCCTTTGACTATACCACCGACGTCCTCGAACGACTGCATGCCCAGGCGCACAAGGAGATCAGCCGACTCGAAGAGCAGCTCGCCACGCCGAATCCTGCGCTCACCCACATCCTATCGTCACTCCGCAACAGCTGGACGTCTGTATGACCAATCGCATCGCAATTTCATCCGTGATATAATCGCGAGGGCTTACAGCTTGGCAGGTGGATTGGCGTCCTCGGCTTTGCGAGTCTGGGCCATCTTGAGGAGCGCATAAAGCGTTTGGAGACGCGGCATGTCGAGACCGTTGCGGCGTGCGATGCGGATGGGATTGCCCAGAATCACCTCGAGTTCCATGGGTCTTGCCGCCTGCCAGTCGAGAAGCATGCTCGGTTTCCCGCCCGTATTGCGCTCGGTGCTCTTGAGGATTCGATCCGGGCTGGCGTGTTTCTTGGCGTCAAACTCGATACCGAGGATCTTGGGTGCGGTGGTGAAGATCTCGTTCATGCACGCGTGCAGGTGGGTGCGCAGTTCCGGGTCGAGCGCCATACGTGCGTTGGGCGTACCGCCCGACAGCACCGACGACGGATTCATGGATGCATTGATGCACAGCTTGTGCCACCGAGTCTGCTGCAACGAAAGCTCCGATGCAAACTCGGCATCTCGAATCCCAGTCGCCGTAAACCACGAAACGAGTTGATGGATATGCTTATCCGTCACAGATGACAGTTGGTCCAGCAGCGTTGAGTCGGAGAGGAGCGAGTTGGGTTTGGCCTGTCCGTTTGTGTATGTGCCCATGGTGATGCGGGTCCATCGGTTTTGGCGGATGACGCCATGACGAATCTGCTCGGCACTGATCACCGTCACGGCACTCACGATGGGATTTTGACCGAACTCGGCCCTATGTACCTCCTCGATGCCTACGCCGTTCTGGATGAGCACGATGCAGCTGCCGTGCACACCGCGTGTGACGAGCGGCGCAATGTCGAGCGCATCGTTGGTAATGTCCGGCAGCGCTTTGGTGGTCACTACTACATAGTCCCACTTGAACGCGCCGCCCTCGGTGTAGTCGCCGGCTTGCTTGATCGAGGAAAAGACGCGGTAGGGCGTGAAATGATAGTTGCCAAACGAATGCGTCTCTAGCTGCACGCCGTTCTCGGCGATTTGCTTGTAGTTGGAGCGGCAGACGAGCGAGACGCGCACATCGCGGCCCGAATGGATGCCGTGCAGCTTGGATGCGTAGAAGCAGCCGACGGCACCAGCCCCGACGATGAGAATATGCACAGGTGCAGGCTCGGACATGGTGTCGAGAGGCAAGCGAGACGAGCTTGGAGAGATGAAGGTGGGCAAGATGGAAGAGTGCGGGGAGCGCAGCGCGGCTCGGGAACGGTCGGCAACCAAAATTGCGAGCTTGCAGGGCGGCGCAACCGATGTGTAGCCGGGAGGCGCGGGCAAGCCGTTGTTAGGTCACGCATATCGCCCCATCTCTTTATTTGGCCTCGCTGTCACACACCCATTGGAGTACCGACGGCGTGCGTGGTCGCATCCCAGAGGGCTTAAGTCGTATTGAGATGGCACGAAGCGGGCGTGAGGGCTATGTACAAGTGGGGGTACGAGTCTGGTGGAGAAAGCGATAGCGAGATGGGATGCGGATCAGAGCGTGAGGTTGTACTCGTACTCGCTCTCTGTGTTCTGGCTGAGCCAGAGCAGGACGGTGGAAAACATGATGCTTGCGTTTTGAACGACATTTGCTACGCCGTAGTACTCGTAGCCCTCTGGCAAGGCCGGAACGAGATACTTGACCGTCAGCACGGTGATGCTACCCGCCAGACCGCCGGCCATGAGAGCGAAGCCGATGAAGAGGAACAGGCGAGCTCTCCACTGCACGCTGTCGGTGGCAAACGAGCCGCCGCCTCCGCCGCCGAAGGAAAAAGCGGCGCCGACATCGGTGAGGTGTTGCTTGTCGATGAGGTTGACGACAATCATGCCAAGCGTGCCGCACAGACCGGGCACCCAGTCGGCAAAGGTGATGTAGGTGGCTGGTGGATCGTAGGGCGCGGTGGGGTCGATGGGTTTGCGCAGACGCATGGAAGAGATGATTGAGGCGTCAAGGAAGAACCACCAGCCGAGGGCGAAGAGCGCGCCGGAGAGGTAGATGCCCGCCTGGCGCTTGCTCGTCTGCATGAAGGCCGGAAGCGAAGGCAGCGGCACGAGGCAGACGCGCCTGGGATCGTACGAGCGTCTTGGCAGCGACATGCCGGTGAATTTATGTGTGCGCGCTTTGATGTGGTGCGTGCCTAGGCTGGCAATTGGGAGATGGATGGTGGATGGCTGGATGGCATGCAGGTACGCGAGCTGAGCCGTGGCCGTGGCCGTGTGGAGGAAATGCATGCACCGGCCACCGTGCGGAACCGACGAGGCCGGCATTTTTATCGGACTTGTTAGGCTGTCATCATCATACACCGCTGTGATTTTTCGAATGGTGGCGCGTGCGCAGAGTGGCGCAGTTGTGCTGGGCGCGATTTTCCGCCTTTCCGCTTTCGGCAGTTGCAGAGAGGCGGAAAGGGTAAAGGCTCGATGCGGCTTTGAAAGGGAGAGAGAGAGCCGTGCCTCGCCTGGCCAAATTGGAGAAAAACGCCCAAAATCCGACGCGGCGAATGGAACTTCAGTCGGCTCGCGCCCCACAGCACCAACCGAATTACGCCAGATGACAGACGACAGCCAGTCAGTCCAACGCATGGTCCACCACCCTCTCCAACAGCTGCCCATCAACAACCACCGCCATCACCACCTTGATCATCACCACCCACCACCCGGGCGACCCACTCTTGCTCGCTCGATCGCACATCCGCCACAGTGTCTTCGCTCAAGCGCAAGGCTTCCGGCGATCTTGCTTCTGCTCGCCAACGCAAGCCTGCCGCCTCGCCCGTGCTTGCGCCCTCCCAACTCGCCAACACCCCGGCGCCATCGAATCTACACGACTCTGGTAACGACCGCGCCAGCACCTGCTCCATCGTCTCGGTAGACATGTCTGCGCTGCCGCAAACCGCCGACTACTCGGCCACACACGAAGCTGCGGTGGCTGCAGCAGCAGCTGCCGCATCAGCCGCATCAGCCGCATCAGCCGCATCAGCCGCATCGTCATCCAGACCCACGCCCGATGCAAACAAAACAGCACCGCTACCGGCGCACGTGGCGAGTGCCAACTCGACGGGCACGTACAGCTCCGCCTCGCTGCCGCTCGCCATCGCCGCACAGCAGCGCAAGCTGAGCGGGCGGTATGCGCTCGCCGACTTTGCCGTGGAGCGCACGCTGGGCACGGGCAGCTTCGGTCGCGTGCATCTGGTGCGCTCGCGCCACAACCACCGCTTCTACGCCATCAAGGTGCTGCGCAAGGAACAGGTGGTCAAGATGAAGCAGGTCGAACACACCAACTCCGAACGCGCCATCCTCAGCATCGTACGGCATCCGTTCCTGGTGAATCTGTGGGGCACGTTCAAGGACTCGACGTTTCTCTACATGGTCATGGACTACGTTCCCGGTGGTGAGCTCTTCACGCTGCTGCGCAAGTCGCAGCGATTCCCGCATCCGGTCGCCAAGTTCTACGCCGCCGAGGTGGCGCTGGCCATCGACTATCTGCACCAGAACAACATCATCTACCGCGACCTCAAGCCCGAAAACATCCTGCTGTCGGCAGACGGCCATCTCAAGATCACCGACTTTGGCTTTGCAAAGTACGTGCCCGACGTCACCTGGACGCTGTGCGGTACGCCCGACTACCTCGCGCCCGAGATCGTCTCGAGCAAGGGCTACAACAAGAGCGTCGACTGGTGGGCGCTCGGCGTACTCCTCTACGAGATGCTCGCCGGCCATCCACCCTTCTTCACCGAAGACGGCAACCCCATCAAGCTGTACGAAAAAATCATCGCCTGCAAGGTCCGATTCCCACCTTACTTTGAAACGGGCGTCAAGGATCTGCTCAAGAACCTGCTCACCGCCGACCTCAGTAAGCGGTTCGGCAACCTGCATCGTGGCAGCAAGGACATCTTTGGCCACATGTGGTTCGCAGAGGTCGATTGGGACCGGCTCTACAGGCGCGAAATTCCGGCGCCCTACCTCCCCACCGTCACCGCCGACGGCGACTCGAGCCAGTTTGAGCGCTACCCAGAAAACGACGTGTCCGAATACAGCCGCACCGATCTCCCGGATAACTTGGGCCATCTCTTCCCAGATTTCTAGCGCAACTCTGCTTGTAACCCAAGGTTGATTTTGCAAAGACACTTTTTTTTTACTGGCATGGTGCATGCGTGTAGGGTTAGTGTTACAGATCCGAATGGGCAGCCTTGCGAGCGGCCGCACGAGGTCCCTTGATCTCGAGCAACTCGACTGCCAAGTCCCAAAGCGACAGTTGGGGTTAGCATCTCGGCTCGCATGATCGTTCGATTTGGTGCGGGAGGAGAACTTACCCTCGAAGATGAGATGGGCGTTGGGCGGGATTGCACCGCCCGCGCCGCGCGCGCCGTATCCGTCCGAGGGCGGGATCTTGAGCTTTCGCTTCTCGCCCACGCACATGTCGCGCAGCCCCTTGTCCCAGCCCTTGATGACCTGGCCCGTTCCCACTGCACACTCCCCGACCTTGTCAGTACCTCTGCTCCTCATCCATGCTTGCACGGCCACTTACGTGTGAACTCGAACGGCTGACCGCGGTCGAGCGACGAGTCGAACTTGGTGCCATCCGCCTGTTGTCCCTCACAGCGTCAGTATGCATCTCCTGCGCACCAGGCGAATGGGTGGTTTACTTACGAGGGTTCCGGTGTAGTGCATGGCGAGCAAGTCGCCTGCTTGCGACTTGTCGTCGCACACCTCGGGGCGGAACTTGACGCCCACCTGGAGCTTATCGGGCAGACTCTCTGCTGCTGCTGCAACACCTGCCAGCGCTACAACTGCTGTTGCCAAGGTGAACTTCATCTTGATGTTGTGTGTGTGTGTGCGGGTGTATGGTGGTTGTGCGGAGAGTGTGTCCTGTGCGCACCGGCGCGGTCGGTGCGGGGGAGTCGACGTGGAGACTTGGAAAATTCCTATCGGCCGTTAAAACTCGCAGCTCACGAGGGTCTTTGACTCCACTTTGTATGGATGCAGAGTTTGGCAGCCGACCACCATGTCTGCACATCGTCCCACATTCGAAGCTGCCAAGGGGCGGGCGCCCTCTGCGCGCGAATCGCAGCAGGTGTCGCTGCGTCACATCCCCGCACAGACCAAACTCAAGTTCCGAACTCCAGCTGCCGATGCGCCGCGTCGAGACCTCAAGCGCGAGTTGCAGCTCGCCGAATGGACCGCCACCAATCGCAAGCGCGCCAAACAGGGGCTCGATGCCCTACCCCCTCCCACCACCGAATCGCAAGGCGACGATGCAGGAGAGAGTAGGCAAACTGCGCTAGCTCTCGCGTTGGAACTGGATCAAGACAGCGAAAGCGAAGCCGAAGGTTCTGCCTCCCATCACGACGCCGACGACAAAGAAGATAGTGAGGAGGAAGAGGAAGAGGAGGAGGAGGACGAGAGTGAAGAGGAGAGTGAGGATGAGCAAGCAGCGCTGCTGCGCGAACTCGAGAAGATCAAGGCGGAACGAGCCGCCGAAGCCGCACGACGGGCCGCGTCGGCAGCAGCAGCCGACCAGCTCTCGCGCGACGACGAAATCGCAGCAGGCAATCCACTGCTCAACCTCCGGTCCGCCATGGCATCCAGCACAGCCGGCAAAGCTCAAGACTTTGGCGTGCAGCGCAGATGGGACGACGACGTCATCTTCAAGAACCAAGCCGCTCCTCGCTCCTCCGGCGCGCAGGGATTCGTCAATGATCTTTCGCGTTCAGAGTTCCATAAAAAGTTCATGAACCGTTACATCAAGTAGTCCGTCCACCTTTCGCCCGCTCTTTGTATCATCATCCCGTCGCAGCTTGTACTAGTATTGTCAATTCGAAGCGCATCTTTGTATCCTTGCTTGAGCTAGTGTTGGCTACTCAAGCGCCTGGCTTGGCAGCATTCTATTCTCTCTTGTGCAGTGGGTGGTCGCGCTGCAAGTTCGAGTTCGAGCATGTGTGCACAGCAGTCTCGGCTCACGACCGAGCAGCGTCGACTTGCGAGCGCTTCTTGACGTCGACCCCATGGAGGCCGGATCGGAGGTGAGGTAGCGCGGCTGCAAGCCAGGCGAGAGCACAGCGCGGGACGAGCATGCAGCGAGCCGCACAAGTCGAACCCACAGTCCCTGTTTAAGATATACGGAGTGCTCGATCGAGGTGCATCTGAATGCTCGGAATAGCATGCTGGGCTGTATACAGGACGAGCTGTCTTTGCCCATCCGACATTATGCCCTGGCCCAAGCAACTTTCGACTGTAGGTCAGCATGAGTTTCAAGCAGTTTGACGGACGGTGCACGAGCCTGTGTCCAAGCTGTCCACAATCTCAAGCTGCGTGTCCCGCTGTACCGCACTGCAGCGCAAAGCTGATCCAGTCGATCGGCTCGCTGAGCCCCAATCCCCACAAAGCGTCTGCTCAACCGTCAAGCTTCATGAACCTCTCTCCCATCACGCTACTCCGATCCACACGTTCGCAAGTATAGTTGCAGAAAAAAAGAACAATGCAGATTCCGGTTCTACATGCAAAGGAAGAAAAGGTGTCTCGAGTGCAAATGCCAACAGCGGCTCTAATGAACGCCCTCGCGCTCAAGATCAGCCAACAAACCCGCAAGCACGGCCGAGTAGACAAAGACAAACTGCCTGCCCGTTTGGATGAGCGACATTCTCTGCTCGCGCACCGTCTCGACCGTGGTCTTGACGAGGTCAACTCCCTCGACATACGCCTGGTCGGCAGCCTTTTGCGGCGAAGCGCCGTCGTGCTTCAGCGCGCTCGTCAGTCGGACGTTGTCCTTGGCCACCAACACCTGAGGTTCGGCGGCGGTATCGGCGACCGAGGTCATGGACGCACTCGTGCTCGGCGTACCCGTCAGCGCATCAAACGACCCCGACCCAGCAGAGTCGCTTGCCGACATGCTCTCTCCACGCGCCGCTCCAAAGCCAAACGAGTTGCTGCTCGCCACGTCAAAAGGCGTCGGCTCATTGCTGCCCGTAATCGTCGAGGTCGACTGATCGCCCGCTGCACTCGGCCCGTTGGTGTCGGCCTGACCCGCTTCGTCGCCCTGCGAGCTCTGGCTCAGAGCAAGCTCAAAAGGGTTCATGGCAGACAGAAGCGCCTCTTCGATCGACCTCGAGCCGCCATCGGCCACAGCGCCGGTCGTAGGCGAAAGGCCGTTGGCACTCGACAGACGCGAATGCACGCCTGCCGCCGACGAAAACGACGACCTCGCCGAGCCACCGCCATGGAACGACGGCGTCGAAACCTCTGAAAACGGCGACGACGCCTGCCTCCATGCATCCGAAGACAGGTGCGGCGGCAGCTGCAGCGCACCGCCGCCGCGCGTGGGCGAGTGCAGCTTCAATCCCGCCCCGTCTCCCTCCTGCTTGGGCGAAGCCACGGCACTCGCGGCCGAGTCGTTGCTGCCGCCAGAATGCATGGCGCTGGCGCGCAACTTGCCCATGGCGGCCGCGTTGAACTTGAAGGTGGGCGAGCTGAACGGGTTGATGAATCCGCTCGGTCCTGCCGCACTCTCACCAGCTTGGGCCTGCGCCTCCGGCGCCAGCTGCTGGCTGATTCCGCCCGCACTGCGCTGGCTGCCCAGGCTGCTGCTGAGGTTGCTCGCAGCGTCGATGCCGGAGCTGCTCTCGTTGGACCTAGACCTGAACATGGGCGGTGGCGAGCTCAGATCGCGGCCGAAGCTCGAGCCTCCATGCGTGCTGCCCATGTCGATGTCCATGCCCGTCGGCGACAGTTCGCGCTTTAAGCTGCGCCTCGGCGTTCGCGGGAAGCGATCGCCCAGTGGCGACGAAGCTGGCGCCATCTCGACCTCGGGCGTGGCATCGGCAGCAGCCGCAACTGCGCCACCAGCACCTGCAAGCGCGTTCTCCCACGCGGGAGGCTCGGGCACCTGGGAGGGGTCGACACGGCCAGTGGCAGCGAGCTTCTGACGGCGACGCACTCTGCGGAGCGCGTCGAGCGTGGCATCGATCACGATGTAGGCGCCCGTGCGACCGACACCTGCGGAGCAATGCACGACCATGGGACCAGCTGTGCCGGTCCTTCCGCGCGAAACTGCGTTGCGCACATCGGCGTCCGCTGCGTTCTGCGCGCCCGCGGCCATGTCGATGAGCAAGAGCAGCGACTCGGGCGTCTCTGGAATGTGGTAGTCCGGCCAGGCGATGTACTGAAGCTGGATTACCCTGCGCGGCTCGGCGTGCGGCTCGGCGAGATTTTTGAGCAGGAATGTCCTGCGTACCGTTGTGGGTTCTCGCTTGGCGGCCGAAGCGGAGTGATGCTGCGGCTGAGACGGCATGGAGGGGAAGAGCGCGCCGCCCTGATCCGCGCTGCTGCCAAGCACGCCCTCGCACTCGTCGGAGCGCATCTTGTTGCCTTGCTGGTCGAGCACGATCTCTTCGAGCTTGGTGAGGCGGATGTGGTCGCCGTATTGGGAGGCGAGCCAGTAGGGATGGCTCTGGAGGCGGCCGCTCTCGTGCTCGCGGGTGAGCATGACGATGACGCGGCTGTTCTGCTCCCATACGGCGGTCCAGAAAGCGTCAAAGGTGCTGGGCAGCGGTGCCTGCGTGGCGATGTAGCGGCGTTGACTGCCGAGCTGCTGGGGCGGCTGGACGAAGGAGGCGTTGAGGTAGTCGGAGCCGGAATCGTGCGCCGATTGAGGCTTGCTGAGGCGCACGCGGGAGTGCTCGTAGGTCCAGATATTGTTGTAGCGGTTGTCGGCGCCTCGCTCGAGCGCGGCTGCAATGCTGAAGGGGAAAGCGTGCGATCTGGCGTCGAGATGGCGCACGCCAAGCGAGGGCTTCTGCATGGCCGCAGCCTGGGCGGCGGCAAAGTCCTTGGCGCGCGGATCGCAGTCAGACTCTGCCGAGTGCTGTTGCATGGTGGCGATGAGACGGTTCTGCTCAGCCTTTTCGATGTCGAAAAATGCCTGTGCGAGGGCGAGGGCGCGGTCGGCAGGAGGGAGGCGCACGAGCTTCTGCAGGAACGGTGGCAGCTCGCTGACCTGCACATCGGACATGGAGGGCAGATCCATGGGGATCTTTTCGGTGATGCCGTGCTGCAGTTCTCTGTTTTGACGGATGTTGTCGAAGAATGGGTTGGCACATGCAGCCGCAGCCCGATTGGGGCCTTTGGCCTCGGGATCATTGGTGCCGGATTGCGACTGGCCCTGCTGGTGAGAAGCGAGGTTGAACTGGAGCGAGCCTGTAGCGGCACGGTTTGCACCCTCTTTGGCAGGCGAGGTGTTGCTGCCTGGCCAGCCGGCGACGGTGCTCTGTGTTTGGAAAGCCTCTTTAGGCAGACCGCGTGGCTGAACGAGAGACTGTCGAGCTTCGGCGTCAATGGGGCTGGTGGCGGCAGGCGATGCTGTGATACCGTTGAGCTTGAGCGTAGGCGGTAGCCTCATGCGAGCATCTGAACCGCTTCGGGACAGCGCGGGCTTAGGTGCTGCAGCTGCGCCTGCATCTTGGTGCTCTGCTGTCCTGGAGAGGGCGGCCGAGTCGATAAAGTCCTTGGCACGCTTTGAGCGAGCGAGCTTGTTGAAACCTCCGACGAGCCAGCAAAGTTCGCCTGCGAAACCTGCGGCTTCGAACTTCTTGAGGACGCCGATGAGGCAAGGGCCGCCGCCGCCGGCGGTAGCGTTTCCGGTGCCGTCGATGCGGGAGGTGTCCGTGTCGAGGACGATGATCTTTGTGATGCCGGGTTCGTCGGGCAGGCTGATGGTGGCGCCACGCTTGCGTACTGCGTCGATGGAAGCTTGGGATGCGTCTGGCTTCGGCTTGAGCGGGCCCTTGCGCCAGCGCATGAAGCGACGACGGTCGGCGATGCTGCCGAGCATCTCGTCTTCGATGCGTTCGACGGTGATGGCGGGACGCTTGAGCAAGGTGCTGGGAGCACAGATGTTGATGCTGGAGACGACGCGTGCGGTGGAGAAGGAGGTGGAAGGACGGATGTCGAGGATGAGCACGTCGTCCGGAGCGTCGGCGGCTGAAGACGACATCGAATGGGCGGGGGATGCTGAGGAAGCGGCGGCGGCGGCGGCGGCGGCGGCGGCGGCGTTTGATTGCTTCCATGAAGGCGGATTGAGCGTGTCTGCGAGCGCATCTACGTCGAGAGCTTTGAACTTTGTGAGGTCATCTGTGGAGGAGCTAGCTCTTGGGTTGACGGATGAGGTTGAGGAGGAAGAAGGAAGAGGCAGAGATGCGCTGGAGGAGAGTGCGCCCTTGAGTCTAGCGGAAAGATTGAGGTGGGTGCGTGAATGGGAAGCTGCTGGTGAAGGCGAAGCGGTCGAGGCCATCTTTTTGGGGACGGAGGTGGCGTTTGCTGCTGGGGTGGGGGGGACGCCGAGACGACCGATTTGGAATCGGTCTGGCAACGCGGTGGTCATGCCGCCGTCTGGGAAGAGCTTGGCCCAAGGGTGAGGATCTGGGTCGGCATCGTTGTGATGTGCGGAAGCGGTGGAGTGTGATGGGACGCGCGCACCGGAGGCCGAGACGAGAGGGGTGGCGAGTGCAAAGGGACTGGCGATGCGAACCGCGCCTGGATTGGGCGCGTTGGGATCCGGGACGTGGATGGCAGCAAAGTAGTCTGGCTCTGCGTTGTTGGTTGTGGCGGCGGCGGAAGGTGGATTTGACATGCGTGATGTGTTGGCGGAAGCGGTAGAAGAGGAAGAGGAGGAGGAGGAGGAGGAGGAGGAGCCAAAGTTGAGCGAGGGCAAGAGGGAGCGCCTCGATTTTGTCTTTGTGGCTGATTCTGGTGGTTGGGTGGACATCATGATCTGTGGCGGGCAAGCGAGCGCGGAGGGAGAGTCTATGATTGCGAACGAGCTGGATTATATAAGTTGCAGATTGCGAGGTTGGACTGGGTGTACGATCACGAGCGCACCATGACGCTGATGGAAGCAGAGACGGTGGGACTGGTGATCAAAGCATGGTCGATGTAGCCTGGCGATAGATGGTGTAGGGGGACTTGGAGGGTGCGTACGAGCAAGGCGGATGCGGATGCGGTGTAGAAGACAGTTTGGTTGGTGGGCTTGGACGCAGAAGGTAAGGAAGTGTACAGTCGAGGCGAAGCGCGGGGGTGCAAGTGCAGCGAGGCGAAGAAGTGCGGTGGTGGTGGTGGCGATGTGGGTTGGATGAGGCGACGGTCGGTGGAGGTGGGCTGCGGAGAAGGCAGGAACGGCGAGTAGGAAGGTAGCGAGCCAAGTTGGCTGGCAGGCAGGCAGACGGCAGTCTAAAAAGCTGATGGCGCCATGGCGACACAGAGAGACAGAGAGAGAGACAGAGGGCGCCGCCGACTGAGGTCACTCGACCCGGAGCACGCTCGACTCGACTCGCCTCGAGCCGAAACCGCACAATTACGCTTTGCTGCCGCTGCCGCTGCTGTGTCAAAGTGGAGTGAAATTCAGCGATGGTTTCGGCACACTGCTCTGCTGTCGCTTTTGCTGTCAACGCTGCGCAAACTCAGCCGCACCCGTCGTCGCCAAACGGTATGACTGCGCAATGCGGGGGAAGGAGCAAGGCATATCTCATGACGATCCAGCATCCGACGCCGGCAGCTGTGTGGACGCGATAGACGCCGCCCGTTTGTTGAGCGCTGATGGAGCGCTGCTGAGGCGGGGCCCGCATGCAGGATTGCGCACTCGACCCACGCTTCGCGCGCGCGCCTCAACAATATCCCAAAAATACTCGTCACCACTTGTCGCCTCGGCAGCCAGTCAGCTGGCCAGCGAGCAACAACAAAGAGGACCCTTGCAAGCCAAGCCAAGACAAGCTCGAGGGCCCCCAGCTTGGAACCTGCACTCCGGTCTCAAGGCGTCGGTTTCTGTCTCGAGGTGTTCCTGCCTCCCATAACTGAGCGCCATACCAACGACGCAGGGCGGGATCGCGCCAGACGCGCAACGACGTCAAACCGCACAGCACCCACTCTTGGCCCCTTGCAACTGTAAGTTATGTCGCGCATGCACTCGAGTGACAGCCATCCACACTCGTGACTGATCGCCTAGAGCGTGTCGTTGTTGAGCCATCTATCTTTCTTCTGCTGAGCGGCGGAACGGATCATCGTGAACGTTGCTTCGAGACTTCCTCGTAGGAGCTACTACAAACAGGCGACATCATCGACGTCAAGCCAACGGTCAACCCGTCGAGTCAGGGCGTCCAGGCCCACCACATGGCATCGCTTGTCCCCGTGTTTTGCAGCTCAGCATGGCCACGTCTGACAGTGACGGCAAGTTTCAGCCATGACGTAAGGTGGGGCGTCGCCTCGAAAGACTGAGCCGGCGCTAAGCTTCAAAATCTGACAATGTGAGCACTATTTCGTGCGAGACTTATTATTAATTTGTTAGTTAACACAAGGTCTTACACTTCTAAAATGGACGCCGACGACATCGGCACCGCCCCATCGGACCAGCTCCATTAAATGGGCGCTCCCGATGCATACTATAGACGAGACCCTACGGTGTGACTTGGCATCGGCTTGCTATGACAAAGTACTCGTCGCTGGCTCAGCTTCAAACTCGAGTAGGGCCGGGCCAGGCGTGGGGGAAGCAAGGCGGATCTCTCCGTGCCTTTGACGCCGAGGTTCGAATTTGGCGCGCTGTGATTTGCTCGTCGCAGCGTAGCGCCGTGATCGGCGCGCGCCCGCTCCTCAACCCTTCGAGGCTTGGTGTAGGGCCCATTGGCATCGGCTCCAAGCGTCCGAAAGCCGAACCTCGCCGCGCCTCCGCTCCCCGATGCAAAGGATGTGGCAGATGCTCAGGCCTTCGCTCGCGCCCGGACGGAATACTCCGATGCGAAGGCTTTGGGCCCTCCGATGTCCGCCAGCTGAGCCATGGAGCTAGGTGCGGCCCCACATGACTTGTTGGCAACACCGGCGAATTGCGGTCTTAATCGTCCAGTCGACTGCACCACAACGCTTGTTTCCGTGACCACCGGCCTTGCAAGAGAGAGCCTTTGACCGGTCCACTCTGCCACGATCAACACACACACACACGCACACACGCACGACCCAAATCGAAGAAAAAAAGAAACAGAAAAAAAAACAAAAGAGCCAGCTGCTGAGCCCGTGGCGGCTGAACTTTTCCGCAAATTCCCAGAAAAGCCAAACCCTTCTTCCTCGTCGAGGCTTCGCTGCTCGTTCCGCCTTTTCCAGGGTTCGGCGCCAGCAGAGCCAGTCAAAGCCAGTTCAAAGCGCCGACCAGTCACGTCGCATCGCATCGCATCAATCGGCCAAAAACGCGCGCCAAATTCAGTGCGGAAGACAGAGAGAGAGCGGGAGCGCAAGAGGAAGAGGAAGCATTGGCAGCGCTCCTGTTGGTCCCTCCACAAGTCCGTCTCGGAGAGCGAGAGAGAGCGAGAGAGAGCGAGTGACAGTGTCCGCCCCGTGGCACGCCACCTTGCCCTCCTACCTTCACCCTCGACCTCAACACCATCAGGCCTAGCTTGTCGTTAGGCTACCAACACCCCTCTCCGCCTCGTCAGCATGCTGCGAAGCATCACCTCCCGATCCATGCCCCGTGCGGCTTGGAGGGCCTCCACCCTTCCATCCGCCTCGGCTCGCATCGCAAAGCCAACCGCTTTCACCGCTTCGCTCAGGCATTACCAGTCCTCCTCAAAATCCGAACAGGCCAGCCCCGCGCCCGCAAAGCCCAGCGCTCCCACCGGCTCCGACACCTTCATCAACACCACAAACGCCTACTACGCCGAAGAGATGCACAAGCTCTGGAAGCAGGACCGCTCCTCCGTACACGCATCCTGGGACGTCTACTTTAGCGGCCTCGCAAAGGGCCTCCCCTCCGAGCAGGCCTACCGCGCTCCGCCCACCCTCATGCCCCTCCCCATGGAGGCTCCCCCCGTCGACGTCTCCGGCTTCTCCGGTTCCACCCAGGCCGTCGATGACCACCTCAAGGTATGCCCGCTCCTCTCCGCTCTCTCACGCGTCCTCATCGCTCGACACTGACGCACTTCTCTTCTGCTTTTCGCTACACACAGCTCCAGCTCCTCGTCCGTGCCTACCAGGTGCGCGGCCACCGCATCGCCCGCCTCGACCCCCTCGGCATCCTCGACCCCGACCTCGACCCCAACGTCCCCGAGGAACTCAAGATCGAGCACTACGGTTGGTCCGAGTCCGACCTCGACCGCAAGATGCGCCTCGGTCCCGGCCTCCTCCCCAACTTTGTCGACTCGGGCATCCAGGAGCTCACCATCCGCGAGATCATCGACGCCTGCAAGCGCATGTACTGCGGCTCCATCGGCGTGCAGTACGTACACATCCCCGACCGCGAAAAGTGCGACTGGCTCCGCAAGCGCATCGAGACCCCCGAACCCTTCAAGTACTCGGTCGAGGAGAAGCGCACCATCCTCGACCGCTTGATCTGGTCCGACTCCTTTGAGCGCTTCATCGCTTCCAAGTACCCCAACGAGAAGCGCTTCGGCCTCGAGGGCGGCGAGTCGCTCATCCCCGGTGTAAAGACGCTCATCGACCGCTCCGTCGAGCACGGCGTAGAGAGCGTCACCATCGGCATGCCTCACCGTGGCCGTCTCAACATCCTCGCAAACGTCATCCGCAGGCCCATCGAGGGCATCCTCCACCAGTTCGCCGGCAAGGAGGACGACGGCGAGGGCGGCGGAGACGTAAAGTACCACCTCGGCGCCAACTACGTCCGCCCCACCCCTTCGGGCAAGAAGGTCGCCCTCTCCCTCGTCGCCAACCCCTCCCATCTCGAGGCAGAGGACCCCGTCGTGCTCGGCAAGACGCGTGCCCTTCAGGACTTCGCCAAGGACTCGGAGCACAAGACCTCCATGGCGCTCCTCATGCACGGTGACGCCGCTTTCGCCGGTCAGGGTGTCGTGTACGAGACCATGGGCATGTACAACCTGCCTTACTACGCCACCGGCGGTACCGTCCACATCGTCGTCAACAACCAGATCGGCTTCACCACCGACCCGCGCTTCGCTCGCTCCACCCCTTACCCCTCGGACATTGCCAAGTCCATCGACGCTCCCATCTTCCACGTCAACGGCGACGACGTCGAGGCCGTCACCTTTGTCTCGCAGCTCGCCGCAGACTGGCGCGCCACCTTCAAGAAGGACGTCGTCATCGACCTCGTCTGCTACCGTCGCCACGGCCACAACGAGACCGACCAGCCCTCCTTCACCCAGCCACGCATGTACGCCGCCATCGCAAAGCAGGACCCCACCCTCACAAAGTACGCCGCTCGCCTCGTCGAGGAGGGCAGCTTCACAAAGTCCGACATCGAGGAGCACCAGAAGTGGGTCTGGGGCATGCTCGAGGAGGCCTTTGACAAGAGCAAAAACTACCAAACCGAGGAGCGCGAGTGGCTCTCCAGCGCCTGGGAGGGCTTCCCCTCGCCCAAGGAGCTCCGCGAGCAGATCCTCGACCACAAGGACACCGGTGTCAAGGAGGAAACGCTCAAGCACATCGGCAAGACCGTCTCCACCTACCCGGAAGACTTTACCGTCCACCGCAACCTCGGCCGCATCCTCAAGACGCGTCTCAAGACCGTCGACGAGGGCAAGAACATCGACATGAGCACCGGTGAGGCGCTCGCCTTTGGTTCGCTCGCCCTCGAGGGCAACTACGTCCGTCTCTCCGGCCAGGATGTCGAGCGCGGCACCTTCTCCCAGAGGCACTCGGTGCTCCACGACCAGGAGAACGAGGGCACCTACACCCCGCTCCAGCACGTCGGCGAGGGCCAGGCGCCGTTCGTGGTCTGCAACTCGTCGCTCTCCGAGTTCGGCTGCATGGGCTTCGAGCTCGGCTTCTCCCTCGTCTCGCCCCAGAACCTCACCATCTGGGAGGCCCAGTTCGGTGACTTTGCCAACAACGCCCAGTGCATCATCGACCAGTTCATCGCCTCGGGCGAGCGCAAGTGGCTCCAGCGCACCGGCCTCGTCCTCAACCTGCCCCACGGCTACGACGGCCAGGGTCCCGAGCACTCGTCCGCCAGGATCGAGAGGTTCCTTCAGCTCTGCGACGACCATCCCTTCCGCTTCCCTACACCCGAGAAGAGCAACAGGCAGCACCAGGACAGCAACATGGCCGTCGTCTACTGCACCACCCCCGCCAACTACTTCCACGTGCTCAGGAGGCAGGTCCACCGCGAGTTCCGCAAGCCGCTCGTCAACTTCTTCTCCAAGAGTCTCCTGCGTCACCCCGAGGCCAGGTCCAACCTCGAGGACTTCCTCCCCGGTACTGGCTTCCAGAGGTTCATCCCTGAGCCGCATGCCAACGAGGGCAAGGACGAGCTGGTTGCACCGGACCAGATCAAGCGTCACATCCTGACGTTTGGTCAGACCTACTTTGCGCTGCTCAACCACAGGCGCGAGAACAACATCAAGGACGTGGCGATCAGCAGGATCGAGCAGCTTTCGCCGCTTCACTACGAGGCGATCGTTCAGGCGCTCGACAAGTACCCCAACGCCGACCTCGTCTTCTGCCAGGAGGAGCCCCTCAACAACGGTGCCTGGAGCTACGTCCAGCCCAGGCTCAGGACCGCCTGCAGGCATACCCAGCACCACAAGAACGACATTGTCATCCTCGCCAGCAGACCCCCCAGCTCCTCCGTCGCAACCGGCTCCAAGGTCGCTCACAAGGCAGAAGTCGAGGCGTATCTTCGCGACGCCTTCGACCTCAACCGCAAGGCCTCCGACGAGGGTCTCTAAACTACTTCACTTCTGTTTCGATAGCTCCCACCCGCATGTAGATGGGGCCGAGTCGTCTTTCTCCAATTTGATCTTTCGTTTTGGTTCCTGTAGCGAAAAGTGTGTGTTGCAGGTGATGTGGTGTGCGGACGTTGCCCGTGTGTGGTCGGAGGTATCTTTCCCGCAGATGAAATAGTGAGGTGGGTGCGAGAGCAGGGATCTGGATGTCGAGACGCAGCTTCTGGGAGACGCTGCGTCTGGACGGCAGCACGCGACGCGACAGGTCGAGCATCATCGGCGACAGCTCGAGCACCATTGCCGGAATCATGACCTCGCGCGTGTCGATTTGCAGCGTCGCGGAGGCGGGTTAGGCAGCGAGGCGCCGGCAGATCCTTCGAGCAGTAGCGGCGGGGGCGCGAATCGCGTCCTCGCCGAGACCTCAAGGAGCCGCTCGCCACGCACGACGACGACTCAACAAGTCGGGTGGCACGGTTGAATCGCTGCGTCGACAAGCGTCCGGGCAAAGCAAGGGCGCGTCGGTGGCTCAGAGCGGCTTATTGGCTCCGAGGTCCCGGCTGCCATTGGATACGACCTTTGGAGGCTCAAGCTAGTTTCCCCCGACATGATCGTCAACTTCGAGCACCTCCGACCGTGCTACCAGCACTGGCTGCCTCGATTGACCGACAAGACAGACGGCGACTTCATCGAGGAGGCCTACAATTTTCTTGGCGGCGAGTCGTTCGATCCGTCCGCCCCGCTCGCCAGCAGCTCTAACGCGCTCATCGAGGTGGCCGATTCACCGCGCAGCCCCGGTCGGCGTTGCTCGCCCCGTCCTGGCCGCCGATGCATGTGCGGCATCAGCACATCATTAACCGCCTCCGGCGCCACACGCTTGGCTTGGCTCGCCCGCGCGCCCGTCCTCCGCAGCAGCAGGGGCGCGCTCGATCCTTCAAGGAGAGCGCATTGCTCCACGCCACATCGATCCACGCCAATGGGTCCGGCGTCGCGCTGAGCCCTTATCTGGGCAAGTCCTCTGTGCACGGCAATCACCATGCTCATCCGTATCCACACCACCATCAGCATCTTGCAACAACAGTATGACGGCCTGGATAATCTGAAGTGGATTTGTGTATAACCTCTTTGAGGCGTATAGCGGTGAGCTTGCAGAGAGCCTTTGCACTCAATAACGAGAAGAGTCTGACAGAGCTGCCCAGGGGCGGAAGAAAGG